TCTGGACCTTGGTTAAATTACCACGAGGAGCAAAGGCAATAACATGCAAGTGGTGTTCAAGGTCAAAGAAAGCCAGAATGGTTCTACACCACGTCTTAAGTCTCGTCTTGTAGCGAGAGGCTTCCAACAAAAGGAAGGTACGGACTACACTGATAACTTCGCTCCTGTCGTGAAGTGGTGTACGGTAAGATTTGTGTCCGTCATTGCTGGTGCATGCCGATGGCCAATCTGTCATCTAGATGTCAAAAGTGCCTTCTTCAATGGTGTTATTTCAGAAAAGATCTATGTACCACAACCACCCGGCTTTATTAGGAAAGGTTTTGAAGATTTTGTATGTAAACTTAATAAAGTACTTTACGGCTTACGACAAGCCCCAATGGCTTGGTATGAATGTATTCACTTATATTTAAGACAAGCAGGTTGGACACGTTGTCGCTCAGATCCTAATCTTTATGTTTTAAGGAAGTATTGTCTCATAGTAATCTTAATAGACGATTAAGATCTTAATATTCTATGTAGACGATATGTACATAACTGGAAATAGTCAAGTAAAAATCTATGAGATTAAGTCAGATCTAATGCGTCAGTATGAAATGAGTAAATTAGATGAAATTCAGAAGTATCTAGAAGTTGAGTTCTCTCAGTCACCACAAGTATTATTACTCCATCAGAAGTCCTATATCACCAAAGTTTTAAAAGATTTTAATATGCTTGACTGTAGGCCATCTACGTTACCAATCGATGCTGGAAAATACTTGACAGAAAATACCAGCACTCTCTTTGTTGATCCTACGTTCTACAGAAAACTAGTTGGCCAATTGATGTTTGCTACTAATTCAAGATTTGATATTTGTTTTGTTGTGGGACAACTCTCTAGGTTCACCTCAAGAGTCTCATCTTGATATTGGCTTCCAAACCATGCAGTACCTCAAGGGTACTTTAGACCATGGAATATTCTTCAAGCGAGGTCATCCACTACAACTGCAAGGATACACAGATGCCACGTGGGGCTCTTGCCAAGACACATTCAAGTCTACTGGTGCTTACGTTCTTACACTCGCTGGAGGGGCAGTATCATGGTGTTCTAAGAAGCAAAATCTCATCTCACTCTCCTCTACCGAGAGTGAATATAAAGCCTTGTCCTTTGGTGCACATGAAGTTGTTTGGTTACGACAACTCTTGCATGAGATTAATCCAGCTATAGTCACCTTGAGACCCACGCCTTTCTCCTGCAAGGATATTAAAATCACTTATGCTCTTCCCACTCCCAATTCACTGACTGACTCCACAATCGTTGATTGTGACAACAATAGTGCTATAAACTTGCTAAGAATCCAATTTTTCATGCAAGAAGTAAGCACATTGGTATCCAGCATCATTTCATCAGGGAGCGGGTAACTTTGAAGGAGATTGAAGTTCGATTTCTCTCCACCAAATTACAGCCAGCAATATGTTGACCAAGGCTCTTCCTAGGCAAAAGTTTAATCGACAGACATTATCTTGGTCTATGAAGTCTATCAACGCCAATTGAAGAACCTCTTTCAACAATTAGTTGTAGAGAACTAGTTTTTTAGATCTACACTTTGCACTCTAGAGCAAGTGAGGGTGTTAGAATAAGTTAGATTCAAAAGTTACTCTTAGAGTGCTAATATTACACAAGACTTGACACCTGAATCAATGTCCAAAGTAGTGAACTCAGATGATCAGTTATCCATTACACTACCGTTATAGATTACCGTTGTAAACTACTACACTATATGTACAGGACTTCTTATTGATCAAAACAGTATGACTCATCACAAATAAGTGATTCCAACAAATCTCACACAAGCCCGCCATCGCGAATATCAATCTTGATTAGAGACAGGTCATACATTCAAATCTACTACACGCACGGAATTCTTGCACTCCACTATACCGTCAAATTCACATGTACTCAAAATCATTGTGATACGAACCAATGTCGCGAAGTAAGACGCGAATCCTCATGAGCCTATCTCAAGACCCAACTACGCGTCGTATTTGGTTTGGTATTGCGACCGCACATGACTTTGAAAGTCATGATGATATGACTGAAGAGCGTCTTTATCAAAAGATTTTTGCGTCATTGATAGTACACCCAAAAATATACTCCACGTTCCAAGTCCTTTTGGAACTCACTCAAAACAGAGTCTGAGGAGCACCCCCTTCAGGCTGACCATCCTCCGAAGCGGACTTAGTTCCTCTCGCCGGGAAAGAACTCTCCAACCCTACGCAGAAATTCCTTCCAATGAGCCCGCTGCCAGGTCTTCGACGTAAATACTTGAACCCGGAGGCACGGAATCATCTTTGACGTCGATTGGAAAGATTGGAAACTCACGAAAAATATTTTCCACCGCACTGAACCTCTAACCCGAGTGAACCAATGAGTGAACTTTGTATGAAGTCATCTTTGACGTTGATCAAGAAGTTGGAAACTAGCAAAAATATTTTTCACCGCACTTATACTCTACCTCGAATGAACCAATGAGTGAACTTTGTATGGAGTCGTCTTTGACAAAGAGATTGGAAACTAGCAAAAATATTTTTCACCGCAGTGATACCCGAGTGAACCAATGATAGTAAGGTGATGGCTAATTAAAGACTGGAAAAATATTTTTCACTACACTGACCTCTAACCCAAGTGAGTCAATGACTAAACTATGTATAGTAGGATGAGGACTAATTAGCAAGACTAGAAACTCACAAAATAAATATTTATCACCAAAGGAGTACTAATAAAAGGGCTAATTAGCAAGACTTACCACAAATATTTTTCACTCTAACCCGAGTGAACGAATGAATGATTTTCGTGTAGTAGAGTCAATGACTGAACACTGTATAGTAGGGTGAGGGCTAATTAACAAGACGTGAAACTCCCAAAAAAATATATTCCCCACATTGACCCTTTAACCAGAGTGAATTCTCTGTAGTAGAGTGAGGGCTAATTAGCAAAGGGAAAATATTTTTCACTCTAACCCGAGTGAAGGAATGAATGATATCCGTACAGTAGTGTGAGGGTTAATTAACCCCAAGTGAATGATAACTAGCCGACACAATACAAATCTCATCCTCCTGGATACATATTAATTCAAAATTTATTCAATGTCATTTCTTGTAATATCTAACTCACAATAGATAAGACATTTAGTACATTCATATTTGTAACTGTAACATTTTCAACAGGAATATTAAATTTTTGTACATAGTAGATTCATGGCATTCGACTCCGAGAGAAGATACTAAAATATAATTGGTACCTCCATACCAGGAGTTTAGGGTTAAGATGACTACTAGTATATTGCAGATTGCTCTGATTTGGTCCATATTGATTCAGATAATGCTAGACACCACTTACCGTACGACACGCACAAGTTGTACAAGTTCCAGTTGTGTTGCTGTTAAGAGAACATGGACTTTACATGACACTGACGGTTTCGGTCTTCTCCTGATAGATGAAAGGCTCTTGGCTAGGCACTTGACTGCTATGCGATCAGAACGTTGATTCATACTACACTAAGCCTTCCAATGGTCGCGATGAACCCTTAGCTGCAGTGATGCAACTAAATTCTGCCCGAGGAACTACAATCCCCTGCGGCAATACAAGTACCGAGTCAATTTGAACCTGATACCAACTTTCTTCAGATTATTCAGGTTCGGAGGGGCTGGAATCTGCAAACTAAACGAGAATGACAGCTTGAGGCAAAGCAAGTTCGTGAGTTTATTGAAGTCACAGATCTCAACTACGGTCTAAAAAGTCTAAGAACTCTGATTAGCTTTCATTTCATAACGGAGGAAAGCAAAGCTAACCTGGTTAGGTCGGTAGACTCATTCGTTTCCTCTGTAGTTGTTGTCGACCTGCTGTTTAAATTAGGAGCTTACCGACGCCCTCTGCACCGATGCTGAAACAGTTCGCATTCAAGCTGATGATGCATACTACATTTACTTCTGAGGTCAATAAATCTACAATAGATATTGGCTTGGTCCAACCAGCACGTTATGGCGGTCTCTTAGCGCTTTATCATTGTTGACTAGGATAGAAGCAAAAACCTCTGCACTTGCAGGTACAATCAAAAAAGAATCCCTCTTTATCTGAAAAATTATTGTTTCAGTTATTCGGAATATCACAACAATTCTTAATCCCTGCATATGGTTCAAGAAGAATTTTCATTAGCGTAGATACGAGCCACTCCTACCACTCAGAACAGCATTAAATCCGAGGCCACTAGTGGTGGAGGCTGGAAGAGATACAACTCTAAGCAGTTCCTATACCAGACCATCCACCGGTCTCTGTCAACATCTTACGCTATCGACATCAGATAAGTCCGGTTGGTTTCATCCAGTATCTGTACGAGCTACGAGGTACAAATGAGTATCTCGTAGCTCGTACAGACCAACCTGAAAAAATCAAATCTCAAATCACTGTAGACAGTGTGCGAGCCACAGCAGGCATGCGGTCTTACAGTATGCGAGCACTGTATGCACGTGAAAAGACATGGACAATGGAAAACGGTGTGGTCTTCAGAGTATGATGTAATGATCCAGCTGCAGCTCCTCCGCACCGTGGTCATTAAGACCAACATACGGTAGAATCAAGAAGTAAATATATTTCGGTGGAAATCCGCGTCCATCAGTGGGGAATCGTGAGCTGCAGAACTGGACTTGATATTAGCAACCCCGGGCTAGGGAATCTCGTCGTGCTTACTCAGCAGCTGAACTAAGCATTCGACCATTCATCATTATCTAAAGGGTCCGTCCTGAGGAAGTCTCCCATTCAAATAGCTGTGCAAAACAGTGTAATGAGAATCAGCCTAGACACTTACGGGTCTCGTCCAACAAACACTCAACTTTGCTGAGGACAAAGGTTGCTAGAGGCACTCCTTAGAAGCACAACTTGAACTCTTAACATACGTCAAGACAGTGCATAGGGAACGCCAGCATGTGACATCATACGAAAAACAGACATGTGACTGACGAATAGGTGGGATAAAGCTAAGGAGCACAATTTCCTTTAGATCGAGAAAACAAAAAATAGCTTGACATACCGAGAGGGCTGCTATCTACAGGGACAGGGGTTGGGCTTACAAATGATCCCAAAAGAACCCGCATACTGAGTCCGATAACCCTCAAAAATCTCGATATAGCTTCTTGTTCCGTCAAAGACCTAATCCTGATGATGGCTATTTTGATGAGTCAGGGAGATGAACCTTCGGGTTGACCCTGCTGTACTCTGGATTCAATTTCTGTGAGTAGATCTACAAATTCACTAAGAAGTCTCTGGATGGCTCGATTGGATGCCATAGCAGGTAACACGTCCTGTTTAAGCAGATCCCGTTTCTTCATTCCAAGAATAGAAGGGTCCCACTGAGATGAAACTGCAGGATCTCTACTCTCGTCAATACCGGGTGACTGCCGGGGTCCTAGCAACTCTTCACAGAGCTCTCTCAATCTCGACTTGTCTGCATCTCTTGCCAAGCATCGAGCATAGGCCAAAAGACAGCGACGATATTCCTCAGCAGAACGGAGGGCTAAAGCTGCTCCCATTTGAGCCTCCAACTGTGACCGATTATTGTAACTGCCTGATTCGTGAGCAGAAGCTTTCAGCAAGTTGAAGGACGTGCCATCCACGCAAAGTGATCCAGCTTTCTTTTGAGTTGGACCAGCTTTTGCTCTCATGGATGTTAAGATGGGACTGAATTCACAGAAGGTTGATGACGGGAAGCTGTCAGCTATCCTTAGCCAACACTTCAGGTCCATGTGAAACAAAAAAGCATGGTGATTTTCCAGCACAACCAAGGGTGCACCAACTTCGGAGATTCTCGCTGATACCACTCTCACTTGACCAGCCTCTGAGGGTGAACTCGGGTAACACGACAACAGAGCATAGACCGATTCTAGGAGGATGCTAGTGGAGTTGCGTATATCCCACATGTGCAGAGATCCACACCCAGTAAGCAGAAGTAAGCTCCAGTTCTTGTCGCAATCCATGAACGCTGCCGGTGAGCTCAAAATCAAGAGTGGCAAGGCTTGTCTGCCGGCAACCGTGTATATCTGCACGCTGTTGTCATCACCAGCAACAGCCCAAAAATTCGAATTCCCTGTCAAGATGGTGGCCTTCCTCTTGACTCGATCCCACCACAGTATTTTCCCTCCCTGTGAGCAGACAATATCCGTCTCCAAACTGCTGTCCACTACTCCATTTGCTTCTGCTGTTCCTCCTTTCTGCTGGGTTCCAGCAGGACGGGCCTCCAAACAAATCGGTGCTTCTAATGAAGGATGGATCTCGAAGGTAAGAACACCTGGACTGCTAGCCGGTTGTATTAACAATTTGGACGTGGGTGTGCGGCTCGCTTGTTTCGGAGGTTCCCCACCCGGTCCTGCAACCAACCGATCAGTCATGGAAACATCAGCCGTCTTGGGCCTAGTGTCAGTGCCTTGCCTGCCAGTTCCATCGCCTTCGAAAGTAAAGAGTCTCTCCCTGCCTTCAGATCTTGGACCAGCGTTCGGGACGTTTTTCGAGGACTGAGGAGGGTTGAACACTTCATATCCAATGCCTTTCGCCCCATCGGGAGCTTCATTCTCTTTACAGTCCTGCTCCAGGGGCTTAGGGATGATTCTTCGGCGCCCGTCAGCACCGCGATACTCTGTTTGCTGCAACACTCGAGTTTTCCTGTTCGTTGCAGCGGATTCCTGCGGTGCAACCTCAGGAGCCTTCTCAGCTGCGGAGCTCTGCACCTCCACCGTCCCAACCGACGTAGCGAGCTGCTTGGCAGCAGCAGCTTCTAAAATGAGTTGCGATGCACTTTCTACGAGAGTCAATCCGCGGACGTTCTGATCACCGTAGCGGGTCTTCTTAAACTCTTGCATCTCGGCATCAGTGACTTTCAGGCCAAGCTCTTTGGCCTCGAAACTAAATGACGCAACGGTGCCATCGAGCGAGCAGCACAGCAATGTGTAGCCGTCAGTGCTCCACGAGAGATCGACAACGCTCTGCGTGAAAAAATGTTTTCCTACAAAAACGGGGCGTGGACTGGCCGTGGTCCACACGGTGATGTTGCAGTCCTGACTGCCCATAGCTATGACGTTGTACGGGGCAGAATCTGCACCGGCGGCGTCGTGGGTGCCACCATTCTTCTTGGACTCCGGCGCTTTCCGAAACATGGAATGATTGTAGCGCACTGCGACCACCGGAGCGTTGTGCCCGACGAAGTCGAACGAAGTGCACCATTCTCCTCTTTCTAACACAGGTGCTGTGTGGCTGGGCTCCTGGAATCCGTGAGTGGTGGTGATGAAGTGTCCGCAAGGTGACCATGCCAATCGCCTGGAGAAGGTGAAACCCACCGTCTTCTCCCAGGGCCCTTCAGCCCTGTGAATCATGCTCCAATTGCCCGTGTGCCATATGATCACGGTCTTGTCGTCGGACTGGGTGGCGAGGAAGGAGCCAACAGGATCCCAAGCTACACCTTTCACGAGACTCGTGTGACCCATGAGAACAGAAATCAGGTTCCCATTTAAGGCCGACCAGATTCGCACACTGTTGTCCAAGCTGCAGCTTGCTATCATAGAGTCATCCGGAGACCATCCCAAATCAACCACGTCCGCTGAATGTCCACGAAGAGTCAAGAGTGTTTTCCAATTCTCGGCATCTGGAGGCTCTCCGCTTCCAAACTCTGTCGTGCCGGAACCAGGATGTCGTTTGTGTACGAGAATCAGATTATCGTCTGACCCAGATGCGATGAAGTGACCACCCTTGGCCCATCGTACGCAGTTCACTGATCCAAAATGGTCGCGCAAAGTCGCAAGTAATCTGGGCTGCGAAGGTCCTTGATCGCTACTCTGCAGAGCCGTCATGCTCCATATCCGCACCTTATGATCCCCTCCAGCGGTGGCAAATCGCGATCCATCCGGTTGTATGTCCAAGGAAAATATTTGAAGTCCAGCATGACGCAGCCAGTCTAACTTTTCAACAATCATTCTGTATATCGCAATGCGTCCTCGCTGTCAAGCATTGAATATACAAAAACACCATCATCTCAACTGAACAACAATGACACTACTTGCCAACATTCCCAACATTGCAAAACCCTTGGAAAATCTTGCCCCTTCGTCATGTAGCAATCCAAGTAAACGGGACCTCACGGCCTCACAATCATAACAACATGAAGTAATGACAATCGACAATTACCCTTCTATGCACGTACAATGTAGCCCCGCATAATTACAGACGGCTTGCGCAGCGATCTCAAGATGTCTGTGCGGGACACTCTAGAGAGAGAAATGCGACTTGTTCTTTCCTGATGTAACTAACAAACCCTAGACGCTCATTTGCTTCCATATCACGGCCACTTAAGACCTACACGTCGTTGGGCGGTGCAGTCATTGGGTGTATGAGCAGAATTTTAACCTTGAAAATCAGTTACATGTTCTGCGAAAATTTGTACTGGCATTTGGCACATTCGTAGAACACTGTTTGCCCTTCATCGGCCGACCGTAACTGCAACACCGATGATAAGAAATGTCAGTTACAACACGACATTTATTCTTCTACCCGACTCCATCGTGGCCCTAGGAAATGTCGAGAAAAGTATCTACGCGGTGTCTCTTTCGCACACAATGCAGCTCTTGATCAGCTCTGTCAAAACTTGCTCACACCAAAAGCACTTCAGAGTGAACTGTGATTCACATCACCTGTCTGGTATAATACTCCAGCTGAGGATTGCGGCACTTCGGGCATTCATCGTTCACCTGCAGATAGTCACCAAAAATTCGTTCAAACCAGAAAGAGGGAAGGCGAGTATACCACATGCACACGACGGCATAGTCCACGTGAGCCATCGGACACAAACTGCGAGAGAAGCAGAGAAAACTAAGATGCGAATTGAATATGTAGAAATGTTGCCACCCTGAGAACACGACCACGGAGAACTTACAACGGCCCTCTGCTGAATTTCCTCATTCTCAAGACCACCTTGGGCATCACTATCTGGCAGGATTAAAGGCTCGATTCCCAGCCGCCTGATCAAGTCCTGTAAACCGAGTACGTACGAAGTGGACAGCTGAGAAAAAATCCCTACCAGCGCAAACATCGACCAGCGTGGAACATGACACATAGACTAGCACCACACCCAAGTAAGACACAAACAGGTAACTAATGAAATGCTTGCATTTCATGATTATACAATCATAATGCGGGATCAAGAAATGCCGGGCCTCTGAATATCTGACCTCGGCAGTGCTAGAACACCAAATCTCTTTGCCTTCGAAATCTGCGCATCCGAATAACCAACGCTCAGGGCAACAACAGCAGGTTCCGCTAGGGACGGCAAATGCTTGAGCCTAAAAACAACTAGAGCAAAAGACCTGCAGACACTCCGGAGGCTTAACGCATCATCACCTTAACCCAGCCTTGAAAGGGATGCTGAGAACATTGCACATTTGAGAAAGTAACTAGCGTTCAAAGCATGAAGAACAGACAATTCGAGCCCTCGGCTTATTCGAGAGCGAGTCTATGAACGAGCTACTGCCTCGATCGTAGATTTTGAGACTTGAGCGACGCAGAATTCAATGAGGAAAACCTAAAGCTGTACGGGGTCTCCTGTAGACTAGTTCAAAACGCGCGAAGAATGAAACTTATCAACCACGCACCATGCGCGACTTTGAGTGAACAAGGAAATAAATTTTCTATCGTCAGTGACAATGTAGAAAAATCGTTTCGGAGGAAACTGAGAACTTCGACGCACACACGAACACGCGGCATTTCTTCAAGTCAGTTGTAATCTTGCTCGGGAGGTTGACAGCATTCGGAGCATAAATAGAAGAGGAGTGCAACCAACCACCGGACACAATTTACCAGTCAACGGCGAGTGAGCGAGCACTCACTCGCAAGACCACGCAATGCCGACAGACCATGACCCAGCGAAAGAACACAACAGCAATTTCCAGAATTTCACCTGTCGCTGCTGCTACGCATCACGACAACACCAAAGCACCAGAGCACATCAAACATGGCAAGCAAAGCCCAGAGGCGGACCTGAAACAGAGCGGTGGGAATTGCAGAGTGGACAGGTCGCATAACTGGCCGACCCAAAAGACAGTCCTGTGCCGCACAGAGTGCAAAACAAACTGTCGTGATCTCGGAACGCCATTATCTGCTCTCAAAGCATATTTAGATCACTGGTTCTGAGTATCGATCATTCCTCGACACATTGTCTCTCCTCCATGCTCCCTGTGCCTCTCGCTAAATCCTTCCTTCCTTCCCTTCCCTTCCTCCTTTGTCCTCATTTTCCTCCACCTAAGTCTGTCCGCAAACCCTAATCCTCGGGAATTTCCTCCAATTCTAGGTTTTTCCCCACGCTAAGGACTCGACACTAAGACACCGAGCACTCGTTTAGCTTATAAGCGTGGCATCGGGTGTTAAGCTTGTGCTTGAGGCTCCTTACTGATAATGCGTAAATGAACATTGCCGGAATTGAGAGATGTCATCAAAATTGCCATAGCTGAGAATCACAGACACGATGGAGTCTGCAAATAATCCACTTTCCAAGTCTGTCAAGTTTGTTTCATTGGATTGAACGTTTCAATAGATCAGCTCATGAGGTGAAGCAATCAGAATTCACCTCGTAAATGTTATGAAATATGATGAAATAAGTGAGTGAGAGAACATTCATCACTTTCATCTGTTCAGATTTGTGTACAAAATTGCAATCCAAAGGTGAAGTTTGAAAGGTTGCTTTTTCTAAAATTATGGCGAAATTTCTCTCAATGTCGGAGACGTATATGGAGTTGCCATGAAAATTGAGCACTTAATATGGGAAAAACTAGTGCAGGTTAAAGATCGTGAGATGTTACTTTCATATCTCATTGTGATTAAGGTTTTCACCAAGTTGATCGTGTAATTGTTGCATGTGCTTTATACATCCATCGCTAAAGATCAGTTAAGGTCTTATCATATGCTTCAACATGAGGAAAAAAGGATCCTACAAGATGCTTCTTATTGACAATGAGAACAAATATTTATTATGGTTTTAGCAAGTTTTTGTAATAATGGAGTGCAATGAAAATATACATCTATTGAATGAATATATTTGGCAATTATGATCTAGTGGCAAATTTATCATATGATTACTTAAACAAAATTTTACACTTATCACTTATCATCAACCATTGAAATGATTGAAGACAATCATACCAGCATTAAGTATACTTGAGTGATTATTGTAATCTTCCAAATATATAGTTTCATGGATGTGCAGAAACTTTGAGTGATAAATTGTAATGCCTATTTCGATGATGTAAATCATCTAAAGTCTTACCTTCACATAGCTTTTAGCATTTCAGTTTGTTTTATCCAGAGAAATTCAGATACACGTCAACCTATTATTACTTTAACATCGAAATGAACAAGTCATCAAGCTTTTTATATTCAATTTGACTTGTACATGGCTTTAGATATTTGGTCATAACATCAGGGTCATGATTATTACATCATTTTTATTTTGAATTTAAAACTTTGAAATTCCATAGTCAAATACAATGTCATCATCATCAAATGTTATCATCATACTTTTGTATATAATATGATAGAGATTTTACAAAGAGGAATTGAATTTTCAATCTGAATAAGATCAATTAAAAAAAACATCCAATGTTTATGATTTATCATTGGAAATAATTATAGCTTGCAAACATTATGATATGTTTTCCACTCCTTGTTTTGTGATGTGCTATGTATCTAAAGCTGCCAGTAATGTATAATACCAAAATAGATTATTTTTTTGATATGAATAACCTTTATGTTTTATTAATATATGTTTAATAAACATAAATTTTGTTAGTTGAACAATGTTAAAGTCATTCAAACACATTATTTTTTTAGTATTTTTATTAAGCAAAATATGTGATTTGCTATACACAGCATTGAGTTATGATATTATTCAAAAAGACGATAACCAACGCTTAGTTCACATTTCTCATTGTGATGATTCATTTAGTTTGGAATTTAATGCATCAATTACATTAATGTCACAACTCTATCTGATATTTTAAATTTGTATTAATTGATACACAAGGCTATGATAGTGTAAATTAGACACTTTATTCTACAATTATGTGATATTAAAATGTTTAAAGTCTTCATGCAGAGTATAATGATAGGATGAGTTGAAAAAAATTATGTCTTAGTTCCATAAAATAGATACCAGATTATAGATTGGATGTAACTATGATGTTAAAAAAACGAATTTGGTAGTAATTTGCAGATTACTTTGATTATTGTTTGTTAATGTAGGTTTATATTATTGTGGATGTAAAATTAATTAATTTTCAATGAAGAATTATATGTTTTAACAAGATTTATTTTTTAATATTGAATATTATATTTATAATACAAATAATACATGAATTTTTTAAGTAAATTCTTAGAAAATTAGAATATATATCGTAATTATAGATAATTATGAACAAACAAAAGTCATAACATTTAAAAAGTCATAAAATATTAGGTGACAATATTAGATACCATACAAATTTAATATCCTACTCTTAAAAAACTTCCTAAGTGAAATTAATGTGATTTTGATGAATTAATATAACATTTTGTGTTTGTCAAGCAAAAAATAAGAATATGCATGTTACTGAATCATTTTTTGACTTCAGAATTTTAATTTTTTTTTGATTTTTTTATCATATTTCTGACTTAAAAATACATTTAATTTTGTTTAAGATGAAGATAAATTATATTGACTTGATTGATGTTGATTTATTTATATTTATCAAATTTTTAAGTATACAAAAATCAAGATATAAACTTTCAAATTTCATTTTATTTGAAAAAGATTCTCTATCATTATATCGTCACGTTGTATCAGATATTATTTTGAAATTTTGTATTATTTTGACTTTTTTGTTGAGTATTATTATTTATAAATATTACTAATGATATCATTTAACACTTTTGCGCACCCACTTGTCTCAAATACTAAACCTATAAGAGCACGATATTTTGTGCCAATAATTTTTATCATAAAATTAATTCATACATATTTTGTGAACATCTATGATGATTTCTATTTTATTGAATATAATTCAAACATTTATTTTTACCAATTTACTTTCTTTTGCATACTATACAACTTACTTGTATAATCAATTTGAATATATTTTTGATATATACACACATACATATCATGTGGATCATGCCAATTGTTTTTTTGTTCAAAATGTAAAAGAATGTGACTTAATTTTGCAAATATAATTACAAACGATGATTAAAACTAAAGGTTTGAAAAATAAAATTTTAATAATTTGTGAAGATAATGATCGCAACAACTGGCTATAAGATATTTATCAATCAAGTCAAAGGTAACTATAGACTATGATTAAAAGATTAATTTATTATATATGCATAAAGCATCAACTCTTATAATATGTTATATTTTTATAAATTAAATATATAGAGTATAGTTTATTGAAGAATATATACTTATAAGATATGAGTATATATCTTTTGATAAACTATACATTAACATTCAATTGAAGATTTGATGTCAGTTATAGATTCATTATTTGTTGAATGCATTTCATTATTGCTGAAAATATTCAGAAATCATGACTATATGCATTTTAGAATATTGAAATAAAACTTTGGAAGTAGAGAATCAATATTGCTTTTGTAACTAACGCTATCAAGAAAAAAATTAATTGGATGTTGTTAAACAAACGAATAACATATAGCATATACAAATGAATAAAAATGTGTATATCTCATTTTCATTGAAAAAATAAAGATATAAATACATGGAATTAATAAATGACCTGTTGCTGATTCAAGAAAAAGACATTTCTTGCGAAAGTAAAATTTAAATGTAATCAACAATAACATGTTTTGTACTCTGCAAAGTTATATGTGGTTATGTACATGTGTTTCATGCATGTAGATTCTATCATAAGATATAAACATGAATGTGATGAATGTTATTTTCTCTAAAATGGAATAAAACTATGATGCTATAGATTCGCAACAGTCACAAAACCTTAACACCATGATAAAAAAAAGTAGTTTTGGTGCTAATGTGATTTAGGGATAATTTCATCAAAACTTGTAATGATGTATAACCCAAAACTTCTTACTAAAGTAAATAGAATTTGGGAAAATTTAGGGTGAAAGGATACCATGTATGTTTAATTTATGACTCAAATTTGTATATCGATCTAACCATTAGTATATTCAAAAGATATGTTAAATAAAATCATAACAAAAATCTTAAAATCCCATGTATATGGAAGAGATTGGGATGTACTGTAGGATATTATTGTGTGTGAAGAAGTAAATGATTATCATCTGAACAAGTCTTTATTGATAAGAGCTTTGTTTTTTGCGGATGGAGATGAAGAATTGTTTGAAGATGACATATGAGCTCTTCCTATTTATTCGATGATGTTTCAAAATTGATAATCAACTACTATTGATGCTATTGAAATGCTATCAGAACTGATGATACTAAGTCCGTTACACGAATGCACAGATATAAGATCTTCATTTGCCCATGCTCAATAGGTTTTGTCAGCAAGTTTAGACAAAGAGTTATATATTAAGCTATATATAAAGAGATTGTTGTCTTGTATCCTACCCAAAGTTCTTAGCAGCCATTGCAAATACTCGTAGCATAGAGCAAAATGGTGGACATCCGAAGACATACTTTATGAAAGGACGACCTTTTAAAACCTCTGAGATTAAGCTACTCAACCGGCCCAAAAGGAAAGGGATGCATCACTCTGAGGTCCGAATCACCGCGCAGGAAGCAGCAGGAAGCAACAAATAAAGATATACTGTAGACAAATCTATACGAACTGCGAGGATAAGATACGACCATAACAATTACTACTCAGGTTACATGGAAGCTGAAAGACATGGCTGTAGTAACTGCATACACGTCATCTTCTGCCATTGGGTCTCGGTACATTACTGTACTTCCTCGCAAATAATGCTCTACCTCTAAGTAAGTCTGGGTCGCCAGTAAGTCTGGGTCGCCAGTAACAAGATGTGTAGAGAGCAATTTCGGAGAACATATGGAGAGAATTCATGATTAATCGGAACACGCCAGTGTCTTTTTCCGTTTCAGAGTGAGGGAGCGAAAATTCATAATATCATCAGGTATCTTTTCGGTTCCCAACGACATTTGTGAAGGAGGGATCTCCCAATCCACGTACATCAGAGATCCTGACTTCACATCCTGACGGCAGAACGAGAAGCTGTGCCAGGACGAAAGTTTTAAGCTTTAGTGCCAGGACGAGGAGCTGTCGTTTGCCTTTGGGGAGTTAGGGTCTTGCTAAATATCGGATCCAGCTCGTCTCCTCCACACTTTCCATGAGCAAAAACTACACTGCTAATGTTTCTGGACACTTATGGCTACAGATCAGCATCACTCGCAGTAGGAGTGTCCATTGATGAGGTTTTCCCTCGCCGCTGTATGCATCTTCACAACTGCACACTTCGAAGTCACCTGAGATCTTGTGAATCTTAACCTCGCTAGACTTCAGGTTTGAGTCAAAGACCTTACACCGAGTATTTTCACCGAGGCACGGAATTATGTCCAATAGCACCGTTGTGTGTGCTAATTGGGATTTATCAGCCTTGGGAGAAGTTGCTTCTCACTAACTCAAACGAAGTGATCCCGTTTCTCGCCTTCCTGGCAGTCAGTAATTTCGCGAAAATTAATCACGAGGGTTTCCATTGGCCTACAGCAGCAGGCGCAGGCACTGTTTGCTTCAGCACCTCCTCCTCTCCGTCCCGCGCGACAAGCTCCAGTCCCTATCCCTGTCCTCAGTCCCTTAATTTGTGAGACGTGTCTCTGGAGTCACAGCAGGTGCTCTGCTCATCTCTTGATGTGCGTGTCCATGATTCCGTATTCCACCAAGGCTCGAATAGGAATGTCAATTTTCGTATGTATTAGAAGGTGTCTTTCAATGCCTTTCAACAGCATTTCGAAACCTTTTCAAGGCACTATCTGCACAGCCCGACCTCTATGCGAGCTACGAAAATTGTTCGTTTACTTGGAATAGTCTCTTGGTCATTGTTCCTTGGTCACACTGTTCCTACAACCTGGCTCAATTCTTCGGTTCGAGCACATTTCATCCATTCGACACAATCCAAAGTCTGCACAATGCAATGCTGTCTGCAGTAGCAGCAAAACTCGCCCCTTTTCGTGGGTGGAAGTCCCCCACCTGCAACCTCAAAAAGGAGCAGAACTTTAATGCAGAAACCTCGAGTCACGCTGATTGCGAGGATGTGACAACGAGAGAAAGCCATTCGAGAGAATCCCTCGCACATTCGCCTCCATCGTGATCGGACCAATCTCACACATCCGAGGAGAAGAAGACAGAACACTAGACCAAAAATGGTACATGCAGAAGAGAAGCAGATCCAGACGGGAGACTCTGCTGGAGGAATTCTGGAGAATGATATCGAATAAAGAGAGGGGTGACAGCTCCCCCCGTGTAATAATGTACATCTCGAACCCCGTGCACGGGGTTCACCAGAACTGGCGTTGCCCCGTGAGGACGACCCAGAGATTGACAGTCATGCGACTCACAGACAGGGCTAAAACGCCATCGAGGAGCTGCCCACTCCTCGCCGTGACCCACAGCGACAGAAGCCCGGATAGCATGCTACTCCGCCACTCCTTGCCATTGTAGAGCGCGAGAGCCGAGTTGCAGACGAGCCACGCCGTCCAGCTCCACATCGACAGCGGCACGTCCGTGAAGGACTCGAACTCGATGTCGTCGCTGAGGCTCTGGACCAGCACTCGGTAGAGCCACGAGTGGTAAAACAAACAGTCTTCGATCGGGGTCGACGAGGCGCAGAGGATTCGAATCGCGTCCCACACAAAACCCCAGAATCGCGACTCGTAATCGACGCCGGGCCGCCAAGTGGTGCGCATGTCACCGAGCCGATTCTCGTCCAAGAGAATGGTGACGAGGCCGCTCAGAAGCCCCACGACCAATCCTTCGGCCGTGCCCAGGCCCGGCACGAATTCGTCGAGGTGGAGTTCCGGCAGAAAGGCGTAAAAGAGCGCGACGTACAAGACCGTGCTCGAGTAATGCACGACCTTGATTTTGTACCTGGCCTTCCTCATGATGGCGGACTGCATTAGGTCGAATGTCAGTAATTCGTGTTCGTCCGGTGAGCTCCCCGGGAAGTGGCGTCGGCTCGAGAGCGCTGCGGCGCTCTCGATGAAATGCCTGCGGCCCTCTTGCCTGGCGCTGAACAGAGAGCGGTAGTGGATCACGTTCGCTGCCAGCGTCGTCGTCAGCCATGGCAGCACGCGCAGCAGCGTTTCCACGACCTGCACCATTCGGATGCACGAGCGAGCGAGCGACGACGATCCTTGAGGTTCGCGATCGTCCTCAGCCCCACCCACACTCGACTGGCGATGATGCCGACCCGCTACGACACTGGGGCGCTCGCGACCGAAGAACCGCACCCCGGCGCCATGCCTGCTCGAGCTACGACTGCCAACATTCCTCGGCGGCGAGAGATGCGAGCGAAGAAGAAGAAGGTGCACGAGCTTCGATCGCTCGCATTTTTCCTACGGGAGAGACCGACAGGGCTTGCAATTACGCACATCCTCGCCGCCGCTGGGCCGGCTCATACCCCAGCTCCGGTGCTCCTCCAGCCGCGACGATCGAGAGCCACTCCCCCGCCGAAGAACGACTTGGCAGTGCACTGGACATCGAAGACAAAACGAAGACGACCTCGACGGGCCCTCAGAACCACCAGCTTCTGGCTTGCCGCACGAACCTGATACACTTGGCCTGGAATTGGAGAAAGAGGCAGAGCCACAGAATTGGCTCCATCTCCGGAGTTACCGAGCTCGACGATCTCGACGACGGACCGATCGAACGGCGGGACGAGGACGAATTCACCCTCGAGACAAAGCTCGCTCGGGAATCCGAATCCGACGATGGGCGGCAGGGGGGGAGAGAAAGCCCATCCCTCGGGTCACAGCGAGAAGCCCATGAGCAGATTTCGGATGAAGATGCACCAGAAACAGTGGGGGGAGAACAGCAGCAGCAGTGACAGGAACGCCATGAAATTACAGTCGAGCGAGAGCGCGCGCAGGCAGAGCAGGTCGGATCTCGCCTGCCTCGATGGATGTCAGTTGCCCCTCGTGCCCTCGTGGACTCTACGTGACAGGCTACGGATAAGCAATGTGGCAACACCCGCAGCAGCACCCGGACCTCTGCTTCTCTAGGGCTGCCGCCGCTCCACCGACACGTGCCTGTCCTGAATCAGAATCCCCTCTCCCATTTAAACTTTTCACTAAAGCCACCCCAACCGTATGCCTCCGAGCTGACGGTCGGGCCCTTCATACGTACAACGTTCGTGTGTAGCCGTCGTGTGAATCAAGTGGAACTTAACTGCGTAACTATTAGGTTTTGTGGTGAACTGTAGTCGTATCATCAGATTCGCTTTCAGGAAGCCTAAACCACTGCCCGGAGGTTGTGACCGTGTCTGGCTGGCGTTGGAGTCCTCGATCGATGGAGCCCATCGACATTTCGCGCAGCGGCATCGAGTTTCTTGCTCTCGGGGTGTCGGAGTTTAGTGGAAGTGGTGCCAGCAGCGGCGAAGGAGAAGAATGGACTAAACAGAAGGGAAGTCAACCGCACTAACTCGTCACTAACTAACCTTAGTTAGTGACGGTAAGATTTGTTGATGAGCTGTGAAGCAATGATACGACTACAGTTTACTTACAGTTTACAGTTGACTTTGCAGTTGAGTCATACGACGGTGACGACAAGGCACGAACGTTGTACGTATTAATGGCACCGGCCTTCAGCCCGGAGGCATACGGTCGGGGTGGCTCTAGACTGCAGTCATTTAAGCGCACCTGTAAGTAAGTAAACTGCAGTCTAGAGCCACCCCGACCGTATGCCTCCAGGCTGACGGCCGGGCCCTCAAAGGCTAACCTTACCAGGTTAGCGTTTGATTCTTACCATGTGAGCAAAAAATGTTCTTTCACAGTTGGAGTTGAAAGTAGATGCAAAGTAAACTTGCGCAGTGAAGGGCACGAGCTGAGGGCACAGCTGAGGACAGAACGTATATGAAGCCCTAAAGCGTCGGAGGCAGTCTCTTTCATTCAGCGGCGATTTGCTCGAAATTTGTTCGTCTTCCCCCCTCGTGGTGCAAGGGTGAACTTCGGGGTTAAAGCGGCAGCGAGGAGTCGTTGCCCGCCTTGCTCGAGAAATCTCGACTTGGCCCCTAATTTTGGGTGTCGCTGAGCATTGTCGAATCTGTGAATTGACAGATTCTGCGCGTCAATCACATACAGCTCGAAATTGGAAGCTGAGAGTTTCCGTCGGCCATTCGTAGAGGAGAAAGATGGGTTTCAAGGGTACCAAATTGGAGAAGAAGCAGAACTACGACAAGAAGTTGTGTGATCTGCTCGAGCAGTACACTCAGGTGTTGGTCTGCGCTGCCGACAATGTCGGCTCCACGCAGCTGCAGGGAATCAGGAAGGGTCTCAGGCCCGACTCCGTGGTACTCATGGGGAAGAACACTATGATGAAGCGTTCTATCCGACTCCATGCTGAGAAGACAGGAAATGACGCCTACCTCAACCTGATGACCCTTCTTGTGGTAAGTTTTTGGCCCTATCCGAAATGTTGGAGAGTTATAGCTCGAATTCGGTCTCATGTTGTGTCAGCGGTCTATGGAAACAGCGTAGATTCCAGTCATCTGATAGGTCACATCAGGTTGGTCACTAGTCTTCTCCGTTCTTGGTGCGCGAGGCATCACTTGTTTGCAAAAAAATGTTCTTCCCAGCTGCTAGGTATTAGGGTTAGCAAGTAGAGAGTGTCCACATTATCACCCATTCTTCGTGCTTAGTATCAGTTTTGGACGCTGTGTGCGGTGGCTTAGTCGCAGCAGGCATGATTTGAGACCATAAATTTTTGTTGGTTACGTCGATAGTTTTAGGGCTTATGAGAAGGAATTGCACCTACGGAATGTTATCCAATTTTGAATATATTGTACCTCGCTGTTATTCTTCCAGGGAAATGTTGGTTTGATTTTCACCAAGGGAGACCTGAAGGAAGTTAGTGAGGAAGTGGCCAAGTACAAGGTCGGAGCACCTGCTCGTGTGGGTCTCGTCGCCCCCATCGATGTCGTGGTTCCCCCTGGCAACACCGGTCTTGACCCGTCTCAAACATCTTTCTTCCAGGTAAACTACATGCTCTTCGACATGCTCCGTGTGCAGTGTTTGAACTGTAAGTGACTTAATGTGCGAATTATGCTGTTAGAATGGCGAAATTTTTAATGACAGGTCTAGACGTTCGACTCACCGAATCGTTGAATGCCGTCTTTTCAGGTCTTGAACATTCCAACCAAGATTAACAAGGGTACCGTCGAGATCGTTGCCCCGGTTGAGCTTATCCACAAGGGAGAGAAGGTGGGATCGTCCGAGGCCGCCCTGCTGTCGAAGCTTGGAATCAGACCTTTCTCATACGGTCTGGTGGTGCAGTCCGTGTACGACAACGGATCAGTGTTCAGCCCTGAGGTTCTGGACCTGACAGAGGACGATCTGTGCGCGAGGTTCGCTGCCGGAGTGTCGAATGTGGCCGCTCTGTCGTTGGGCATCAGCTACCCGACTCTGGCCGCCGCTCCCCACATGTTCGCCAACGCGTACAAGAACGTGGTGGCTGTGGCTTTGGCAACGGAGTACTCCTTCCCTCAAGCCGAGAAGGTCAAGGAGTACCTTGCGGATCCAAGCAAGTTCGCAGCTGCCGCACCCGCTGCCGCCGCAGCAGTGTCATCTGGATCTGCTGCCCCTGCCGCTGCCAAGGTCGAAGAGAAGGCTGCGGAGCCCGAGGAGGAGTCTGACGACGACATGGGTTTTGGTCTTTTCGACTGAGATCATTTGAATCCACGATCCATTTAGCAGTTAACTCATTGGCCTGATGCGCTTACTTGTAACGTCGCCTTCTTTAACCTGAAGCCCGCACAATTTTGCGGTGAGGTTCGCTACGTGTATAGACTGGAGCCAGATTTTAGCTCGAATGGATTCAGATGTGCCGCATTGGATGATGAATGGAGTGATTGAAGTGGTTGTCCACGTCTTTCTTGCTTTGTTGATATGGTGAAGAGTTATGATGGACTGAATGTGACTACTGTCGCGAGGGGAAGAGTTAAAGTCAATGAAACAGTCCCAGCGGGTTTAGCAAAGGATACACTTTATTGAGGAGGAGGATTAATTTCCACGAATCTCAGTTGTGTAGTCTCAAAACTGGGAATGACTTCTCTTTTGGGATGTGGATGGAGAAAAATGGCTTGCATCTACTCTGGTGTTAGTCACCGTATGAATTATATAATCTAACTAAAAAAAAATGACAGGAGGCAAAAGCTATGCGAAGTAAAATGTAGAGAATGATCACAGCGAACTGAAAAGTAGATCAACAACGGAAAATAAGCCCTCAACAAAAATCCTGTTTTACTTCGTGTCTAACTACTTTCATAAATTACATTAACAAAAGCAATTCCATTTCAACAGTGATCAATTAAATCCCTGTTAATGAATATATGCGAACTTCCAGTAGCAAAATGTTCAATCATCATGCGTCATGGCATGTTTTCAAAGTTTTCAAAATACTTTAACATATACCGGTATGTTCCTGTACGTAAAAAAATGTATCAAGAAAAAACTTCTCTCCATGAAATGAATGTTCTCGCCGAAATACTCAATACTATTCAGATCTGATAACATTCACTGTCTTTATGATTAAGTTGCAAATGAATTATATGTAAAATTTTGGTGTATTCTCATGTGTGTATGAGACGAGATGTAATTTTTTTTTCTATAAGTATTGTATTTACATCAAGACGTGTACATTCTTGTGATTTATTATCATATTTGTAAATTAATTTGAATATAATAATCCTTATTGTATCCAAATCAATTTATCACATTTACGATAAATATAATATATTTCTTTAATATATTAACTTATGATCTAGCATCCATTTGGTATTATTTAGCATGTTATTGAGTAAAGTGCACTTTCAATTTAGAATTATGTATGTTATTGAACTTGCTGAAAACATCACATGTCATTGAACATTTTTGAAGAGACTTGAAATCTATATTAATTCAAAACTATCATACTAAGTAATAAATTATACAGAAATAAACATATTCAAATGATTAAAACTAGATTAGTAAACATTGATTACGATTTAATCAATTATATTGAATTTTATGTTTAAATCACACAATATTCATTACAATATCAATGACCAAAGCTTATTTCAAAATCTTTGAACTCAAAATAATTACTTTGTATGCATTTAGTTTATGATAAATGAGAATTTGATATTTTATCAGTAATTTTTTTGAAGATTTTCATACATATTACTTGTTATATAATTGAAATTGAATTTTTTTTGTGATTTCTATTTATATATATTGATAAAAAAATTAAATATTTATGAAAATAAAACAATGATTATGATTGAATTTTTCTTTTCTTATATTATTTGATAAAATCGTATTTTTCACTTTCAATATCTTCATTTTTTGTATTTAAAAATAACATGTTCTTCAAACATCTAGTCAAAAAATTTTATTCTAAATATAAAAAAAAATTTTATGATTTATTGAGCAAAGGTATGTTTTTATATCACATAATAACATATATATATATATATATATATATAAGAAAATTTCAATTTTTATATATGTTGTATGATATATAATATAAATCTTTTGATAAATTTGGCAATTAAGTAATTGCTTGTTTACTTAAACTAATTATAGGTAAAAAATTATAATACAAATCACTATCTAACAATTTGTCTTTGGTCCATATTGTGAGGTTTTTAAACTATAAAAACTCTATGATCCTACGTGATTGGTGCACATATTCAATTAGAATATAAATCAAAATTAAATTTTTTTTGGTTAAATTGATTGTTGATTACAACTAAATAACATGTTACATACTTATTTTGCTTTAAATTTTAATTCCAATAATTAAATTCCAAATGATAATAGCAAATGCACATTGATTTTTCTTCTAAATCAAATGTAAGATTCAAGATAAAATGTTTGTTTCAATACACAACACTAAGGTTAACTCACGTTTTGTTAACTGTAGTTAGTCTAAACATAGTTAGGCTTGGACTCTATGTAGGGTATGAGATACTTAATACTAGGATGAGCACGTTTTACTTTGGTCTCACATGTACAGAGTCTTTATGGGAGATTTTATGGAGAGTCTAGATACGGAGTCATAATGTAACAATCTTGTTTTAGTGAAGCTTTCATCTCAGTTGTTGACATATTATCCAAGTCTCCATGGGGAGACTTGGATTAATTTCAGTGATAAATTTCTTTAACCAAATTGTTTCCTTCATTACCTTTGCTGCTACAACATATTGAGCTTTTGTGGACTCTTACATGTAGCTATATTAGTTGAAGATCAATTCTTCAAAAATGCATCCACATACGCTCAATATGTTGCAGCAGCAAAGGCAACGAATGAAACAATCTGGTTAAAAAAATTTATCACTGAAATGAGATTGTCGCAGCTAGATGTCACTTCTCATTGTGATAGTCACTACGTGCTTCACCCGGCTGAGAATTAGGTGATGTATAGTAGGGTGAAGCACATTGATATCAGAAGGTTTTTTTATTAAACAAGTTGTGTTTGAGAACATAGTTAACCTCATCAAGATTGATAGAGAGCTTAACCCGGCTTATGGTTTTATCAAAATGATTCCTTCTTATATGTTGTCAAAACACCATGCGACTTTGAAGATTTTGCAGTAGTGAGTAAGATTATATGATAGTTTCTATGTATGTAGGATCTCTCTAACATGTTGTCACCTACGAATTAATTCTAGTTAAGTCTTGTTCATAGGGGGAAAACTATGGTTTAGTTTGATTTTTCTGAAACTATATATGTATTATAGAAATTAATTCCTCCAAGATTTGGGTTAAGGAGTAGCTTGTAAGGTTGATCTGCGTCTTGTTAACCGTAGTTAGGCTTGCCTCTGGTTAGTATTTGAGATACTTAACCTTAGGATGAGCACGTTTTAGTTTAATCTCACATACACATGTGGGAAGAGATAATGAAAAGCTGAGCTACGTATGTCCGATATAACATTCTCATTTTAGTGAAGCTTTTATCTCAACTGTGTACGTAGCCTCATGTGGACGTGAATCACATATCGTTTTGTGATTCTCGTTTGTGATTTTCAGTGTGTGATTTTTGTACAACGTTTTGTCATTTTGAAGTATATTCAATGCACACAATTCAAAATAATTTGCTGCAAGATAAATCACAATCATTTCAATTCAATCAACCGTTAAATTGTAAACTAACAAGTTTTTTTAACCAACTCTTCACTATTCAAATCAAAATTGAAATTGAAATATTTTTTTTATTTGAATGTAAAGAATTATTTACAAATGTGAAATACTATAAACTGCTTGATATTTTTGAATTATGATAAAATATATCAAATGTGACTCTTGTAATGTATTAACTTCTTTGACATGTCATATTCAAACAATTCCACTAACAACTAACACTTGACTTCAAAGTGAGACGTTAGATCACACCTCATTAAAGCTGTCAAATGCAAGGTTTGCCATACTTAGATTCAATTTTGGCAACTTTTGTTTACTTAATTCTGGCATAACATATGTTTTCACATTTTCATTACTATATTTTTGGCTACTATATATAACTTCTTAATCGATTATATTGATAAAAAATACTTATGATATATATAAATTTTGAAGCTTATTACACAAATCATACTAATTTTAATAAACGTTTCGTTAATATAACACTGCAATTTTCATAGATTACTTCTTTTTCATAATTAAACACATAATACGTTTATTATTGCTAGATTGTTGTAGAATTTGGTATATCATCATAATGCAATAATTATTTCACTAGAAATTTTTCAATTGTATTATAAATAATTTAACTACCCTAAATACAGAAATCAGGAAAGCACAGTAAATTTATTAAAATAAGTAAGAAAATATTCTACATCAAAAATAGATAGATTATAGAAAATTTCGGATTTTCATTTTTCCACTGCTATACAGTTCCATCATCCAATGAATCAACACAAATTCTGGAAAAATCAAGAATTAAGAAAACTAAGAATTATTTTCACATCACTTGTGTTTTATATATATGTGTACATATATTTTACTATAATTATTTTTCATATTAAAAATTTTCAAACACATGCTTTTCATGTAAAATTTAAGTAAGTAATATATATTTTCATGTAGTATAATTCTTCTTTAGAGTAGTGCTCTTGGCACTAGCCAGGGGGTTCTTTTGGTTCTTTCCTAGGTTGGAGTTGGATTTTTTGTATCGCGCTTTTCAGCCTTTTGACCATTTACCATTTAAATTTTTTATTCAAAATTTGATTTTTTTTCTATTTCATTTTTCAATCTTTATCTATTTAAGTTATAACAATCTTCAATACAAAGAAATTTGAACACACATGTACATGAACGAAACATATCGGCCGGGAATATTGTTAAAATAGTATGAATATGCATTGTAGTCTATGAGAATTAATTGTAAGATACATTCGCAATTTTTGTTTTGCAGATCATTGAAATACACATCTGAGTACTAACTATTAGACTCTGTTAAAAACATGTAGGTATTTTATTTATCTCAGAATGTCCAAGATACTCAATCAAGGTGAAAATAGATATTAAAAAAATCATTTATAAAAAATATCGTGCTAAATGCGCAAAACTATCAGAGAGATACACTGTGCACGGATTGTCCGTGGCCCGCCTATATGATTAAATTATTGCACTTGTCCGGTTCAATTCTGGCAAAGTTGGCATCAAAAAATAGAATGCCAGATTTTTTGAGGTTTATAATGTTCGATAACCTCTTTCAAAATGTTGTCTATTTACAATTGACTTATATATACGTAATATATATTGGAGGAAGATTCTTCAAGGGAACCAAGTTGATAGCAACAGAGATCGGTATTATCAAAGTTGAGAAGAGCCAAATCATACAACAGCAAACGATCTAACAAACACTAATGTCGGCAGTGCATTTAGAAAGGAAGACAAGAACGTGGTTGAGCTAGACAATCTTCCGCGTCTTCGTTTGGTCTTTTCATTACTAACATTCCGAAGGCAAGGAAATAGGAAAGTCGGCTGGTAAAATAATTATTTTTTAATGCGAACCATAAAGGCTGTTATCCGGAGGGTTTCCAGTCTTAACTGATCTCGGACGACACGACGGGCGGAAAAGGAGCAAGGGGCTTTTCCTCTCGAGGGGAGCCAGAAATTCGACGCATTGGTCGGAAAGGGCAGCGACGAGGAGGAGGAGGAGGAGGAGGAGGAGAAGCAGGGGACAGTAAAAATAGGCAGAGTTTGAGAAAGGGGCGGAGTCGGTGCAGCGAAGGGCAAGCGGAAGGACGAAAGCATTCGGTAGGTGCTTAGGGTTCGCAGAACTCTCGATTCTGCAATTACTTGTCAGCATATGTCGAAGAGTTTGGACGAAGGCTTTGCTTTGATTCTCATTGAGTCCCTTTCACGATCCGATCGGATTGGATTGGATTGGGTGTGGGTGCAGAGTTTGAACTTCGATTAGATCGGCAGGGAAGGGCAGGGCAGGGCAGGCGGCGAGATGGCGCAATTTCTCAGACAGAAGCTTGGTCCCATGCTGCTCCGCCCATCGGCTGCCGTGCAACCTAAGCAGATTCCCAAGAGGACCTTTTCTTCTTCAGCTCAGCACGAAGATGCAGGTGCTTGCGTGCATCTCTCCTTGCTCTTTCTCGTGACTGCAATCTCGACAGAGTTATGTTTTTTTCTTGTTCGTAGACTCTTGTTATGAAATTTATCGTCGATGTGATATCACGCTTCTGGGATTGTGATCGTCGGAATTCGACAATTCTACTTTGTGTTTGTTCCAGTATGTTCGTAGCGATATTTTGTGCTCCATGTTGAAGAGAAGATTGCATTTTAGCTCTGATTCGGACTTCGTTTCCCAAATCCCGGTCAACTGTTCACGTATATCGTTCTTTGAATCTGTTCTCGTTTGTGCCACGCTTTTTCTGATCAGCTGATTCTGAGCTCGAGTAAACCTTCAAGTAATTCAATTAGGACTGGCATGGAAGCCACGAATTCAGTATCGAGCAGTAAAATCCGAAAGTAAAAGAGCCAACACGAACTTGTTGGCCAAGAGTTCCGCCAAATTAGTTGGCTTATGATCTATGTCGATAAAGGCATTTTGCAGTTGTGATGAAGAGAACGGCATTTTCTTTGTGGAGCTATTTCACACTTCCCCAAGTAGGATCTCTCATTTGTATGTAGCATGGTCTCTAGAAACGCCGAATGATCTTGCCGAGTTAATGCACTGACATGAATATGTACTGAAATGGATACTAGTGGCCACTTTGGGTATGGGACGTTTAGATCAGATATCTCTCGGCGAAGGTCTGCATTCAGAATTAGCGCTTGTGAATAAATGAGGTTCTAAACTTTACAAATATTCAGCTATGTGAAGCCTTCCGAAATTCTTTGGATCACCTTGTTATGACGTTGAGGAGATTACAGTACAGGATCTTTTCCCTTGCTCCGTAGGGAAGACAGGGCCAGGACCCAAGCTCTAGGTTTCAGTAGTTCTGTACTTTGGATCTACATATAACGATACTCACGTTTATCATACTCTGTAGAACTTCTTTAAAATTGTAGGGCGGGATGAGCACTCAGGTGACATAAATGACTGCTGTGACATAGCGTCTGTGAACAATTTTATCTCCACGTTGTACGTGGGGTAACTTGAGAGAAGATTGATGAACTTATGAAATGGGATCTTGGGGCAGTTTGATGAGGCCAGTTATATCAGTGACGATCGCGTAATTTAAAACCGGATGTTCTCGTCTCCAAGCAGGGCGTGCAGGTCGTGACTTAGAGTGGTCCACCGCTGAGCATTGAGCTGCCTCAAGTTGTAGCCACATACCCTTGTCATTCTTCGAGCTTCTGATCTCTCAGCCACGCTTGACCTGGGTATCTGCAAGCACTATCTCCAGGTTTAGAGCGCACATGAAGCTCAAGTTCTTGGTATCGAACAGCTTCACTCTCATGTTACAACGAGAGCTGCTGCCCATCAAATGATGAACAGGAATGCCGTCATTGTTCTCAAACAGTGTTCAAGTTGCAATTTGATTCCCCGTCTTAGTTCTTCGTGATTAAGAGGGATAACGACATCAAAAGCTGTTCACAGAAGTCACTAGCCTTGAGTCGAAGCTCAAGAGCAGCCGCACCTGTTAGTCGTGTTGACTAGGGCGTTCATAATCTGAAGGTGAAATAGTTAGTAACCGTTGTCTTGGTTGATGCCTGAAACTTTGGTGTCATCGTGTTTATGGCGAAGAATGTCACAGAGAAATCCTTTTTGCTCTCAAGTACTCCTTTTTCGTTATCTCCCACTACTATCACCCATGAGCCAGGACATGGTGTCTACGGTTTCTAAGCTACTTTAGGGACATACTAATGGATACAGTTTCCTAGGCCCAAAATTACTGATTTGCTGCTGTAAGCGCGGGCTAAACGTTCCAAAGTGTGGAACAATGATCGCTTGGGACCCCCTGGCTAAAATCAGTTCTGCTTTTTCCCTATTAATGAACTGTTTGTAAGTCTGTTCATTAGCAAGCACTAGGCTCCAGTCTAAGCTGCCAAGCTGAGTATTGGATATAACTGACTGCTTTATCTCATCTTAAATCATCAAATTCGAGCTTATAACGAGGCATCTATTAATTTCGCAGTTGCATAATATGTTCTTCACCTATTTCCAAGTATTCTTCCTAGCCTGACCTGTGTCATGTGTCCTCATTTTTTTCTTCAGAGGAGACCGTGAAGTGGAGAAACATCACCATACTTGGCTACATCGGCTGCACCCTTCTGGGTGCTTACACGCTCATTGGTGGTGAACATCATAACGAAGAGAGACCGGTAAATAATGGAGCTGACCTACTTGGATCTTGGTCGAGTAAAGTTGTTCTATTTACAGCTCTGTGAAATTAGTAGTCCTTAACAGTGATTCAGTCTTTTGATTACAGATGATTTTTGCTTCTTTTTATAGTTTGTTCCTCGTGTACTGCAGCAAGTTTTTGTGTCCTGTCGGCTGGTAATAAGCAGAATGGCCCTAAATGCCACTTCAGCACCTCGCGCACAGTTCTGAATGTCTAGGAACATTAAATGCCAAAACCGTACTTTCTCGAGAAATTTTCTGTGCTCTATTCGAGAGCTTTGCTATAAACAAGACGTGATGATTGTCTGACATTCTCCAAAATTCTAGATTCTTTTTCTTGTTGACAGTCCTTAACGATTTTCTCTCTTTTGAATAAATTTTATCTGGCTAACATGGACACGGACTAAGCACGTAACGGCATAAACATTTAAGATGGTGTCTGTACGTGTGTCTCGAATTAGTAAGGGCTAAAGCTTGTATCGCATGTTTGTTGCGTCTGTAAATGTTCTATTTGCTTCGCTAGGTTATTACTGGTCCCCGGGGCTAGCTGTATGGTCTTCGTTTAAGTATCAAGAAGCCAAGTGTCACACTTTCATGCTGTAAAATCTGGCATGTTGATATAGAGTCCTCAATGGCAACTTGATCTACTTACATCAACAGCAGTGAGATACATAGTTTTGACAAATGATATTGTACATGTGGGTTCTGCAGGAATATTCTTATCTGCGCATCCGAAACAAGGAATTTCCCTGGGGTATGTTTGACTAACTTTTTATCCGAAGTTTCGTTCCGCACTTCCGTCCTTCTTCTCTCTTCTAGCATTTGGCCGTCTGATGCAATGAGTGTTTTGTGGACAAAATGCAGGTCCAGATGGTCTTTTTGAATACAAAGATGAGCACCACTGAACATGCGGGAATGGTGAACGCGATTAGTAGCTGCTGGACTTGAAGAGGAATATGGACGGAGTCCACTGGACAACTAGTCTAAAAACCTGCTAGTGGATGTCCCTTGCAGCATCAAGCTGATGATTAGGAATACGTGTGATGGTCTCAGCTTTCCATAATAGACAATGTAATTCCATATTGTGTGGAGGATGTACTCCTTCAGTCTTCAGCTGGCCATATGTAAGGTCAGGGAATTGTAGCTGCTCCTGTTATATCACTTTCTTTTCTGGTTTTGTTCATCGTTCACACTCTTTTCCAGCTCGATTTGAATCTGTCCCGCGGGATCAAGATGTTGATCCACAGTTTTGTACTTGGTAGGCATATACATGTTCACTCTACGATCCGGAAGCCTGTGAACTGTGAGGTACATTCTAGAGGTCCTCCACGGCGGAAGGAAAGTCATGTCCTACCAGTAAGTTAGGAATAATGTCGCTCCGACCTGTGCCATGTCTAGTCTGGTGGACACCATTTATTCGTAATCACTTTCACAGGCTCGTGGAAACTGGGCAGCTGGAAGCTAAATTTCATGGCTTGTTCTGTGTACAAAGTAAAATTGCAAATGTGTAGTTTGCTGTTCAAGAACTTTTCGGCTCTTCAGAACCAAGCTCTCATTTTTTGGGAGGAATGACCCACATCCCAGACGGTAGTAGTCAGTGGCAAAGTAGAACTAATGTCCACTTTGCCTTTCCAATTTATTAATGTTTTTTAGGTTCTGTCATAATTTCCAGGATACACTTATCAACGTCCCTTGGGCTGGAACTACCTACTCATTCTGATGAAATTTGTTTAACCGGAGTCAGCTATTGAGTTAAACTACCCCTCACTTTGCCACATTTATGTTTACAGAACATTTATAGAACACGAACAGCCTTCAGACCCATCGAACCATTAACGACCATCCGCTTATCACAGCCGCTTATCACTGAAAATGATTCGTCAATCTCATCTCACACAGTTCCTGAACTCTGAAGCTGTAGCCATCTCAATTCCTGTCGAAATACTTTACCTTTCCTAAAGTCCTGTAGAGTCCACTTTTGACATTACGCTTTCGTCTTGATGTCGTCCTTCCTTTAGTAGGCCCTGTCGGCGCTGCAGTAAGATTATGAACTCTTTCATCTCGTGTTGCCTGTTGAAAATACCTGATAAACTAAGTGACTGAACCTGCGTCACCGAGCCCAATTTGCAGGGGACAGAATGTGTGCATTTCAGCAATGTGTGCGAAACGAACAAAAGGTAGTACACATGACACTTGAGAAGGCCATTTCGTGCCCAATCCGTTTTGTCCTACCATGTACGTGATGCGTAGGTGCTAGCATGATGTCGTTGGCTGACGTCGTGGGGCAAAAGCACGTTCATGATAGACATCAACCGTGGCACGGTCAATGCAAAGATGTCATTCGAGCGGTAAATCTTGGATTGGATTCACGGGAGGGGGTGTACATAGCTGCGCAATTATTGACTGGCATAGCTTCGCCCGGTTTATACCTAGATAGGTCAGAGATGCAAGGAGCGTAAACGCATAGCTTCACAGCACAATGTAAGATCGACATGTCCTCGTCGCCGCCGGTGAACTTAGCGAGTTTTCACAAATGGTGCGACACAAGTTTTATCGAGCGGGGATCGCGAATTGTCAGAGCGAGTTCACATCATAAATCCTCACGGCCAGACGAAGAGCGACCTTTCCACTGAGGGCAGTGGCAATAAATTTCGTGTCCTGAATGCTGGCGGTACACCTGGCCCGTAACACAAAGCGAGAACAAGGTCAGCAGTAATGCCGGAGCCGGTATCGAGGCCCATGTTCACAATTGTATCAGCTTCAAACTCGCCATCAGGTGGCGAGCATTCGCTGCTTGTATCGCTACGATGGGAAGCAAGGCAGTGAGCGGGAGAAGAAGAGTGTTGGGCCCAACATTCCTGTCTGAGAGGAAGCAGAACAGAGCAATTCGTGACCGTCCTGGGGCGGGTGGGAGGGCGGGCCGAGCGCATTGATTTCAACCCACGAGGTAAATCTCGCAGCACCTTTGCGCAGCTCAGCTCAGCTCAGCTCAGCTGGGTAGGCACTGCACAACAGAGACACAAAGTAGCAGATCACGGGAGGAGAGACCGACGGAATGACTCCAGTAAATGAATGACAACCAGGTCGGGTCACGTCAGGTCAGGCAAGGTTTCGTATCCGAGGTACGCGCCTCGTCCCGAATTCGCTCCTGAATCTCATCACGACCAACCTCCCTTTCCCCTCCGCTCGCTCGCCCGCCCGCCCGCCCGCCATGGACACGAAATGTCGATTAAAAAATTGAGGCTGGAAGAAAGAGTGCTACGCTGGATTCTGCATATGGAACACGAGTAGATGTAGGATGCATGTCTCGTAGCGGTTAAGAATCCAAAAACCTCCGAAGAAGTAAATGGTCAAACATGCATCTGCGGGAAACCGGTCTGCAACACACAAGTGGACATGGAAGAAAACACTTACAGCCCTCCCCTCGCAGCCGAGCTGCGCCCCGCCCTACAGCCTAGGGGCTCGAGAGCTTCGCTGCTTTCTCGCGGAATCCAAATTCAGAAGTTCGGAACACCGAGCAGCAATTGAAAGTCAAACGAACCCATCTAGGGTTAATCGCACTTGTATTTACTTTCTAGAACAGCAATCAATGCTCATAGCTCCTGGGCCCACCTGCAGCCCCACCACAGCCCACCCGGTCTTCACTCCACTCGGGCCAGCAACAAAACAAGCCCAGGAACAAATATCTGTCTCGCTGCAATGGAGATGCAAAACTGTTCTCGTGTGTGTGGGCAAGGGGAGAGAGAGAGAGAGAGAGAGTAGGAGCGAGTGTGTTTTCAGGATACCCCATGGACCAGCCAGCCAGCATGCAAGCTAGTGAGTGTTGTTCATTAGCTGCTGGCGCTGCAGCAACAGCAAGTTTCTGCCTGAGGGAGGGGAGGAGGGCAGGAGGGGACGTACATGACACAGAAGAAATCAACGGTTTTTGGTCTTTCTGCCATTGATTCCTCCTCCACTTTCCGGGCATCTCTTCTTGTCTCGAGAATGTCTCATCCTCACTCCGGAGCAGCACAGAAATCTCGATAGACTTAATCTCACCCTCATGCAGCAGCGCACTCTCCCCGGCCGCTCTGTCGTTTCTCCCTCACGAAACCCAGCGATGACATGCGCGAGCGAAAATGTCAATGGCAGTCACGTAGCCCCATAACATATTCCCCTTCTTCATCAAGGAGAAGAATCTGTTACGCGCGAGAAAGAATTTAATAAATCCACGGCGCTCCGCAACGAACCAAATCGAAACAAAACGCAACGCAACAAAACGATCCGCCTCCAAAGTCTCCCCTCTTCCTCCTCGTCCTCCTCATCGACCTCGACCTCGACCTCAACCTCCTCGCCTCTCGTACGCCCAAATGCCTTCGCGACGTCATCGGAACCATCTCTCGTCAGGCTTCGAGCCCAAGCTACTGCGACTGCGACTGCAACTGCCACCCTACCACGACTCACTTCGCACGCAGTTCCCACGACGCCACCTCGGCTACCACGTACGTACGAACGAACCGAACGCCCGAGAACTCGTTCGTCCCGTCCCGTCTCGGAACAGCAGTACCGTACTGTAACCTGGACAAATGAGTCAGTCTTAGGACATGAATTCTCAGAGAGATTTTCTAGTATTCTAATGGAGGTGCGAGGGGGATGGGGCTGGGGCTGGGGCTGGTGGTGGCGAGATCTGAGAGGACTGTAGATTTATTTGCCAGGGCTTGCTTTCCTAAAATGCACATGGGAGCGAGCGACCTTATCGTACTCGAGGAGCTAAGACGAGGATCTATTTCTAGAAGCGGTGGGGGGGTGGGGCTGGGCGAAGCGAGAGAGTAGAGTAGGGGGGGGCGCTAGACTAGTGGTAAGTCCAGCGCAGTCGGGACTGGAGGGAGTGAGTGAGAGAGTGAGTGGGAGGAGGGAGGAGATGATGCCTCTCCGACCAACAACGGGAGGCGAGAGGGGCGAGGGGGGGTGTGTATCCGACACGCATTTTCTTTTCTTTTCTTTCGAGCGGGCAGCCCGGTTTCGGTCGTCCGGACCGGCCGCTACATGTGGCAGGCCCCGAAAACCTCCACATCATCATCGATGATGATCGTCAGCATCATGGCCATGGCGGAGGGAAAGGGCGAGGATATTGAGAGCGACCGTCGGACATCCCCTGTTGTCCTCATCAGCACCCCTCTCTTTCGCCGACGGTTTCGGACAACTTCCCGCTATCTCGGGTGGTTCTCCGTCCCACGACTTCTTCAAATGTCCCTTCCCCCTCTCGCGCCGGCGGTTTCGGACAGTCAGCGGCTTTATCGGCCCCCCCCCCTTTTCCTTTTGCCCCGGCCTCTCCATCTCTCTTTCTCTCCCACTCCTCCCTTTTCTTTTAGGGTTTCGATTCTCGCCTTTGCCCATTTATCCTTCCCCTTTTCTTTCCCTCACATTATTGACCCCGCCCCCGCCTTCCACGGAAACCTTCCTTCATTTCTTGCCGATCGAAAGCCCGAGAAAAACTCGGTCCACCAGCAATAAAAATAATCAAATGTTCGGCAAAATCCACTGACACATAATGCGTTTGGAGTCCGATTAAATTTTCTCCTTAGAGTTACTCCATTTCTTTACTCTATATTTAGCTCTGAATCTAATATTAATGAGTGCCTTGATCTTCTGATCAGTCAATACCGCTCCGTATGTGGAGGATGTTATTAATTTATATGGAAAAACAAATTTTCATCTCTATTTGCTCTTGTACATTTCTACGCTTAAGCTTTTCCCGTCTAGCAACTTGTTAGCTGTGTATGGCAATAAGCCTGCATATATACATTTATTTATTTATTTATTTATGCACACATATGTATATGCAAAACGCAAGGGCATAACATTATAGGAAAAGCATATCACACTCATAATTGAATAATTGCAAATCCTATACAAGTCCTTTGCATGGGTTCCACAGTCACTTCTGACATGTAAGTTTACTGATGAGGCGTATATTCTCAATAATAAAGGATGCATCGCACTGATTTACTGTCGAAATGAATGACATCAATTTCACCCTGGACATTAACATAACAGAGTATTTGGGTTTAATGATTTCATATAAATAGACGAGTAATTTGTAAATTACTAATAAACCCATATTTATGTATTAATATGAAGTTTTTTTTCTGTTGGCTTGATGGTGATGTATTTGTATTAAAAGCTTGTCAATTAGAATAAAGCAATCTATGTATCTACGATTTCAATTTGTTTAGTTATCAATCGTAATAATTATATCAATATCTTTGGATAAAATCATTTCTCAGTACTAGTCTTTAATGCTTTTATATAGTATTTTGTATGAAAATGTCGGAAATCATGTTATAAGTATAGAAATTATAAAGCATATTATGTATTATCATATCAAATTTAGGTAGATGAGATTCATGAGAAAATGTGTATGAACAAGTTTAAGAACTCACTTTTCGATATTATTAGCACAAGATATATATCAGAGCTTCAGATGGAAGAGTATCAGACACTGATCCACAAAAATGATAAAAATAAGTAGCAGACACAATTCATGTGCAGAAACTTATACTATTATTTCATCTGCTGTCAAACTAATTCAAAGAGCACTTCGAAGAACACTTTTTTTCAGAATATAAATTTAGCAAAAATATGACTTGTATGATTCATAACAGTGATGAGATACTTCTCATATGCTCATTGAAAAAAAGCTGTACAAAACTATACCTCTGATAACATAATGATCAAATAAATTTTGTTATTGAGTTGAAAAACTTAAAATGGATTGGTCATTTTTATGAGAATTTTTCAAATAAGAAATATTTATTAGCATTAATAAATTTTTTATTTATTTTCCAAAGTTGTTGAATGCATCATAAAATTTTTCATCCACTTAATCACTTAACAAAATTTTAAACTGAGAATATAAAAAATTCTGTTCAAAATAAATGCAGTGAAGATTATGTTGCAATATATTGTACATATAATATCGTTTAATATTAATTTTAATAATGATGAAAAAAATTAATGGTTTATTATAATATATTAATATTTTGGAAATTAAAAATGATTTATATTCAAAAATTTGAATTAGATATGCATGTTTTCTAAAAAAAATTTAATTTTTTTTAAAGAAGGAATTATTAAAAATGGGGTTCCATACAAAAATTTTGATTAAATAGATTTCATTGTACAAAAAATCGAAAAAAATAATAGGTTGATCTATACAAATTTCATATTAATATTAAAAAATATTATATTCGATTAAACTCATACTAAATAGAATTAGATTGTAATATATTTGAATAATATTTTTCAACTGCATAATTTTGCAATTAAATTTTGTTAATTCATTCCTTTAAAAAAAAAATAAGATTTAAAATTGACAATGCAATATTTGTTGGATTTGAAAGCATTTCCCTATCAAATTATATCTCGATTTTCATATGAATAGATATATGTGTTTTGTGAAAAAAAATTCACTTAATATCATTATTATGGTCTTTATTTATTGATACGTATTTTGATATATGAAATGGAGGAAAAGTAATAGAGGAATACAGTAACCATTTTGTTAAAATCTTTAGTGATCAGTGTATAGCATTAACAATATATTAACATGTATTTTTTTTCTAAAATGTTAATTTGGTTTCCTATGACTTTATAATTGTTTCTCAGCTAATTCCAAACGATTGAATAAATGTTGAATCAAGGTTTTCTTTTTCTTTTTGGTAAGAAAATTCCACTTATTATTTAAATAAATTTTTTTTGCGGTTAATGATCTTATATCTTCTTCTCCTATTTTCTACTTGTGATTTTCAAAGATGTAGACACCATGACTATATATATGAATTATCATATGTTAAGATTAAATCCCTTCAATCTATCTCGTGATTAACAAAATGCTATGTAGTGACATTATTGTATGTAAAGAATTAAAATTGATTCTGCAAAAATTTAACTTGTTATTTATTTTCAGTTTTCATACTCCTTCATAGTGATGAGGTGAATCTCGATCCCAAAATAGGTGAAGTATTTTTGCATGGATGGAACTTTGTTTCCATGTTTGATTATTTTCATCCAGATAAAAGTTAAAAATGAATTTTCTTCACGCGACTCAGACACACGCATATATCAGTCGGGAAATTTCTTCTCATGAATAAAAATATTTACAAGACTATAGGAAATAATGATTACCACACGAACGTTTGTGTAAGATTTTTTTAAGTTTTGGAAATTTTAGTATTTTGATTTCACTGGAATGAAAGATGTGCATAAAAGAAGGTTTGTTTTCTTTTCTAAGGATTAAAATAAATTCGTGTATATATTTTTTGTCAATAAGGAGGTTTAGAAGTGGGAAAAACTTCGATCCAATGGAGGTTATAAAATTAAAGCAAAGACAATATAGGAGGGTAAATAGGAGGGAGAATGATAATTGTCGGAAACATAATCTACATTCATCTTCTTTCATACAAGCGAAGATTTCGTTGTTCAAGCGACCTCTGCAAAGGGAAGTAATAAGATGACCTGCACCTTCGTGAACACCAATCAATGGAGCGAAAAAGGATGAGAAGACCAATCAAGCCTGGCATGAATGAAACCGAAGGGATAGGAAGAACATGAAGCTGCGAAATATGGCTGGGTGCATAGAAGATGGTTGGTACAGGAGAGTAATGATTGGACGAGAACCATCACAACAGCTCGCCGAGTAAAATAAAAAGTCTCGGTGTTCGCTCTCGAATGATGTCGTTGTGCTGCTGCCTCTCCCCCTCCCTCTCCCTCTCCCTCGGGAGGATGGGTAAGCCCAAAGCTCTTAGGGTGGGTGCTTACGAGCACTCTCTCTTCCGACAAAGGCAGAGAAAAAAACCCGAAATCTCCTCGAGACGCTGAAGGTGTCTGAAGATGGGAGCGAACGATTCAAAAATGCACTCATTCGCAGCGCGAGGAGTAACGAACAAACATCCAGGACATGAATCATTGCTGAATCCCGGACCACACTCGCAGGAGATAAATTTTCAAGGGAATCCGGCCGAGACAGCTGAGAGAGAGAGAGAGTTTCTGAGAGAGGGAGAGCTATCCATCTACCTGCGGGAAGGGGTTAAGAATATAAGAAATAACATGTGCTTGCGTGGGAAATCTGAGAATGTGTGGAGCACCACATCTGCTTGTAATAGACAGTCTCGATATAGCCAGCTAGACGAACACACGGAAAAAGCAACAAAGAGGAAGGAAGGGGGTGATGTCAGCCTACCTACTTCGGCTACGTACTCCGCTGCGGCCATAAACCACAGCTCGCGCAGGAACATGGAACAATGAGCGATGACGAATATTTGCTGTGCTGCTCCGAGAAGGGAAATAAAGAAAGAGATTGGTGGAAAGCAGGGATTTTATCCAGAACGTAAGGGGGGGAGGGACTGGATAATCAGGTCTCGGCAGGGGGGGGGCAAGGGGGACGGGAAGGCTCCTCAAATCTTGGTCTTCTGTTCCGGGGGCTTCTCTCGGCGATCTCTTGCTTTTGACGTCGCTCGGGGAAGTCGGTCGATGCAACTGGAGCGTGCGGGGGGGAAGGGGCTGGGGCTGGGGCTGGGGGTGGGGTTGACGAACCGAGCGAGGCGCAGGAGCGGGGGGTGGGGGTGGGGGTGGGGCTGGCGAGAGAGACAGAGGGAAAAACAAGGGGCAACCACGTTGATTTCGCGTCAGTTGCCTCGAACTGTCGGTCGGTCGGTCGCTGGGGACTGCGGTCTCGTTCGGCGGCCAAATCCGAACGAGCGGAGTCGCGGGGGGCGACAGGCGATCGGACATGCGCGGGCGATCTGCGATCCAGCGGCTGGGGAGCCGCTTTTGTTGTGCGCCGCGTCGGAGTCGCGGGCTGACATGGTGGCGACGTGGTGGGGCCTGCCACGATCGATGGCGCGTACAGCCCCCGCCTTCGCGTCGACGCGGAAGGGGTTCCGAACACGGAACCTGGTTCGAATCTTGATCCCGCTCCATGGCGCTTCTGGCTGGTGGTGGGCTTCGGTTGGGCCCTGCCTGGTCCGGTCGGGGTCGAGATCTCGGGGGCTGCTGTAGCCGACTCTGGATCGCAGCGAAGCCCAGACCCGGGAGCCGGGCCGGCACCGCGCATGCTTCCGGAGACCCGGGGGGTGCGAGCGGGGCAGGGACAGTTTGGCCGGCTTGCGGCCTGGGGGTGCGGGTGCGGGTGGGGCTGCGGGTGCGCCACTGCCCCTGCCCCTGCCCCAACACCCAACAACGAGCCCGAGGCGTAACACAACACGACCAGGATTGTAAGAGGGCTTCTGGTCGGGAGCACGGTACTGCTCTGTGGTGGACGAGGTGCTTCTGCTGCTGCTGTTGCCGGGGCCTAAGCTGTGGTGGTGGCCGCGGACCGTTATTATGCACATCGCCCCGTCATTCCATCGAGGGCGGCCAAACCCGGCCCTGCACGCCGGTGGCGATGGCCCTGATGCCTGTGGGGCCCCGCGAAATCAATTCCCATGTTTGCTTTGCTTGCTCTTCTCGCAAATGTGATACATGAGGAGCGATTTATGTCCTGTACTTGTTGTTCGAGGAGTATTGAATGCAGGGGACCGGAGAATTTAGGACCGGATGGAGGGAGGCAGCGCCCGAGGGAGGCCGGCACGCAGCCTGCGCGAGAGGGAGGTGCGTTCGGCGGGCTGGCCATGGTGGGCCTCCCCTGGCCCCCCCTCCCCTCTTGCTGAGATCCGATGGGCATGGGCATGGCCATGCCAATGCCAAATGCCTTTGCCTTTCTTCGTCTCCGCTGGTGCCTGGCCTGGCCTGGTCTGCTCGCCTGCCGGCCTGCCTTTCCAGGTTGATTTCAGTCCTGCTCGCTTTTCAGGACAAAGGTTCTGAAGAGACCGACAGACAGACTTTGTACGTGTTATGTCTTGCAGTGCGCTCGGTTCCTTTGGTTCGGGGTGCTGGTCAAGTTGCTGGAGGGCGGCAGCGACCGAGCGAGCTTCGGCGGGAGAGGAGAGGAGAGAGAGAGAGCTGGGGAATCATGCGATCTCATGACATGGCACTGCATGGCCTGGGGTGGGATGAGATGAGACGACGAGCTGAAGTGGAGGGAGGGAGGGAGGGAGGGCGGGCGAACAATAATCAGAATAACCACCGCTGGTGGCGATCGAACCAGCTACGCTTCGAAGTTACGCTCGCTCGCAGGGGACACTGGTCCACTGCAGTGTGACTGTACTGTACGCTCATACGGTCCTCATCGCTTCTGACATTTCTGTTCTGTTCCAGATCGGCCGACGTCGAGGATGAGCCCCAGACACAGCTGCAGAATCAGCAGCAGCAGCAGCAGAAGAAGAAGAAGAAGAAGTAGTCGGTGGGAAATGAAGGAAGAAGGAATTCGACCTACGGAATTCCGAATTGGAATTTCGAGGACGGAGAAACGAAATTGCACAGCAAAATCATAAGGCCCACGGATCTTGTCCCAATGAGCTGGACAGTAAAAGATTCATCAAATGTCTGGAACTGCGTGCTGTTGTTTCCGAGGTCTAGGCCCGTCTCCACGGAAGAACTGAACTGACCTGAACTGAACTGAACTGAACCTCTGAGAAAGAGAGAGAGGGAGAGAGAGAGAGAGAGAGTGTGCGCGCGCTGGTTATCGGATCCCAGCGCACAGTACCACTGCAGCAGAGCACAAAACAGGAAGAGAGATAGAGAGAGAGATGAACGAACGCTCACATGATTAGCACCCCAACGGAGCGAATCAATTCGGGATTAATATTCTCCAGCACCGTTTCGTTCCGAGCCATAGACCAGGGAACGTACACAGATAGCCCCACCTACTCCATCACCCGCCTCTCTCTAAACTAGCCCTCTCGAGCCCACCCCCCTTCTCTCCCCCCCTTCCCCCTTCCCGTTGCCCCTGCCCCTCCCCCCCCCCAGCTCCCCCACACCGTTACTTACTCCCAAACTGCTTCCGACCCTCGGGTCGTCGCTCGGTCCTGCGGTCCCGAGCGTCTCCGATCCAATCATCTGTTGCCACAGGAAATAGCGTAAGCGCCCTTTTATGATTGGGGTAAGTACAAGCCTAAGGACAAAGTTGAATGCCCAGCCCCAGCCCCCGACTGCACATTTATTAACCCCCCTCTCTCTCTCTCGATTGATTTTGTTCGCTTTACGTGCTCCCCTCGTGAAATCCGCTTCCGCCACGTTTCCTCCTGCCCCGTCCGTCCGATCGATCCGCCCGATGCTGTCCTTGCCTCGTACACCCCAGAAGACATTTGTTTTCTCGGCCTCGGTTCGTTCATTCGTTCGTTCGTTCGTTCATTCATTCGGTGGCCAACATCGAGCTCCGTCGGAGGCGCATCGGGAGCATCGGGAGGAAGCAGCGCGGCTTTCTGAGAATCTGTCTGCGTCGCAGCGTTGATGTTCGCTGTACTTTGTACTGTCAGGGTGTTTGCGTTGGTCCGGCATCGAGCGACTGTGGCGTCGTACATCATTACATCGGCCCGCCCTCTCTCTCCCTCTCTCTTTCTCTCTCGTTCTCGGAGTTCAATGGCCCCCTCCCTCCCTCCCTCCCTCCCTCCCTCGGCCCGCTCGGTGGTTGGTTGGTTGGGTTACTGTCCGAGGTCTGAGGTCGGAGGTCCGAGGTCCGGATACGTCGCGACTCGCGAGAGTCAATTGTGCGCTGCGCGTCCTGTTCGGAGCGGTGGGCGTATCATGTCTACGTCCTCTCTGGAGCGACTTTTTCTTCTTTTGTTCGCGTGTCCATTATAGTCGTAGCTTTTGTTGTTGTTTGTCGTCTCTTTTGCGAGCTCGAAACTGTCCCCCTTTTTCATATATTCCTGGCCTTCGAGGGTATCCATTCCATTCCATCACATCTCATCTCATATCCGGGAAGCAAAGGTGCTGCTGCTGCTGCTGCTGCTGCTGGTACATGTATCCTCTTGACTTTAGCGTCGTTCATGTCCTAGTAAAAGCGTCAAGCAGCCCAGAAGCGAAGTGAATGTATGTTGGAGCAGTGGTCAAACTCCAACTACCTCCTCCATCATCTCGAAAGGCCAAATCCATCTCACGCTTGTCTCCTCCATTCCTCACTCCCTCCCTACCTCCATCCCGTATGCTTGCTTGCTTGCTTGCTTCTGCTGCTGTAGTGGAACATGTCTTGGCCCTGAATTGGCTCTCCGGTATCAAATCTTTGGGCCCTCCTCCCCCAACACAACACATCACATCATATCACAGCACAGCACAGCACTCCTCTGCAAGGGAGGGAAGCCGATTGTTGGTCCTTTTGATGCCTCTTCTCCCCTCCCCTCCTCTTTCTCCACTCCTCAATCACTACAAACATTTGGTTGTCCTTTTACTCGACAGACTCCTGCACCGGGAATATCTCACCAAGCGTGGCATGGCATGGCCAGGCATGGCGTCCCACCCCCACCCCCCAGCCCCCTCCCTCCCTCATCTCTTTCCGACATCCCTCACCGCAAATGAGGAATGCAACCCCATCACTTTCGAACCACATATCTTCGGCAGCCCTCCCTTTCTCCAAAATCCGGAACACCAACTTATCATCATCATACCATACGGGGTCACTTCCAATCGCTCGCCCTTTTCTTCACTTCCCTTCCCTTGCCTTCGCTCAGCCTTCTTCTGCGCACGCCCTAATCATACACTCGCGCAAGGTATATACGCGAGAATCAGGAAGGTTCTCTCTGCATCTGCATCTACACTTGTCGCATTTTGCACAGCACACTAATTGGGTGCGGGGGGATGGCGAAGCGCAGAGTCTTGATCAGAATTTCGGTGTGCTAAGAGTAGACTTACCGCATTGCTTCGGCGGACGTGCGTGCTTTGCTTTGGCGTGCGTGGATATGCGACCGGGCGACAGAGTTAACCTTTGCAGGGATAGTGTTGCATTAGGTTCTTGCGACCATCTTTTTAGCTGTCTAGAGTCAAATCTTTAGTTCTCGCTCGCACCTTTACTGCGGTTGATCGCTCGCTTTTGGATCCATCTTTTGTTGGCTTCTGATAAAGCGTTCACGACCCCGTCACCAGAAAAGAAAACCCAGAACCGAGCGCGAGCGCGAGTGCCATTTGTCAGCCGCATCGCGAGACCGGGGAAAAATCAACACTTTGGACACACCGAGCGCATCGAGGGGGTGAAGGCAAATCGTAAGCCGGAGTGGAGCGGAGTAGAGTATATCGCAAGTCTCCAACTCATCCACGGAATCTTGCCACTCGACCACATCAAATCAGATGCCATCGCCCACTTGATTTTCTCATGTTCTTCTTCTTCTAATCCGCGCTGCCCGCCTACTACTCGCGCCCATAGCCATAGGCTGCTGCATCAGATTGATTCCTCGAACTGCTCTGTCAACAGAATCACTCGGTTTTCACCATCCAGACAACCCTGACCCGAATCAGCCGATCGATAATGAATTGGTAAAACTAGTTACGCAGATTGATGCGATGCCCCCCCTCGGTCTCGGACTTCCCCCAGCAAATCATTCGACGTGGGTCGAGGTCAGGTCATAATAGTCTCTCGGCGAGGGGGGCAAGGGGCTGCGGGTGGGGCTGGGCACTTCTAGCCCCGGACTGCACCTCCCCTTCGACTACTGTGCGGTCCGGACCAGTCCACTACAGTACGCCGCGGGCCTCGACCACGTACGAGAACCACGAGCAGCGTACATCACATTATCTTCCTCCCCCGCACAGTACTGTGATAAACCGTGAACCGAGTGATTCAGCAATAATACAGCACAGAACCAGGTCGTGGTGGCAACTACAGTCGGCGGGGGGTGGGGGAGGGGCTGTGCTGGGGGCTTACCAGAGATCGAAGACGGGGAGGGCCACTGTGGATCGGGGGCTACAGAGCGGAATAGAGCCAGTGACCGTGGTCCGGCTAACGCGACCAGACCAATCACGACCTGTACAATGTGCGACGGGCGGGCGGGCGGGCGGGCGGGGGGGTGATGCAGGCACCCGGGCTCGGGGGCGAGGACGCTTGTGGTGGATGCGGGGCTGCGGGGCCTGACACGGCTGCGATTATAGTTGGCCGCCGGCCAGTTAGATTTGTCGTCGCCTCCATTTATTCCGGGACGGTCCTGACTTGTCGAAGCTTCGCCGGTTCTTCCATGTCCCGTCACGTCGTCGCCTGTCCGGCGGGCCTGTTCCGATTGCCACTTCGTCGCTAGATTCAGCGAGAGCCATCGCGCTCCCTCGGACCGGCGTTCGTACCGGAGCTCGGCGGTTCCCGGTCATGTTCCTGCCCCCCCGCGGGGTCTCCGTCATCTGCCGCAGTCTGTCCCGGTTGGGCTCGTTCTTCTCTGCGCTCCCCTACTGAAGGGTCTCTCTGATCGGTGACCCCGCTCGGCCCGATGCCACCTGGCACCGGGGGGCTGGGGCTGGGGCTGGGGTTGGGCTTGGGGGAATAAGTCGAGCTCGTTCGGCGGTACGAGGGACGAAATCTGTTCGTCGCTCTCTCACGTCGAAAGTCAAATGTTTCGACAGGGCTCGCGCTCGGTGCTCGGCTCCGGTCAAACGTGACCTCTGTGCGAGAATGTGCTTGGCCCCTCCGAAAGGGAGCCTGTCCTGTCTCGGCCATCGGTGTAATGCTCGCCCCCCGCCCCCCCCCACCCTTCTCGCTCGGCGATGTGCATTCGATCTTTCATTTCCAATCATGTCCTCAAAAGCCAAAATGTCTTTTCGCCCTCTCTCTGTCTCTCTCTCTCTGTGCGTTTGTGTGTTTGTGTGTGTGTGTACGGTGATGGGAACACGACATTTGCCATACAGTGTATACCGTTCATGCCAGAGCCCACTCTCATTCTTCGCCTCGTCCTGCTCTACTTTCGTGAATAACTCCTGCGAGATGATCCGCTGTATTATAATGATATTCGAGCCTGATCATTCAGCGGAGCCAGTGTACGACCATAGCCATAGAAGGGCGCCTTCTTTAGTCGCCCCATTTTCTCAGTACTATGCCTCCCTTTCCGTCTTTATGTATTACTATTTAATATATTTATTACACGCTGCTCCATAGAACATACTCTACCCGCCCAAAGTAGTTTTCTGCAGCCACCACAACCTTAGATCAGATATTCTTCTGCCCCCCCTCCTCGCGCCTGCTGCAGGCTGGCCCAGAAAAAATCTTCTCTAGGGATGAGCTCAGTCTCATTTCCGCAATTCATTTCGTATTTACTCCTCCTCCTCTTTTCGCACGGACCATCTCTCTCTCTGCCGCTCCTCCTGCTCCTGCTCCTGCTGCTGCGGTCGTTTCTAGGCTAGACTGACGCTGCCTACCTTTTTTTTAATTGTGCCTCTGATCTCGCCTCCTCTCGCTCTAATTCGCATTCTCGACTCTCGTTCTCGATCCCACTCTTAATTTGCCCAATACAAACATCTGTGATTTTGTGATCTTTGACTAATCGATCGCCTGTGCTAGTCTGCTAATTTGTGATGCAGCAATGCCTAGCCGTGAGATTTATGGGAAGACTTGTAGTACGATCGTTTCCTTTTTATATTAAAGATAACAACAATTTTGTACCGGAGATGCTCTGTCCATGGAGATGATAATTTGTAGATTCCATCATTTTGCTGTTTTTCAACTCGTTGGTGTGACTGGAGTCTTACGATCTATTGTGGACCAATGTTATTCACCATGCCTCTGTACACTTTCACTTCAACTACGATATGATTGGAGCTATGTTGATCGTTGTGATAGGAAGAATATGTATACCTCACATGAAAAAAAGGAATATTATGCTTCAATCTGATTTGGCTTAAAATAATACATGGACTTGGATCGGAATTATCACATTAAGTATACAAACATAAATATTATAACATTCATTTTCATGATGGGTGACGATTAGAGTTGTATCCACAAATTTCTTCAACCACATGAATGCATTTACCATTCTTCTCTTTGTTTATAATGCTCTACACTTACATAAACGATGCGCTCTTCTTTCAACTACAATAATTAAAGTTTGGCGCGTGGTAGCGAGCAAAATGTGGCCATCGCTTAGATTTGTCACCATAGTCTACATGGATTACTAAATTTCATGATTTATTATTTTTCCATCCTATGTCATGCAACAAAAGTATTTCAGCTCACCCATCGAGAGCACCAGCTCGTGAACTCCGTAGCATGTTGGGTGAAATTTCTTCTAATGATCGTGTAGTTGGGAAGCCATGCAGCTTGATGATTCAAATATCTTCGGTGCAAAGAGTAAATCATCCTCGTTGTCATAATATCGGAGCCTAGCCCCATGCTTACTTTTGGGTTTCATCCGTGCTTAATTGAATCGACGAGGGCTGCCAACCTGTTTGCTATATATCGATGGGGGGTTCGCCTTTTCTCTACAATTCTGCAAATAGATTTTACGCATCTCATCGTGCATGGAGTCGGAGGAAGGCGAGGTCGAGACAAATCGAGTCGATTCGGTGCTAGCTACAAAAGTGCCAAGAGGACGAAGAGTATGCCGCGCAACATCGGGATCCATGGTCCAATTTCTCGGGCAAAAAGTGCACGATCGATCGATGCGAAATTCACCGTCCGGCATAAACTCGAGCACTCGCAACGCTGTAGTGAATGAATGGAGCTGCTGTGTGCAACACCAACGCGGTCGTGGGTGCGAATGGGGAGGAATTCCTCGGCGCCGTTGACGAGCGCAGAGGACGAGAGCCCCCGAGGTTCACATTTGGGGGAAGAAGAAGATTTGACCCACAGCCCCCAATAAATCGCGGCCAGCAGCAGCAGCAGCCTCGGAGGCCCCGGTTGTACCGAAGGACAAAGACGCAGGTCCTCCGCCGGTCACCGGTCGGTGCGCCTCCGATTCCCGGCAGGAGAGGCTCTCGCTGCACGAACCCGCAGTCCCAGAACAGCCCCTGCTCTCGACCCTAGAAGAACATCAGCCGGTCAAGGGCAGCGGCTCGCCTCGGACCGGGCCTGCGTTCTAGGGCAGCCGGTTGGGCTTGTCCGAAGTTAAGAGGGAGGGGAATAAAAATGACAGGAAGGTCAATGGAGCAAAATGGGGGTTGGGGTAAGGGGGTGGGGCAAATAATTCAAGGGGGAAATGAATATTGGAAAGGTGGGGAAAGGGGGGGAAAGGGAGCAAGAATCCAGAGTTTGAGGAAACTACAGTTCGGGGGCACAGTGGCGAGGGGCTGCGGGAGAGGCGTGGACCCGTCGGATCGAGGCTTGCATCTGAAGCTCAAGTCTTGGACTTAGGCTGTCTTCCTGTCCTGGCAGGGCCAAAGTTCTCGGCTCGTGGCAGAGGCGCTGCTGTCGAGCGAGCGAGCGCGAGGGCGAGGGAATCCGAACCCGTTCCCGCAGAGCATTTACCTACCGACCGACGCCCGCAGCATAGATAGATAGACTGCTGGATAGATAGGAAGGACGACGAGGCGCAGAAGGACGAGCTGCAGCAGCAGCAGCAGCAGCGGGAGGAGCGATCGAGCGGACGAGCAAACGACGGAACGAGCGCTGGACGAAACAAGGCTCGCACTTGTTCTCTCTCCACTTCTGTCTGCCCTGCGGCTTTGACTTTGGAGACGAAGCAGAGCAGAGGAGCAGGAAAGCGGCAGCAGGGAGTTTGTGGCTGGAAGGACTGCATGGCGTGCATTAGCGCGGCTTTGCGAGCGATGGCTCGAGCGACGACGGTCGAGTGAGTAGGGGGAGCGCGAGCGATGAGGGTGGTGTGTGTCGGCGACGAAGAAGCTCGCGAGGAGTGAGTGAGTAGAGCGGTAGAAGTGCAGCCAGAAGCAGGAGGACGAGCGAGCGAGCGAGAGAAAGAAAGAGAGAGTGAGAGAGCAAATTGCTTCGTGCGAGCCGGACTTAGGTCGTGGCAGAGCATGGATCCGTCGCCGGGGCGACTAATTTGAGAGGGATCTGGTGTTGCGTCTGGAGTTGGAGCCTCGTTTGGTCCTGGGCGTGTGTTTCAGGAGGGGGTGAGGTGAGACTGAGGCTCGAGGACTGACAGGCGGTCGACGACGAGAGTGCAAGGGAAGCAGCAGAACGAGCGAGGAAGAGGAGGAAGAGGAAGCTCGGCTTGGCTTGGCTCGTCGGTCGGGGCAATCAATCGGTCGAGGCTGCGAGGGCGGAGGGTCGCCGGGGTCATATCCATTCGTCAAAATTGCTAAAATTGCGCCACCGCTCTCCGGCTCCTTTCTGTTTGGGATGCCCGGGCCAAGCCCTGGGTGTGGGACAATGAGCGGAACGAATATCAAGATGGAGAAATCGGAGGAGTCGATGGGAGGAGGAGGCAAGGGCTGGGGCGGGGGCAGAGATCGAGATTCATCGTCGGACGGAGGAGGGGGCTCGGGCGAGAACACGGGCCTGGATCCGCAGCTGTGGCACGCCTGCGCAGGAGGCATGGTGCAGCTGCCGCCCGTGGGCGCCAAGGTCATCTACTTCCCGCAGGGCCATGGAGAGCAGGCGGCCACGCCGCCCGAATTCCCAAGAATGATGGGCCCGCAGGGAACAATTGGGTGCCGAGTGGTGTCGGTGAGCTTCTTGGCCGACACGGAGACGGACGAGGTGTATGCGCGCATCCGCCTGCAGCCGCTGGAGCGCGAGGCCGCCATGTCCATCGCCGACTCGACGCTCGACGCGGACGGGGGCCCGTCGTCGCCCCCGCCCGAGAAGCCGGCCTCGTTCGCCAAGACGCTCACGCAGAGCGACGCCAACAACGGAGGCGGATTCTCGGTGCCGCGCTATTGCGCCGAGACCATCTTCCCGCCGCTCGATTACTCCATCGATCCGCCCGTGCAGACGGTGCTGGCCAAGGACGTGCACGGCGAGCGATGGAAGTTCCGCCACATCTACCGCGGCACTCCGCGCCGGCACCTGCTCACCACCGGCTGGAGCACCTTCGTGAATCAGAAGAAGCTCGTGGCCGGCGACGCCATTGTGTTTCTGCGCACCGCCAGCGGCGAGCTCTGCGTCGGCGTGCGCAGGTCGATGCGTGGCACGGGCGGCGCCGATTCCTCGACCTGGTCCGGCGGATCGTCGACCTCGCACCATCGCCCCAATCGCTGGGAGGTCAAGGGCACCGAGAGCTTCTCGGACTTCCTCGGCAACGACAGCGCTGCCGGAGGCGGCTCGGTCTCGAGCGCAGGCTCCGCTGCAGGCCCCGGAGGCCCTCGCGCTGGCCCCGGCGGCAGCAACTCGGGCCCCGGGATTGGCATCCCCGGCCCTTCCACCACCAGCAGCTTCGCGCGCAATCGAGCTCGCGTCACCGCGCAGTCGGTGCTCGAGGCCGCGTCGCTGGCCGTGCAGGGCCAGCCCTTCGAGGTCGTCTACTACCCTCGCGCCAGCACGGCCGAGTTCTGCGTCAAAGCGCAGGCCGTCAAGGCGGCCCTCGATCACACCTGGTTCCCGGGCATGCGCTTCAAGATGGCCTTCGAGACGGAGGATTCGTCGCGGATCAGCTGGTTCATGGGCACCATCTCCGCGGTGCAGCCCGCCGACTCGCTCTGGCCCAAGTCTCCGTGGCGCGTGCTTCAGGTGCCCGTCTGCTTCTTCTTCTTCCCCCACCCTGCAATCGTTTTGACAGGCCTGCCGCACGCCTCGAAAGATTGGAGTCGAGCCCGTCGGCGCTGCGTTGCTTTCGATCGGCCGATGACGAAATGGAATCAGGGGGTTGTGTGGGGGCAAATTGCGCCGATGGTGTGCTGGCTTGACAGTGACCGAGGGCTGGATCTCTGGTGGTCTGATTTCGTGGTGATGTTGGCTGTGGTTGATTGGTGCAGGTGACATGGGACGAGCCGGATTTGTTACAGGGAGTGAGCCGCGTGAGTCCCTGGCAGGTGGAGTTGGTGTCGACTCTGCCGATGCAATTGCCTCCGTTCTCGCTGCCGAAGAAGAAGTTGAGGGCGGCTCAGCCCTCGGACATGAATATGCAAGGCCAAGGGCTGATGGGCATGCCCATCACACTACCTTCGGTTTTTGGGCAAATCAACCCCTGGGCGCACGGACTTACCATGGAGGAAGTTACTGCGGGCATGCAGGGAGCCAGGCATGATCGAGTTTTTGGGCTTGCCTTGTCGGAGAAATTCCGGCCTGGTAAACTCCCAGGTGGGTTTTTTTCAGCAGCAGAGGGTTATTATCCGGATCATGCTGGACGAGGTGGCGGTGGGGAGCCTCACCTTAGTGCATTCCCGCTCCAGGATCGTGCGAGCAACATTTCTTCCCTGATCAGCTCGCTGGGCAGCGTTCCGCCCAGTGGTGACCACGGATCGGCCGGCGCCTTGCTGGTCCCGGCCGGGTCCTGGTCCGGGGGCTCTGCGAACAACAAGAGTGCTTCCACTCAGCTGGTGCTGTTCGGCCAAGCAATCAACACCGACTCCAACAAGAGCCAGCCCCAACACTCAGGCGGGAGCTCGTGCGACGGCCCCTCGCTCCAACACTTGAAAGAGGAATCGTCCGGCAAGCGCAAGGATTCGCCTTCCGAATCCAACCAGAATGAGAATTTCGAGAGGGGCCAGAAGTACATGTCTGGCAGTCTGAGCAACGGCAAACAGTCGGATCTCATAGTGGGCGAGTTTCAGAAGTGGGTGCCCGGGTTGGACAAGGAGAGAGGTGCCGGAGAGAAGCTCGCCGCATCCCCTGGTGAGTCCTTCTCGCACTGCAAAGTTTTTAAAGAAAACGATGAGGTTGGACGGACAGTCGACCTTTCCCAATTTTCGTCATATGAGGAACTGTATGACAGGCTTGGGGCGATGTTCGGTCTTGAACAGAAGGTTCCACTGAACGCGATGTTCTATAGAGATGGAGAAAATTACACACGAAACGTGGGATGTGAGCCTTACAGGTAGTTCCTCTTGTGCCAACCTCGTGGTGTGATCTGAAACGTTTGCTCTTTGCTGGACGTCCTTTTATTGCTCCACGACGATCAACCACTTCCTTGCTTCCGAGCTCGTAGCGCGCGTTCTGATGCTACCATGCTTCTGGTGTGATCGCAGAAATTTTGCAAAGTCCGCAAGGCGCCTGGTGATCCGTGTCGACCCCTCTAGCAACGGCAAAACGCGGTCGCAGTAGCAGGCTAGGCACCATTGACAGTATGCTTGACAGTCGACCGTGCCTTGGAAATTGTCAGATGTATTTTGTAGGTAGACCTCCTTAACATACCTATCTCGAGGAGCACTGGCTTAGGAAGCAGTTGGTGTCACACAGCAGAAACAGAAGCACTCGTGCTGTAGAACCAACCGAAAACCTTCGGACAGGACTCAGGCGGTCTTCTCTCTCGTGGAGCACTTTCTGCTTCGGGAAGAAGATGGTTATCTATTGAAATTCTAAGAAGCTGACCTAGCAGCAGCGATGCCACCTCCCGCTTTAATGTACATAGTTGTGGGAAGAGGCTATTGCGTTGGCGGACGAACTTTGTAGTTGGAGCAGTTATTTCAAGGAGTCTTCATCTGCAACTGGCTGTAGGCTTTGGGTCTTATTTTTTGTTTTAGAAACATGACGCACCTTGTGGCAGGTACTCTTGAGAAACTCTTAGCTGCAAAATGTATGTTATTTCCTCCCCAAGTGTAAGTACAGGGCGATTATCGTTTCCAACTAAGAAGATGAACCTTTCTGCCAAATTGCGTATACGGCTGAGACCCTGTTGTGACTCGAAGACGTGAAAGCCAAATCTGGTCTCTATCACAGCCTTTTGTACCTTACAGAGGACTGGACAAAATTAAATTATTTCGGGATCATACTTCAGGGGGGCCTAGTTCGGGAACCGTAGCATACCCTCTTCACGGCAATTTTTTTCTGCATATATGAGACATTGAAGGACGGCTACCCTGGCTTTTTGAGTTGTAAAGCTGTAAAATTCCCAATCAAGAAAGTCGGAAATCGTGTTCGAATTCATCAACCTGTGTTGTATGCTTGAAGTCTGCCGCAATGGTTCGTTGGATGTTTGAAGATATGCTTGTCCAGTTGTCGGGCACTTGGTCGGTCTGTCATCATCCGTCATCTGTGACATGCGCGAGTAAGATGTACTTGCATTACGTAGTTGCATGCTCTTGAACGATTCCGTTGACAGCCGACAGATGGAGTTTCGAGTACAGGAAAACCACCTCGAAATGCTCCTGATGTAGTTTGCCTCAGAGGGAGCCCGAAGCTAATACAGCGCACGCATGTAGAGAACGAACCAGCAGCAACGGAGCCATGAAAAATGTTGAGGTCATGTCATCGATGACCTCGTCCAGGATGACCTCGACGATGAAACATAAGGAAGGAAGGAAGTACAGAATACTTGAACGTCACGTGGAAGATCGATCGAGGCAGTCGGTGAGTTTTCTGCAGGAAAGATCCATGACCATACTATACCGACAGAGCACCGATTAATAGGTGATATGCTCTTGGGGACACACAGCGGATGGGGTGCCCACACACTTGCTTACATCGTCTGTATGCATAGCGAAGGAGAAAGATGCTGCAGAGAACTGTGAAGCTGAGGAACAACGGGAGCGGAGGTCAGGATTTGCCAGAATGTTGTTGACCTCCAGCACTGCTCGAGGCGCCCGAGCGGGATATGCATTCACACGCAAAAGTCATCGGAAAGTACGTCGATTGATGGCATGACTGAAGGCGAGTGAAAGCAAAGTTATGAACACGCTGTGGACATGGTGTCGAGAGCAAGGGGAGATGGGAACTTTATCTCGCGCAGAGCTTTTGTCCTTATCGGCTACAGTTGGCAATTAGAGCATGCCCGAATACAATAATAATTCCCACCTATTCGTCCCAGAGCAGGCCCAATAATGTGCCTTGTGCACCCAAAAGATAAGCTTTGTTTCCAACACTCGCGACTGGTTCCTACATCAGAAATGAATCTCTGTGTCCGAAGATATCTGTCCCTTCCCCACTCCAGTGCCCCCGGCCCCCCTTTTCCTCCCTCGCTCCCATCCTCCCCCTGCCCCCCCCCCTCGCTTTCCCCCCTGCTGCCCCCTGCTGCCTGGTGCCTGCGTGCCTGAAAGCCTGCTCGAAGCGAGCGAGAGGATAGACGGTACGGGGGCGCCTCCTCTCCGCTTGCACTTCAGTTCAGGTTGGAACGAAATCTAACCACCTCGGCACTCCAGTCATGAGGGCGATCGGGCTTTTTCCGAGACTCGAGTGTACGCACAAGCACATTCACACACACGCGCGCGCGGGGGCTACCCGAGTCTACCCCCGTTGGACGCTTTTTCTCCGTTCCGTGGCTTACGAACGTCGTCGTCGTCTCCTGCTCTCGGGGCTGGGTGCTCCCCGCGCGGCTGCCCCTCCCCCAAGCCCTCCCCCCGGTCCTCAGAAAGGAAGAAAGTTGCCGTCGCGCGCGCTCACTGTGGCAGATTTGCCTCCGGGCTTGGACTTACTCGCCACCCAATCTCTGTCTGTTTGTCCGAATAAAGAATGTAGCAGCACGTGGGTGAGAGAGGCCCCTCGGGGGCTGGTGGGGGGTTCAAACAGAGTGGAGTCCAAGGCAAGGCCCGGACAAATCCAGAACCGCTGCCGCGGAGGACGGACGGGCTGACGGACGGACGGAAAGGGGGTTAGCGTACGTACGCGGAGGAGGAAGTGCGAAGTGAGGTCATCCACGAATGGCCATCATGTGACGAGCGTCATGAGATGCCCACGCGCTTCTCACATGTTCGCCCGATCGCCCTCGCCGACTTGGCGACGGTGCTCCACTTTTAGCGGCAGTCCGTTCTGGCTCCGGTTGGGGGTTATCGGCATTCGGCTATTCGAGGGGCAGGGGCAGGTCCGAGGTCCGTCCGGCGCCGTGCCGTGCCGTCGATCTGTCAGAGAGGGCTGGTTCGCTTCACCTTCCGACAGACTGCGCCTTAAAGCCTGGCCCCGCCGCAATCTCCGACCTCCGAGAATTTTGGGGCCACTTCCACTCGCTAAGCAAAGGAATTACCGCATTAATCACCTCCTCCTTCGCCCTCGCCCTCGCCCCTCCCCCAGCCCCCCGTTTCACAGCTTCCGGCTGCCCCTGCCCCTGCCCCTGCTCTGTACGGCCTTTTCAGACATTATATCTGTAGTGTCATCTTCCGGTACAGTAAGTCGTTCGTACCGCCTCGCTCCCGTATCTTTTACTGTAAATAAGTACACCTTTTATATTCACTCCTTCATTCATTTTACCGAATCTGACTAACCCCACGCAGATCCGGAATCCGACCTTCCTTCCTTACGTCACACGTGTTTCTCTCTCTCGGTCGGTCGGTCAGACAGACAGACGGCTCGGCCCCTTCCCCTTTCCGTAAGGTCCGTAAGATGATCGCCGACTCCGACGACCACGACCACGACGACAAGCTAAACCGTGGAGTATTCCCACCGCAGTTTCTATGATTAGTACGGGGCTAACCTCATCCCCTGCTGGCTTTAGTCGAGTCGAGCCGAGCCGAGCCTCCGGACCGTGATTCCGACTGCGACATGAACTGCGGTTCTTTCACGGAACTGCAGTACGTCGGTCTACTGTACGGTGGTCTAACCAATTCTACTACTCTGCACATCTCCCTCCCTCCCTCCCGCCACCCGCTACCGGGGACGGGTCCGGTCATAACTTTCTCGACCGTTGGGAGGGGTCGTCGCAGAACCCGACCGTCGCGGTCTTCGTCATCGAGTCGCGAGACGAACCGCGCGGTTACCAGGTCAACTCACTGGCGGTGATGAATGGTGGCGGTCGAACCTCTGACCACGTAGCCCCCTCCCTCCCTCTCCCTCCGCCCGGCCGGCGGCCGAAATACGTGAAAGGCAGATGCACGTCGTTTCCTGCACAGCTGATCGACGAGATGATCAGACCGCCATCGCCATCGCCCTGATCATGATTGCTTCACGTTTCTTCCTACAGAACGCGACGATGCTCCTTGCAGAGGATCCGGCGAGACGACAGAGAAAGAGAGAGAGAGAGGGAGAGAGAGAGAAGTTGTGCATATGTCGCCAGCATGGAGAAGTAGAAAGATGGCAACGAAGGCTTGAGCTGAGGATGCAGCTTCCGCACGTCGAGCTCGTGGCTGGAAAACATTCTCGTGGGATCGTCGTCGCGGAATCTGGATCGCGTACGGGGGAAACGTTCGGGCAAACTTGCGGACTCATGATTCAAGGTTTCCAAATGTCAACAAGGAAAATAATGAGAGCGGTGGGGGATGGAGGCACTCGAGTGGACGGGCACTCATGTCGCGAGAGTCTCCAGGAGAGAAAAACCGAGACCTCGCGCCCGTGCCACGGTTTGGTGCTGTTGTTGAGGTCAAAAGAGAGGTCAGACTGCGTCCATACATAGTACCGCCATAGACATATTCGCAACATGTCAAAGCTTCGGCATTCACGACATCAATGTCCACAGACCTCTGTCTTGGTTTCTTTACGGCAAGTCAAGGCCTTGCGAGGAGGATCATGGATTTTTGTCATTCGCCTCGGCTGCAATCTCAGACTGTTCCTGACCTCACTTCGAACCGCACTTGGCACCACTAGTCAGCACAGACCATAACAGTGGCCGACTCCTGCCTCGGGCCCCTTGACTTGCCACCGGCTGCCAGTCAAGGGCCCCCATTGTCCGAGTTGAAACTGGGGCTTCAAAAGGGGCTCTACCACGGACAAGCACAGCGAGTCAAAGCACTCGGGGCTCAGTCGCTCAGTCGCTCAGAGGGCAGGATCGAGGATTGAGGATTCCGGAACAAGATGGTCTGGTTCTGGTTCCGGTCCGGGCCGGCGCTGGTCTGGTCTGATCGGTTATTGAATGCGTGCGAGCACGAGATCCTCGTGATCAGATAAGGCAGCTCACGGAGGACATCATTTATAGAATAAGGCAATTTGAAAGGATATATAAAAATGGCAAGGTAGATTCGCCTACGTGGGTGAACTCCCACGTCTGATTTTGAGCTGTTCGAGAGCGGAGTGATGGTGTGTTAGACCAGACAGAGATTCATAAGCTGCAGAGCAGAGCGGCAGCAGCAGCTGACCTTATTATGGAGCTGGGAGATATCATTCGGAATTATACCCGGCAGGCAGTTATATTAGCCCGCACCGATTATTTATTGTTAGTTTCGTGCCCTCCCCCACACACAGGATCCACGAAGGTTCACTTGTTTCTAGTACTGTACCCCAGATCAATATTGTTTGATCCTGTGGATCCATGTCTTCTTTGCCTGTTCGCCCGTTCTGCTGCTGCTGCTGCTGCTCCCCTTGTCATCATCAAATACTTCCTGATTCTCTTCTAGAACTTAAGTACGACAACGTATCATTGCTGGTGGCTCCACAAGGCTCTAGGCCCCAGTCGAGGCCTCTCGCTCATTCCCTCGCTCCAAGCTCAGAGACTCAGGCCTCCTCCCCACTCCCTCCGGGCTCCAGCAGCACCACGCAGGCTTCGGGCTCGCTTTCAATATCTTTCATGTCAGGTAACCCACCCCGTCTTATTGAGGGTTCCCAATTACACATACACTGCATCGTCAGCTGAACCGCCAGGGCTTATCGAAGATTCGCGGAACCCATTCCATCCATGGCCAGAGCCCAAGGCCCCAGGTTGCTAGCTCACTCACTCGCTCAGCACAGACCTAAATTCCCCCGAGATAGCACCACTTGCCAACATCATTACTCTAATCTGGCTCGATGTGTTGAGCGTGTGCCGCAACTGTAAACATTCCCATACTCTGCTGATTGAGCTGGTTTAGCCGATTTTTGAAATCCCTAGTTTGTTCTCAAGGGCACCATTCCTCTGTTTCCTTGCGCTTGGCCTTGCGTAGGCGCGTACTGTACTCTACTGTACTGTACAGTACAGCTCTGCTCAGCTCAGCTCTGCACTTACTCTCCTGCCGCCGTACGGCATGAGGAAATTTGTAGCTCGAGTCCAAAATCCAGTCCAAAGCACTCACTGTGTATGCGGTGACAGCCGATACACAGCTGAAATATGCACATCACACCTGTATAGTCGTGCCACTTTCCAGTGTCTCCAGTGTTTGAGGAGAATTTCCAGGTACGATGTCCTTGTCGTCGGGTCTATCTAGTAGAGCTGAGGTGCAAATGTCCGTCCGAACCTTGCCTGCAACATGTCCACGACTTTACTGTAGCGGGCGACATCTTCGGCCCCTCTGATGGCCGGTGACGTTCTCTACAGGACGTCCAGACAGATCGCAGACATATGCACAGCGAGTCACGGTGGGCTCTCGGAGTCTCAGGCCGAAGCTGAGTGAGATCTACACGTACCCTTCTGGCTGTGGGCTTGTCAATAGTCGAATGCACTTTCGCAGGTGTCCATAATCCAGCAGTCAAATCTGAGCTGCTTAAAATGCGCAAGTAGGACGTCGGATGACCACTGTGGCGCTTCTCTTGACCTCGTCCTCGTCCAAGGATTCGTATCTCAGTACAACGCGTTGCTTAAACAGCCCTCCGACGTGGAGATCTCACTCCACTAGCCTTGAGGACATGCCCAAGGTTGGTACGCGCCGCACACACAATTCTGGAGGATATATCGAGGGACACCCCGCAAGGGGACCACCGACAGGCATGTTGGGATTACCATTCAACTCACAATCACAATGAGGTCATGATTCTGCCACCAGACTGCCACGTGCTCAACTCAAACTTTTGTCTAAGGTTTTATTAGGACGACAGAATGAATTACACTTCACTTAACATCACAAGTGAGAAGTAGTTTTGCAGCTCGGTGCCACATCTGGTACATCTGTTCGAGTACACGTTACATACCGTCCAAAAGAACTATGGTACATCAGTATGATGGTACAGTGAGAGAAACGTCCAATGCAGTTGATTCATCGTCAATCAAACGCAGGTTCTTTCAACTCTGGACTCACATGGTACATTTTCTACGAAGTAGTCTGTGTCAAGTCCGACTTCACTGCTTGAAGAGTCGAGACTTCAAAAAAATCCGTGGTCTTCATTCCGGAACTCTATCTCCTACCAAAGTCGTCGTACGTAATAATTGAGAGGTACGAGAGACACCACAACTACATAAAACCTAAAGCAAACCAAAACATGAGAGCTGAAAACCTACTTTCCCAAAGTGCTGTACAGAAAGTCCAGGAAGCCAATTCCCTTCAAAAATCCTCTACCAGTGACAAGTTCTGAGATCAGGAGCATCGTGAATCCCAACATTGCAGCACGACCATTGACCATCTCGGTGTAGGGAGTGAATCCGAATCCGAGTTCGTTTTCGTCTACCACCATCTTTATCTGCAACGACAACAAGAATAAGAGTCAGAGCCAAATAAATCAAGCTTGTACGGAAGTCTACTCGCCTTTCATTGTTGAATATCTAGACGAGGTTAGTCTCATGTCTTGGACTCTCAGCTCCCAACTTCACTGAATAAGACACTGGGCTAAGGCTTCGCAGCTCACTCTTGTTCGACCATGACAACAGATGACCACTCTGAAAATGTCCTGAGATATAATTGTTTCAACAGTAAAATGAAAATTGCCATGAAGAGGCAAAAGCCTGTAATCCAGCACATCTGGAAACCATAAAATGACTACTCACTTTATGGTCCAAGAGGATCCTTCACACATGTCTAAAGTTCAACGTCACGACTCAGCAAGGGCTATTTTATGAATCTATGCTCTTCAGGGCGTGTGAGGCAACATCGCCAGAGCACAGGTGTGGTGGCGAGGATCGACAAGGACTTCCACTGCATTTCGGTTCCAGAAACACAAAACATCGGATATGGCACCAACCTGTGTACAATTATTATGACTTGGGCAGTTTCAAACGTCAAAGCTAAGTTCAAGGAACACCCTTGACCATAGACGATGAGGAAATCAAGTGATAGCAAAGTAGAGAGAGGCAAGCATTCATTTCGTTGTTCTACCCCGCAAAAATACTAATCCAAATCCACTGACTGATATATATATATATATATATATATATATATATATATATATATATATATGAAAAAAGATATATGATTGGGCCACAAAAGTTATGTGTATGAGTTCAAATGAATGAATTAGAGCCAGTAATAGACCGTCAGGAACCAAAAAAGCAAATGGCTCAAGGTAGATAAGAATGTTCGAAATTCGATTGTCTAACCTCGTCGACGTTCACATCAGTTGCAGTTCTGCCGGCTTGGGTCTGACCACCAAATACGATCTCTGCAGCTTCTCCAGTGTTTTGTCTTCTCATGTTGATGTAGATATACTCGGCGTCTAGTCTTACTGGATAAACATCCAATATTCTGGTTGGCTTGGTGAGAAGAGCCAGCACAGGATTCGTCGGGTACCATTCTTTGATTTCTCCCGTCTTCAGGTCAAATGTAGACTCGGTCGAAGGACAAACTATACAGCCATCCTGAAATTACAAATTCCTGTGTTAGTCCGACGTGAAGGAGCTAGACTTACAAATGACGAGAAAAGCCTAATTTGCAAAGAAGGGAATAGAAATCAGAGCTCCGTGGAAGCGTAATGGTGTTCTTCCAATCGCAAGTTTAATTAAAAAAGCATACTTTCTTGATTGTCCAACATTGACATTCATGGGGTTAGCCTCAAAAGATATGATAATACCATGACTTCAATCTTTCCAGCTGTGCACCCCTTACTTCAATGGGAACACATTTGAAAAGATAGAATTCGTCAATCGACTGAACTAACTGAAACTGTGTCTCGTTATTGCACAGACCAGAGGAGAAATTATAACGTGAAGACTACATGACGTAAAGAATGCCTAGAAGTAAGTTAAATTCCAGGATACAATGGCAAGGTGTTCATTTAAATAAATGATCCAGTACAGACCATTCATGAAAGCTGTATAAGTGAAGCAACTATTGAGATGAGACACTGCTTATCCACCTCCCTCATCCGATCATAAGTTTTGGTGGTTGTTGGCTACTGAGCAGTGCACCTACATAAGAGGGTATATCTCTTTCTAAACACAAGCCTATGCAAAACACTGACCAATCGCCTCGGAACATCTATAAAAATATAGAGGTCGAGCTGCGAGACTGACGGACCTTTACAGTGCTATATTCTGCGCTTAGCGATGCAGATAAACATTACACAACCTAGGCCAGAGCACTGCTCATGATGATAAACCAAATAACATGAGAGGGAGGTTGAAGGAAGACGGCTGGATTCCAAAACTACTTGAAGGCAAAAGGTTGCGTCGACATACTCGAGTATCGGCCAGGAAACTTCACTATTCGATTTCACAATGCCGTAATCTGCATGGAGCCTATCCTTTACGTCTAGACATGAGTGTATTCGATACAAAATTTGGTGATAAGACTCTTTTAGAGGAGAATAGAACAATGACACTGAGATGTTGTAGGTTCGATAGATGCGTGAGACAAAAACTACATGATAAAAAAGACTTCGACAGAGGAGGATAATAGAGCTGGAAATTTGAAGGTCACTGCTTGCACAATTCAAACCCAATCTTAAGAAAAGGCCATTACACATAAGTCATAAGCAATAGACATAAAAATCTCCATTTCTGGGGGGTTTGAAGATACACACATGTAAGAGGTAAGGAGAATACTATGAAAATATTCTCTAACAAATCGACCTACGAAATGAGACATCGATGTTGAAAGTTAAACTCTGCTGGGCCAATACCCAGAATACTGGATGAAATGATTTTCTAAATTAAAAGAAAACAGAAAACAGAAGATAGAAACAAAAGAGTTACAGAGTATGCGGTCTAATCACTTCCTTGACGGTCTACGCATGCTAGTGGCAACACCATTGAGAACCTGAAAACTATCATGCCACAGACACAGGAAAAAGTGAATCTGACGCAGGTCAAACAGAGTGAATGCTGTCTTTTGGAAACAAACTCCAACATCCTCCTCAGACCTTCAGAGCCAAGCAACATACGCATGGTGCCAATATCACCAAGAATCAGAATGCAGGTGACCTCCTGAGTTCCTCGCAACAGGTAGAGGGTTTCTTGGACATCAAAGAAAGGAGCACGGACCAAACAACTACTGTAGAACTGCATGGTGGTCCCGACATAGAAAGGCGATTGCAAGGTCCCTTTCCGTCAAAGGAAGCGCGATATCAATGTACGAATGAGATAAGACAATTGTATAGGTGACGGCTTCTACTACTCCAAGACTGCAGAGACGAAACGGACGCTCAAAGAGTATCATACACTGACTGACAATCACCTGAAACTCCTGAGAGAGTGGAAAGGTGGACACAACAATAAAGATTAGAACGGGAAGAAATTGTAGGAATGGCAACATCTCCGTCCTTGCCTCATCAAATTCAATTCACTCAGCACATCAGTGCCAGACAAGACGCTGAGCAAAAGTTTTGTACAGAAGATGGGCATCTTCCAGTCAGACCAACAAGCTGTGAGAAGCAGGAAGGACACATGCATGCACATGATACGATCAGTGCAAGTATTGTCCAAGTGTTCGGAGAGACAAAAGAACGAGAAGCACATACTGGGGTCAATTTGGCGTTGAACATTCCCTCGCTGTAAGCGCCTTCAGCGGGCGAGGTGTTTTCCACGGCGTAAACATCATCCTTGTACCACAGGAGCAGGACATTCTCTCCGTCCTGGCGAACAAGTCTTCTTTCACCTCTAGGCAAAGCGGATGTGGGAATCACAGGAACCCACGAGCCACCATCGGCAGGAGGCGGAGAAGGACTGCTACTACTCGTAGTGGTCGACGAAGCCTCTCCGGCGGCACTGCATTCCACGCTCACACAGCTTCTCTTCCTTGCTCCTGCTCCAGACCTGAATCCCCCGCTCTTGCCCAACAGGGGTGACACCGCTGGCGCAAAGCCATACCGCACTCCGCTCTGGTTCTGGCTCTGATTCTTGGCATGTGCGCTCGCTGGGGCAGAGATCACACCCGCCGCAGCTGCCGGAGACGAGCACACCACTGTCGCCGCCATAGCTAGACCTCTGTCGTCACGTCCGCCCAACGTTCAATTCCGCTCCAGAACGGACCAATTCGCCGCCCGATCCCTGTGTCTCTCCCGCGGGCGCCTAATCTTGCACCGCCTGTAACGCTCCTGGCGCTCACTTTCAGGCTAATTGAAATACACGCATGCCTGCATTCCCGAGCATTCGAGGATTCGAGGATTCGATTGATTGTTCGTTCCTTCCTTTCCTTCGTTCATGGGACGGATGTGGTGGTGCCCGTTCCCTCCGTGTGCGGATTGTGGATAAACGTTGGGCGTACGTGTACATTACGTGGTAGTTTGCGGTGCACCGAGGCCAGAGCGGTCTGTGGTCGTGATCCACTCTCTTCTCGAACTCCGCTGTTCTGTTCTTGCCAATTGGCACATCCGCTTTTCTCACTTACTGTCCGTCTCCTTCGGAAGTCCTTCCATGTAGGACGTATAATACGATATCGTACTTCTGAGTGATTCTACTCCGTATTCCTTTCGAGATTCTCTGGTGCGAGAGAAAGAGGAGTGCGGAGAGAAACTGTGGAGTACTGTACAAGGACTAGAGAGGAAATAAAGAGAACAATTAGCATACAGGTCAAGCCTCAAAATACTATTCACTCTCGAAGATGTTTTCGCATATATGTTTTCGCATTTTAGAATAGAAAAAGCTCAAGTTTATTGGTCGAAGTACTCTCTCACTCTAATTACAAAAGTTTTTGGATTTGTAGTTGTAATACAGCCAATTCGTCACCAATTTTCTAAAACATTGCAGTAGCACCAGAAACTGGTGCATTGCTTCATACAGCTACTCTTGATTGTACGGAGGGTTATAAAATGCTAGGTTCATAAAATTTTCATTATCTTGCCATACTATATGTGTTTATCATGTAGACCATAACTAATTAAAATTCTTTGAATACTCACTAATAATTTTCCGACCAGAAAGTTCTACCTGACTATCATGAAAGGACGAGTTGTTCTCTCATACGATTTAGAAGTTCTTGACACTTAGTGGCTCTCATACCCATTTTCAAATTCTATACAACTTGTAAAAGCATGTTGCACTAAAATGTTTCCTTAAGCAATCTTTGCAGAAAATAAAATAAAATAATAAAATAAAATAAATCTGCTCACTATCATCTGTCACCGTTACTTTTCGTGCACATATCCATATTTTTTTCCCAAATCATCATCCAATGATCCATGCTTAGTCTTGCCCCAACGTAATCTACCTGTGTTCTTGTCGTTGTCTCGGGAGTTGCAGATAGTGTTGGCTTTACGTTCAGCTACTTTGCTCCAACCAAACGCCCGATGATTTTATTACAACCGTCTCCAATGATTCCCACACATCTTCTAAGACTCTATACACTGCTTAGCTTACTGTTAGGTGTTTGCTCCCATGGCTCAAGTATTTGTATTTCATCTAAACATGTCCATGGGACTTCCAACAATTTTGATTATTATTATGCAGCGACAACCCTTCTTGTATGTTAACCCTATGGGCCCCGATAAATTAGCAGTCAAGACTCATGGCATGGTCAAGAATCCTGATTAGATATTCAACGCCAGGTACAAACAGATACTGCAATGATTTTGAGGATGAGAGGTGAGATGTTTCTTAGGAACCTGCGCAGAATTTTTTGGAAATTTTTTTTTTCGGTTTATTGTGAAGGAATGATTTCTTCCGGTTATATGGAACTGTTTAGAGTTTTTCACTTTGCCAAGTAAAGGGCTTGTTGCACGCAGCTTTCAGATTTACGACAGAGTGAATTGGCTCATGTACACAAAATTCATCAAATAGCTCAGGTCTCATGTCAATATACAATAATTTACGAAGCGATGCAGGTGTGCCTTTCTTCACATTTGAGTGCGGAGCTCTACGAAAAAAGAATCTTATCTGCACGTTCCGCATCCCGAATTCAGTCGAATATTTTGACCGGTCTGTCTATACGCCGATCACTCTACAGACAGAGATATGTTTGGCTATTTGACTGAAAGCTCCCAATTCCGAGATGTCACTTTAGGTGGAGAAAGTAGGCAGACAAGTATGTGCTTTGAGTGTACACTGAAATCTGCCAGCGTCTACACCCCTTGTATTGATCCAGAAGGTCTTGCAGCTTCTGAGGCTTTTGGACAATCTGAATGAATCAAGAATCTTTGTTAATAAAAGCTTCCGCTGTGTTTCGATACACTTTCTTTTGTGGCAAAACGTCTCAGCGTTAAGCAGACAGACAGGTTTCCCACAACTGGTAAAATGTAATGCTACAGAGGAAATGATAGCTTCATCACAGACAAATGCTGAAGACAAGACCAGTTTGACAACAGTGGAGTTTCCCTCTTGGATACGTTTTGATCAAATGATAAGCAGGAAAAATCGGAAGGCCTAAGTTGCAACACACACATTCAAAGATCCGACTTCCTGATTTATATTGACATTTCCAACCATATCACAACACAATCCATATCTTATCTTCAGATTGATGCGCTCTGGTTGGTTTAAACTTCAAAGCCTGCAACAAAACTGATACTCCTCCACAATCGGTACATATAATGCCCACGTGCGTCCATATAATTTTTCTAGGCACAGCTATTGAGAAGATGTTCCGGTGTATACAAAAACTTGGTCCTAAGTATACCCATTACAATGAACTCTACAGGTAACCACTTGTTGCACACTCTCTAATTCTCCAATTAACAGAATTCTAGTTGTCACCACATAGTTCACTTTGTACGGAAAGAAGCTAAAGATTCAGACACAAACAAACTCAGTAATAAACTGTCCATAGGAGTACGTTTATAGACTATGTATATTGATCCACATTTGATATTGTCACTGCCAATGTAATAGTTTCTGCGGTCCATGGAGTCTCATGACTGTGTGATAGATATTCTGCAGGAGACTAGAAGCGAAATCACAGACACGAAAGGTAAGTGCATAGATTTTTACAGAATCAGATCTGTAGTTTCTCTGGGTAAGCACGTAGATAATGGTGTTTTACATATACATTCACATACTATGTGGGGCTGCCAGAGATTGGCCAGGCAAGTGAACACTGCTTAAGTTGGATAAGAGGTCAGAGAGTACGAACAGTTTGTGCGTAATGCTTCAGAACCGAGTTCAGTGCAAAAATCCAAATAGGGGATATAATAATCTAATATGAGTTATGGATATGGCCGAAATGGATAGATGTATGCTCATGCAGATGGATGTTAAAAATGATTGGGCAATATGTCAAAGTCGAGGCTCCTAAGAATGATTTACCCTATTCTAACCACTAACAGCATGGGTTGCAGCCCTGAGGGCGTGAGATTTTAAATCCAGGTGATCGTGAGGTCTAGTATCCAGATTGGGCAATATGTCAAAGTCAAGGCTCCTAAGAATGATTTACCCTATTCTAACCACCAACAACATGGGTTGCAGCCCTGAGGGCGTGAGATTTTAAATCCAGGTGATCGTGAGGTCTAGTATCCAGATGTCCAGATCTTCCTCGACGGTATCACAGGCGGGAAAAGTCTCCAGGCATAATCAGTGCAGGGTCCTCAATAGCTCTGATAACATGAAAGGTGGAATCTGGGTGGCGACTCTTCGGTCGTGATTTACCTGATGTCGGGTCCATGGGTACTGTACAAAACTGGAAAGAAGAGTAAATCTTCACCTTGCATGCACTTTCCCACCGAGTTCGGACGATAATCCGAATTGAATTCCTTATGGGGTTTTGATATTGGCTTCACTCTCACAGCACACACTCGGATTCTTTTCCAAGTTAGTACTCATCACGTGTCATCACCGGCAGATCATATGCTGGTCCTTCCCTATGTTGTCCACAAGATTACATGGCTCATATTAATTGGAATGACTAGTCCGGATTCGCCACCGTGTGTATCCTTGCCAGGAATAGGGCTCGGGTGTTGGTGATAACATACTCTCTCTTCCTCGATCTGTTGGCCAAAGTCCACTTGTCAGTACATACGTTCACATCTCACGTGCAGGACACTTACTTGAGAAAACCAGACAACAGCTTTATTGAGATTGGATGTGAAGAATAATATCGATGTGGACTATATTTTCAAACATTATCTCAGTTTTCAAAACAGGCACGTGTTTGTTCTGCTGTCAGTGAGTCCCCAATTGCATCCATTGGTGGAATGAAACGGTTCCTACTTGTGTCAAAAGGAGCAACACTAAAGAGTAAGTCCCCTCCACCATCCCAGTTCTCTTCCCGTTTCGTTAGTTTTCTGTAAGTAGTATGTACAAAACTGTTGTGGAACAATTTGAGCTCCCGGCTTGTGCCCAAGAGAAACAGAGACACTAGAAGGTGCAACTACATCAGCAAGCTTCTAAGTGCCTCTGGTTCGTGATTGATTATATTATCAATCTTCTCAAGCGGCAACATTACTTATAAGCCTCATCACGGTGTCCCTGTCAGGGAGAGCGGGGATAGCTCCTCTTTCGGTAGTTGTAATGGCACCACAAGCGTTCGCAAACTTTAGAGCCTCCCTCAGTTTTGTTTCATCCTGCCATGGCAAAATCAACAGGACACTGTGAATCAACTTTTTCATACGGACCAAGCTGTCAGATGTTCCATATAATCGAAACCACAACGAATGTCCACATTATTTCAGCGCAAACTTTATAGCCTTCCTCAGTTTAAATTCATCCTGCCATGGCAATAGCAACATAACGAATCAACTTCTTCATATGGACAAGGCTGTCAAGTTTTTAACAGAATCGAAACCTAAAAGAATGTCCACATACTAGTTTATCAGAAAAACTGCGACACTTGTCAGCTCCCTTTATTTGCGATAAAACCATGGAATACTAAAAGGTTGGGCATGCATACCTCAAAAAGATTCAAGTCCCGAACAAGAGCAGTTAGCAGCCCTCCTACAAATGCGTCTCCAGCACCAGTTGTATCCACTGGCGAAACTGTAAGGCCCTTCACTTTGCCCGAAAAATCCTGTAAAAAACAGCAAACTCTCAGATATAGCTATACATGATGTCCTTCCAGAAAATTGAACCAAATAAGATCGACCTAATCTAACCTCAAGAAACCATTCTAACTTGTCATAATCAATGCTAGAGAACTAATCAGACCTCCACCGAGCATAACCCCTCCACTACCTAAAATATAAAGGAAACAAGTATAAAATCACAAATGAAAGATCCACGAAGTATCTCCTGGCCATCGATAGAACTAGATTAGGATAGGCATATGGAAGGCAAGACGTTATTAAATCCTCATTGACACCACAAAATTTCCAAATCACGCCGTCTTCGCTGTTATCAGATCGAACATACAGACGTTGATCAGGTGTAAACATGTAAGAAGAGGTGAGGTTGATGACAATACCAAGGCGTAACCATCACCCTGCTGGTACAGATTGCCTACCACTACTAGACAAAATTCACGCAATCAATGCAATCCATACCGAACACAAAGAAGTTGCATACCTTGGTGTAGTATCGGCACCCATTGGCTCCTTCCGTAACCAAGAGAAGCTTCAGGTTAGGATGCCACAGAGACATGGCTGCTTCATCGCTGTATGGGTCACCTCCGGTAAGGAAGGAAATTTCCTCCTCGCTTATCTACACCATTAAGACATTTGTCACTCGTCGTTTTTAACAAGGGATGTACTCGAACATTTCTTTCTAGACCACTACAGAGATATTAGCAAACATCTCCAAAACGTCACTTGTAAATTTTTCGATCACACTGCTGTTGTACTGAGCATTACATCCCAGACTCCACTAATTTCAGATGAGCAAGCATTGATATTTACCTTTATAATATCCGCTTGGTCCCAAATGCTCTTGATACCCTCGCGAGCGGCCTCAGGAGAAGACCACAATGGAAGCCTCAGATTGGGGTCGTAAGAGAGTAATACACCCGCCTTTCTTGCAATTTCCATAGCCTTGAGGTGTGCTGAACGGCACGGCTCGGCAATCAAGCTGATGGATCCATAATGCAAAATCGTTGCCTGCAGGATGCAAGAAGGAACAATTACAAGGCTTTAAACAGGTATGGTTTGCAGAGCAAGGCTTTGGTTCTTTCGAAGTCATTAGGTAGAAACAAGATGCAATTATGGAGTTCTGAAGGATGTACGGCTGATGAAATGGTAAGCAGATAGAGAAACAACCTCCAATAAACAAGGAGACCGAGGGTACAACGTGAAAACTACGTGCCGGATTCGAAGACCATCATATACAACTGAGATATTGAAATAGGTTATCGTCAGCTCCTGCTGAGATGATCCGTCTTTGATCATGAGAACGGTATTAAGATAACAGAATTCCAGTGAGTGCAAGTGTGGGCAAAGTACCTGCTGGATGAGCTCAACGTCGAGTTCATGAACATCCAGAAGCATGTCTGCAGAAGGGTTGCGATAGAACATGAACTCTCGCTCCCCATCTTCTCTGAGAGTCACAAAGGCCAAGGCTGTTCGTGCACCGGGGTCAAAACGCACACCACGACTCTCAACACGATTTTCTTCGAGTATTTTCACTAGCATGTACCCAAATTCATCGTCTCCGACCTGCGAAGATGATAAACAAGAGTAAAATCTCCGCTGGCACTCAAGATCCTCCTTCCTAGATTCCTCTGATGAACATCACAGTACATGATTCCTACTGGTTCCTAATTCGAGTACACAAAACGTCATGGTCAATTCACGATGTCACCCTTCCCATTATCGAAAGTGAACCTTGGTATATCATGAGGTCGGGCATAAATCATGGTCAATATGAAGCTGAAATTTAACCGAAAGTTGGTAATGAGGTCAGAATTCAAACTAAACTTTTGCCTCCGGACATTCAGGCTTTTCAAGTTCCAGGAAATGGAGATTATGAAATAGAAGTTGTTACGCACTGACCTAATGAGACAAACATGAATGCTTAGAATCTAAATTCGGAATGATCCAAACAGGCGAAATAAAAGAGATCGTGCCCTCCTGAGTGTATGACGACGCGTAATTACACATCCATGAACACATTGGGTGCATGTCAGACAAGTCTCGGGTATGCATTCGGCAAAGACAAGGTCGAGCTATTGTTGAATGCATCCTATCTCGTCAAGAGGGTCATAGTCGAAAGAAACCATGTCTTTACACTTGGCCGCAAGAGCTGGCAGGTCGAATGACTTGGTGGAAACACTCATCTTCGTCTTCCTAGGAATCCAAACACAGACGGACCACCTTAAGTTCGACTACAGACGACTACTGGCAGTCAATCCATGCCCACACAGAAAAGCTCACCTTTCCCATGAAGGCCGCGTTGCCACCAAGACGAGCAATTCCGACTGCCACGTTAGCTGGTGCACCTCCAGGTGCCTTCTTAAAGGCAGGTGCATCGGCCAGCGATAATCCACCCACAGTGGGAACAAAATCAATCAGCATCTCTCCAAAGCAAACAACCAACTCTAAAGGCTTCGCTTGGTTAGCCCGCCCGTTGTCTGCCGCCATACATTTCACGTTTCCTGAAGCGTAAACATTGCACGTGCAAACATGAGAGCTGAAAAGCGGCAGATTTATACATGGGATCAGGAGAACACTTTAAGACTCAATCATTCGTGGAAGGAACTCACTAATGTGGAGGATGACAGGTGATTTCTATGTGGGAGAAAAAATCTGAGAGATGGTGAGCAACTTTTCTTCGTCCGGGGCAGTATATCAGGTCCGCGCTTGAGTGATCTTCCATTGACTCATTAATTATCCGCGCAATGAATCAGACCTCTAATCGTACACGGACTCTGCGGCCAGCCGCAGGTCAACGCATCCACTTACCACACTTGATGCATCGCTGATATTTCACTCCTGCCATGAGAGCAGTTGTCAAATCATCGACAAAACTTCTATCCGGGGACAATCGCGGGGCTAGAGCTGTTGTTCTTCACTACTTTCACACCAGTCCTGATTGACTCGCGCTAAACTGCCCGCCTAGACATCACGACATCGCCAACAAGCTGAGCGCTACTTGAGGCAGAGGGGCCGCTGTGGTTGCAACCAGGCGGACAAGCACAAAGAAATCTTCCATTGAGAAACCCTCGAAACATTCCATGACTGGAATTCGGTCACCTAAAACCATCACCATCGGAACGTTCCGACGGGTGCCCAGCTTTTGTGGAGGGTTGCTGGCTTTCAGGATCTCGGTCTCTAATCGAGAACGAGGAAGAAGAGGAAGACAATCAAGACGACGACTGCGAGTGCTAGCTGACTTTTTCAGGGGACTGTCCCTTGTCCCTTCTCCTTCGTCCTCCTCCGACACATGATTTTCTGTGCATGGGCAGATGCAGGACTACGCCTCGGATCCACGCTCACCCTCGGCACATCTGAACTGCACTACCCCTAAGACTTGCGGGCATCAACCGGGACTCTCTTTCTCCCTCTGTTTCTGTCCATGTCTACCGATCGTACCAGCCCGAATCCACCACCGCTTCTGATCTGCACCCACGCTCAGTTTCCAAACGGTCTACTGCCCTCGCAGGTGATGGTTGCTACGCTGCTGATATGCATATCATTCTGATCTATGTTTTCCTCGACTGCCTTCTTTCACGACGAAGAAAGAGCAGACGCCGACATTCCAACCTCAGATCTGTGGGCTGCCTGACTCACTCACCTCCAAAGCGTGCATGGATTCGACAACTACCAAGCATGGATACATGGGACGACCATACAAGGACGCGCTACCATCGATTGTTTTACCGGGCGAGCTCTTGCGCCGATCCGGGCAGGCAGGGGCGCCCCGGCCGGCAGGCCTTCTTTCGATGAGGGAACAAGCGCAAACATTGTCGGACAGGCAAAGCACAGCAAGGCAGATCAAGGACACCGGAACATTCCATTTCACAACCGCAACAATAATGTAATGGATGGGAGGTATGCCAAAGAAGAGGAAGAGAGAGTATACTGTCAAATCCGATTTCCAAAAAAATGGGGACGAGTGGGGAGGGAGGGAGGAATTGAAGCAGGGGGGAGGGGGAGGGGGAGGGAAGGGGGACGGAGAGCAGCAAAAGTCCACACCTTGATGTCGGGCAACGTTGCCACGCAATTTGGATCCCTTATAACCCTCTTGGAAATGAGAAGACAATGCTGCAACACTGTTTCTGTTATGATGAAGAAACGAGTGTGATAGCAATGGTGGTTGCTTGCAGCCCCCTTTAGATAAGAGCAGTACGGAGGATTGTTTGACATGAGATGAGAAAAAAGATTTCACTGATGGGGTCTTGTGCTTGAAATTACGTGAGGAAACGTGAGCCACGCTGCAGGGATGGTTCTCGGGGGAGGTGGCAGAGCGAGCGAAGTCCGTCACGGGAGTACTTCCTGCGATCAGAGCGCTACTGCTGAACACCGTCGCCATCTTTCTAAAACACTGACGACGACAACGACGACAACAACGACACCCAACCACAACGCTGCTGTGTTGGAGATGGCAGATCCAAGTCGGCGAATAATTTCCTCAAGACCCAGACGAGGCAAGACGGAAGATTTTCAAGGGCCTGGCCCCGTTGATTTCCTCAGCACGCCTTCCAGCTGCAGAGCTACTGGCACAAGTTTCACAATTCTGCAGGTTTCGGAACGACAGGACAGGTTGGAATCAATGGTGAGGACGTATGGTACACACTAATACACGGAAGCACGGAAGGAATACGAGAGAGACAGAGACAGCGAACGAGGATTAAACACACAGACAACTCGTGTTCCACGACGATGATGGTCAGATCAGACCCTTGCTTCCGTCACCCTCCCCGCGGGACAGACTTGGATCAGACACAGAGACAGACAAACCAACTGCAGAGCCCTCCCTCCCTCAGCTGCTCGCGCTCTCTCGCGCTCTCCCTCCGCCCCTCGCTCTCAGTCTCTCTCGAAACAGGGAGGACATACGCACTCCCGGCCACTATTTCTACACCCGGCAAAGCGCAAAGGGGAATGCGAGGCAGTGAGGGACCGGTCGTATGAGCCTCCCTCACTCGCACACACGCTCCCACACCAACATGAAGATTCGCTTTGGCAAGCAGCTCACTCTCACTATTACTTTTTTAACAGAGGAATCTCGTCTATCCTACACCCACCAACCAACCCTAATGGTGAATTGATCCTTCACTTCTGTATCGATCCGACTGACTGACACTCGACCCGATCGACAACTCCCTCCCTCTCTCTCTCTCCCTCTCTGCCTTCCTGCATACTCACTCACTCCCTGCGCTGCCCTGTCCCGTGAGCACCACCACAGTGGCACCCAATTGTACACTCACACACTAACACCCACCTTCGCAGACAAAAATCTGCTAAATTTACTCAGCGCTGCAGTGTCTGAACGCTGAACACTTGTACCTCGGCGATTTGTCAGCTTCCCCGCCCCTGCAGCAACAACAGAAGCAGCAGCAGGAGCACTCACTAACTTCTCTCTCTCTCCGTCACTTCCCCGGGTCCAAACAAGCAGCACAGTGTCCACCCGCTACCCCCTCCCCCCCTCACAGACACTCACTCACTCACTCACAAACAAACACTCCTCCCAAAGCCTCATCCGCTCGCAACAAACCTCCGCACAGAATGCTGCACAAATGGAAGGACAAATGGAAGCGCAATGAAAGCAAAAGTCAAGCCAGCGAAGGTGCTTCTCACGGCACCAAATCCGCAGTCGCGCCCACTCCACCGATCACCTCCTTCCTTCCTTCCCTCCCTCGTTCCCTCCTCCGCTCCCAGATCTGCACACCGACTCAATCCCAACTGTACGCCGCAGCTCCCTCCTGCAGCAGCAGCAGCAGCAGCAGATCTGTCGCTCGCTTGCTTACTTGCTGGCCTTGTTTACATGGTCCGTCCGAGGATTTATGCGTCCGATGGCGGGGTTCCGTTTTCTTCCTTTCCTGGGGGAAAAGTCTTTGTCTTCCAACTTGCACTTTTTTTTTAATAATCATTGGCTTTCGGCGGAAGTATCAGAGACGAGATGCGACGAGAGTCGCTTTCAGCAGATTAAAAGAATTGGAGGCGGGGGAGTGATTACCTCAAGAATTTGGAGGAGGGGGGAGTGATTCCCTAAAGAATTTGGAGGAGAGAGAGTGATTCCCTAGCTTTCATCAGATTAGAAAATTTGAAGGCGAGGGAGAGACTTCTTAAAGAAAATTGGAGGCGGGAGAATGATCCCTTGCTTTCATCGTCAAATTAGAATTATCGAAGGCGGGGGAGTGATTTCCTTTCGTGCAATTAGAAAAGTCTCGAGCGCGGTAGTGATTACCTAAAAACCTTGAGAGAGAGCGGGAGAGTGATTCCCTAGGTTTCATCGAATTAGAGATTTCCGAGGCGGGGGAGTAGTTCCTTTAAAAGAAATTTGGAGGCAGAAGGAGCGATTCACTAAACTCACCACCGCAGCTTCCATCAAATTGGAAAATATTTGGAGGCAGGGTAGCGATTCCCCCGCTTTCTAATTTGACGAAAGCTGGGAAAAAATCACTTCCCCGGCTTCTCCTGTCCTGTGCCAGAAATGACCCCCGCCTCCCAATTTGTCTAATTTGATGCAATCTGCGGTAATGATTTCCGAGCTTTCGTCAATTTAGAAAGCAAGGGAATCGCTCCCCTCGCCTCCAGATTTGCTGGGCTCGGTCGGGTTTAGCAAACACGGCTGACTGGACCGTGACTGGCCTGACTGGACCGTGACTCGGTTGTACGATAATCTGACTCCAAGTGCCATCTTGACACTTGAGTTCGCAGATAAGGATTAGAGGACCGGCAAACGGATTAACTTGGACGTGTACGGTCCTCATGTGTGCTTTACAAGTGTGTCGCGGTCCTTCGAAAGTGTCCCATCGATTTCTTTCGTTAACCAAACCGCACAGTCTAAGAGAGTGCCCGTTTTTTCGAGACTTCTTCTCGTACTTTTACCTTCCATAACGAAACCCCTAACGGTCATGATCTAATTTGCAATTTTTTCCCGAAAATGTCTCACTCTAGCCTGCCGTAACATCTCCGCGCGGTGAGTAATTAAAAAAAGAAGAAGGAAAAGAATGAATAAAAAAACAGCGTCCAGTTGTCGTGGAGTGTCCACGCTGGCGCCACACTCGTCCGTCCACGCCAGGCGGGTGACTGCTGGGTGAGGGAGTGCCGAGATGGTCGCGCGGCGAGACCTTTTCTGATCGAGTCGCTCGCAGGTCATGGTCATTCCGCTGCCTGTCCCTGTACCGCGCAGGGCCTCCTCCTCCTCTTCCTCCTCATTTTGATGCTCCGGCTCCTCCTCCTCCTCCTGCAGCCTGTTCCTATCAACAAATATTATTAAGCTCGCTCGCTTTTTCCATTTGCAATATAAACAAATCTTCGGGTGTATATCGTATGGCGAGGCCGGTTGATTTGAGGTGGGGCCCTGCCCGAGTGTATGTCTGCATGACAAGCCATGAAAACTCCATGTACTCGTTCTCCTGGACCATTGTTTCACGGGTGGGACCCGGGCAGGGACAGGGACACGAGGGGCAGGGAGCGAGACAGGTTGAGTACCCCGTGGGTATTTGTTGTTCTATTCTTCTTCAACACCATTCTCCTCTACACCTCGTCCGGTCTTCCCGGTAGTGCTGTTGATTTCCAACCGACGGAGCCCACCGTACTGGGCCGTAGCCAGTCCGTCCGTCAGTCGATCCGTTGTACTCTGCGAATCTTTTCTTCTAATCCGAATCCGGTGCCCCCATATCTCGTCCCCCGTCACACTAATACTTCGTGTTCATGATGGGAGTCCACTTTGGAAACGCCCGTACCGAAAAGGTACAAAAGTGGGCCTAGCAAAGATCAAAAAATGCGAAGAGCTACTAATCTAGTACCAAGGATGGTAATACCCCATCGGGTCCTAAAGGGTTAGTACGAGGCCAGCCCAATATCATCACAGCGGGCAATGCCTACTAATGCACGAAAGATATTATCACAATCCCGATCTAACGCGTACTTACCGAAACATTCCAAGAAGCAATAACGCTATTATCCCCTGTGGATTGCACTAGTCGTTACCCTACGGCCATGTACCTCAATAGCTGACAAAAATCAACACAATTTGATAAATTATGTGGTACCCGCATTGGCTAGTTCTAAAAGTTCTCACAAAATCAATCACAAAACTTTCTTGATCTTGTACACAATATTCCACCGTTTAGAGAGCAAAAAGTTGACTTCATTACCTATCCGTATACTTGGTTTTAATAGATGATCTTAACTACTTGTAAAATTGCTTGACCAATGGTTTATTTAGAATTTTTAGCACATGTATACACATACTAATACAATCATTTTACAACCTTTTCATTTTGATGTCAATTTTAAAGAATGAAATAATAATAATTATTATTATTATCACATTTGTCATCTTATCTCCAGGTTATATGTTTTGATCATTTCAGATTTTTATTTTTCAAATATAGATCAATATATTTTTTTAAAAAAAATTGATAAAAAAAAAAAATTATTATTCATTGTGTTTAAGAAAATTCTAAACAAGAAAAAACTAAACATCAAATCTGAAATTTGCTTGAGTTTTAACATTGTATTAAAATTTGTCTAATGTTCACTAAATATTATTTGAATGCAATAGCAAAATCAACAAATGTTAGAAGATTAATTTGATATTTCATATAGCTTGATGCTAAAATTTTTCAAGTTCAAATTATATTGTGGTCTTATCATCTTGGTTTCTAAATTTTAGTAAATTCAAACGTTTCACTTTATTACTTTCAATTTTTAAACAATTTACGTTGACAAGCCTAAAAATAAAATTAAATGTACTTATCACATAGATCAAACTAGTTTTGTACTAAAAAAAATAACTATTGATAGTCTCACTTTCTTATATTTAGGCGGAAAAAACCAAGTAAAACAAAATATTATTTCAAACAGTGTTTTATTAGATCATTGATGCAGTAGAAGCGAAAGAAAAAATAAAAATGAAGTATTTTGATGATGAGAGATTTTGTCTAGCAAAGAACAAAAAGCAAATTTTTAGATTTTGTGATTTCTATTCAAAAATAAATTCAATAGAAATCACATTCAAATGTGATTTCCACACATAATAGAACAAAATCTATACTTTTTTGAGTAATTTTGTCTCTTGATGATCACAAATTCCAAACGGGCAACATGTCAGATTTGCTTTTCATTGATTTAATTAAAAATTTTATAATGTTTTGAACTAGAAACGAAATAAAACGAGCAACATGATAGGTTTTGAACAATAACAGTGTGTGCAAACGTGACAAATGACATGAATGAAGATAACATTTGACCCAAAAATGATAAAAAAAATCTACGTGATAATTTTTTGAAATTTCTTTTGAAATAAACATGTTTTGATATTAAGCTTTTAAACTAAAAATTTTAAACAATAAAATAAACAGAAAAATGTAATATTCATGTATATAGAACTAGGTTCATGACAATGCAATTTTTAATTCAATTTTTTATAATAAAATATTTCTAATTAATTTTTTTATGCATTGTAGATTAATTAATTATTTTAAATGAGTTATTTTTAATTCAAAAAACTACACCAAAGTTGAATATAAACATGTTTTAACAATTTTAACTACTTTTTAACTATTTTCTTTAAATTTTGATTATATTTTTGTCTTATTTTGAAATAAAATATGTTATTCGAAATTTTTATAAAAATCAAATCAAGATGTAATGAAATTTTGATGTAATATTATACAATTTACTTATTGATTAGATTTGTATATACACTGAATATGATCATGTTAATTTGTTAAAATTAATGTAGTATTCTCCTCAATATGAAGATAGGATTGATTTATAATAGATTGTTGCTAGTAATAACAATAGCAATTTCTTTTTGGATAGATAAAGTTTAAATTTGTTAGTGTACAGTTACATCTTGGAAATCCATATATTGTAAGTACTTTATGTTTGAGTTGGAAGCTATACATTAACATCCATATGCTTGTTAGTTAAATTTGCCTTATCATTGATACATTATCGGTGAAATGGATTATAGTATGAGAATTATCTATCTATACATGTAAAAAATTCAAAATCTACATAAGAAAAACCTGATTCATTTTAAATAACATGTTTTTTCAAATTATGTGTTTCATTTTTTTTTGAATGAAATTATATCTTAGATTCTACTGTTACATTTGAAAATGAAATTGTAGAAGTAAAAAATTATTGTAACTCTTAACAATAAAAAAAAAATCATTCCAAAGATCACATTCAAATTGCGAAGACGATCAATGTTTAGAATGATTATGCTCTTACTTTTATCTTTCCAGTATGTACAAAAATAACACATGATTTTCATCATGTATTCCAATACTTTTGTATCAAGGTCTTGTTAAAAATCTTTAACAAGCACACAAATTGATATTGATATGATAAGTAGATTTAGTGCATCACATAAAATATCTATCACATCTTAAGTAATCTTTGTTTTTAGATATAATTAATTTAATTATTTACATCTACATTTCAAAATTGCGTAACTCAATCCACTACAAACTTAGTATGTAATTGTAGCAAAAGACTCAAATTGATCACAAAAGCATGTCGTAAAATTATGATTAACATATGAAATTGTGACTCTTCATTATATTAGTGAATGCAATGATGTAAAATATTATGAAGAATATGAATCCAAGAATTATTTTTCAAGAGTATGTGACTAATAAAATTATTGAACAACTCAAGATAAAAAACAAATTACATTCTACTCATTATTCCAAAAAATGATTCCTTAATTTTTTTCAAATCATATTGTAACCGGGCAAATTTTGCATATGGATGCAAGTAGAGTGAATAAACTAACATTTAATTTTATATATGTAAATTTACTATGTTTTATGTTTTACACTACGGCTTAAATCAAATTTGCAACAACAAGAAATTTAGTTTTCTTCTATTCATATTCGAAGTTTTCAAACCTCAAAACATAAGTCAAGGGAGAGATTGTTGAAAGTAAATTCAGATTTTGTTTGAATTTAGTTATTTTCTTCATAAATAGTTAGACTAGTTAGCTAGCGCTGTATAGTAGAACTAGCAAAGTAACTTTGTGACAAAAAACTAGAGTTTCCAATAAAGAACTATACATACTTCTTGGACGTAGCTTAGTTAAAATGTATCACTTGTTTTATATGTCAACTTCCTATGAAATGCTTGTGACTATGAATGTAAATACAAATTGAAATTGTTACTTTTTGGCTGAAGGAGTGTGAAGAAAGGTTATTGGTAAAAAACTAATAAATCTAGTCAAAAGATATCATAATGGAAACATTATATTTTTTGAAATCACATTCATTGCATCATAACTACAATCTATAATTCAAATTTAAATTTTGGAAGAATAAGACTTGGTTTTTAGGCAAGTAAATTTTGATGTTAGAGTGCTATAGTTATGTTGCTTAAGTCAGGTTATAAGAAAACACAAATAATCAGTACAATTGATACTTGTACTTTGACTCTTTTTTACAAAATTATTTTGCAATTAATAAGTATCAACGTAGAAGTATCATGAATACTATTTGAGGTGTATACTTTTCACAACATCTGCTCAACTATCATATGCACTGGGATTCACATGAATGTGAATCAGAGTCTTCACCGCTCTTCGGAATGATTTATTCTGTGTGAAAAAACTCAGTATTTGCATTGCCGCGCCCATAACAGATAGGTATATATTAGATAAATTATCGCGCAAGGAACAACCTCTTGTTAGTGATGAGATTCTGCATGAGCTTGAACTCAATTCAAGGAGGATAATATTGTTTACCCGAAGCTGTAGCACTTATTCAAGGGCCGGTAATTATAACCATTACCGCAACCTATCTAACTGTTAGTGCAGAAGGGTAGATTAATGTCGGTGAGCCAGAGGAGACAAACTTTGGTAAGGGACAAATGCACTCCTGATCACAAGGATGGATGTACAGCGCAAGAGGTTAAGAACTTTAGACGTTTTCCAACGAAGTAGTACGGCAGTGAGAGATTATTAAACAATACTCTCGTAATCTCGTCATGGAAGTTATGTGATAGTTTCCATGGGATGGTAAGTATAGAGGTACCACCGATAGACTCCACCTGTAATTGGTTCAATCCATCGGTATAGTTTTAGATGCTAAGTTATGGGATTCTGAGATGTTATAACATAGCTATACATGGTCAGTCCCAAAAAAGCAGTGTTTTGATGACCTCATGATTTGACCTATAGCTGCTGTTGGCAATGAGGAGGCACTCAGAACATAGCGCCTGCTTCTGCTGATGAGTGGACAACATTGTATTTATCCACCGCCTGTGAGCCCCTAAATCTCAGCAGCTTCTCAACACTTCTTCACAAACTAGAAATATCAAGGCCTTTGTGCGGCAGGTTGAGTCCTCCCGAAGCTCCAATTCCCAAGCTGAGGGGATAAGAAATATCATGTTAAGATCTCCATTGACGCGCAATTGTTCGTCTGAGATTTCCACAAGCAAATATGCATGACATAGAAGATAGAGACAGCACCAGTTCTTCGATCTTTCTCCTGTGTTGACAAACAGTGTGATGAGAACATGACGAACTGTCGCCAACGTTGGATGTCGTCCAAGTTATTAGATCTGTTAGTACGTACAGCAACCACATCGAGTTTATCACGCTGATCTGTAGTACCCCAGGATGATCGACTTGAGACCTGCATGTATACCAGAAACCACATTTCCGCTTTACAGTGCAGAATGGCATCAACGGCATCTGAGAAATTGATATATCGTATTCAAGGGTGAGAACACTTCACCACTTTTCTTGTATGATCGGCATCTTGTAGAGAAGTGAAGTAAAAAGTAAACAGTTTATTCCTTCTCCACAAAAACAGGAGAATAATCAGATGTCTGTCCGAGACTCTCATATTGAGTCCCAGAGCCACTCCGACTTACTTTTAAACTACAACCTACAACACTAGAAAAAATGAAGACAAAAGAAATGAATTGATGGATGGATAATAATGAAAACGAGGGTGTTTGAACCCCTATACAGGCGTGCAAGGCATTTTACTGCACAAAGTCATGGACAAGCTCTTATCTCTTTAAGATACTCATCAGCTCCTTTCGTGCCTTCGCAGCGGGGATATTGACAAATTTGGTGTGTCACAAGTACCGCCCAAACTAAGTTAAGTTACAATTGCCCTAAGTTATGTTGCTGGCGTATATCAGATTTACATCGTTTCCAAGACACACAAATGTGCGTCAATCTACGGTTTCGCTGTTGAGGCACATTCTGCACTTGCCCATGTTTAGGACTACATGGATAAAGCACCCACTATAGATAGTGCTGCCTCACATTCACCTTGCTTGCTGATAGGCCGTAGCTGACAGTAAGCAAGCGTGGTAACCCTCAGGTTCAGCACCCTCCCTCTCCCTCTCTGTCTCTCTATGAAGAATAGAATGAACAACGTAGCTACCTGACTAGCCTCAAAAGGATAAATGAATGGTACAGTCACATGCAAATGAGCCCACGAATTCTAAGTTTAAGGGGCGAACTAAGAAAGGAAAGGAGGAAAAAAAAAAAAAGTGAAAGAAAAATTACACTTTACAACCCACTCCACAGGGAACCCAAGAATTGCTTACTTCTGCAATCTACAACCTGCAAGCTGGTCCCAAAACCTCATCAATAGTCAAGTTCTGCTTGCTGCTTAGCTGCCTGTGCCGTCCAGTAAGTGTGGGCGTGGGTGACACGTTCCAAAAGTTCCTGTGGGACGGGCTCCCCTCGTCGCTGGTGGGGTGCTATACGTGCTGTGTGGACGAGTGTCTTCCATTTGTCCTGTATTTCAAAATCAACATGCAAAGCATAACGCTGTAAGAAATGCAACCTTAAGAAGCGCATCAGAAACCCAACTGCGGAGAGTTTATTTGTCAATCAAACAACTTCCCACAGGTATATGTTTGGAGGATTATACTAGAGTCTAAATATCAAGTCAAGACCTGTATCCAATACTATGCATAACAGCTTTGTTTGGTTAACAAGCGGGGCTGTCTGAGGCTTACAAAATGAATCTAACAAAGACCTCGTGAATGGTTCAAACTTTCTCGAACTAAATTGAACTTCCACATCACTAGCATTGGCAAGTTGATGGGAGGGAGCTTCAGGGCGGCTAGAAATGAAGGCTGTGCGTTCACTTCAAGACATTCCACGAGTTCAACGAGACCATATATTTGTCTGTCAAACTTGAGATCCTACGGCAGGTGTTAACGGAACAGTCACCTAGTGGAATCACAGGAACTGAGTTTCGCCTGAAGAACCCAAGTAAAATGTCTTACATCTTTCAAGATTGCCATAGGCCTGCATGAGCAGTTGCTGATGGCGTTTAAACTAGAACGTCGTAAGTGATCACGTTATCAGAAGTATACACCAAGTGTGAGTCCTTGGTATTCTATCTATTTTTCATATATATTTTGTCACTGGAACTTCTTTTCCCTCCATACTAGTCCCTTCATCCGGTCTAGATTCTCAAAATTTCAATCAGAATCTACAAGAGGAGCTGAGAAATCTTCCTAGTCCTTTAGATCTCTTGCTTGCAAATGAGGTAGGTGTCAGTAACAGAGCACCACGAACAGATCTCAAATGGAATGGACACCACAGGATAATCTCAATCGGAAGTAAACCTTCCAGAAGATAGCATCAACAGACTAGCATATTCCGCAGGACTGCTAAATCAGGTCCATCACATACGCAATATGTCAAGGTACAGCAAGAAAGTGTTTTTCAGGAACATTCTTCACCTCCCATGTTCCAGTCGTATTTCCTACTCCAAATACAAGGCTTTCATGTATGTGCATATTTAGGGAATTGTTTGATACAGATGGATTTACACAGCTATTTGTTCTGAGGACAACCATTGGAACCCCTGCAGTGAAATACAGTTCTTGGTTGAGAATGAGGTGAAGCGCACACCTGGGTGGCAGGCAAATATTGCTCTGTCCAGCTGACTGTCTGCACCTACAAGCTAATGAATCAACAAAAGACATTGCGGGAACGTCCAGTACTATCTTGAAACTTCCTATCTCTGCTCTTGTCCACCGCATCAATCTTGTCCGTCGGAAACTCACCATTCTTCTATCATGAGCATCTATCGGCAGTATTAACTTCCCAGGTAGGCTAGAGGAGAGACACGCATAAGAAACATAACAAACCAGGGGCATTTGTTCTTTACGTATGCTGAACATGGCAGCAGCTCAAGAAGATGGGAGCGCAAGACTGGAGAGCTAAAAGAGGTCTTCCATCTGGCAAGATATAGGCTAAGTCTCGGAGATAATTGTGGATTTTGTGCAGCGCTCTCAGAGCTTGGTCAAATGGAGTGATGCAGCAAGCAAGCTGTTGAACCCACAGACTAATGTTCGTGTACGAAAATTGTTGTCAGACCATAGTACTTGTTATAGCTGGGGGCATGTCGATGAACCACAGTGCCAAGAGAAAGTCATTTCGCTAGATAGCCCGGTGAAATCATGATGCACCGGTCTGACCATAGTACTTTGCTCACTAGCCTACTTTAGCAAGCAAACAAATGTAAACATTCTGGAGAGTAGAAGCAGTGGCATCTTGTGCTCCCTATAATTATCTTAAGTAATAGAAGATATGAGGAAAAGTGTGGAATATTACCTTCAGATCGACATATGTACGGTGCTTGGCCTGATCAAATGCTCGCAATTTAACATCGCGCCATCTGTAAGTAAAGTTACAATGACAATTTCTAATTAGTAACCAGAGATAAACCTCTACTGATTCTTGTAGAACCAAAGCTACATCATTGCTTTTACACGATGGAACATCTAAAGAAGATCAATTTACCTGCCAGTTCCAAGCTTCTCCACGGCGTGTACCAGAGCCTCCACCTCACTCACACTAAAAGGTCTACGAACACGGCGTTTACCTACGTCCATAGAATGCGACTTCTGTCGTACAGGAACAAGTGCTAAGCCCTGCATATTCTCACCCACATTCATGCCAGGGTGTAGAATAATAGCTCCCGAACCGGGAACCATTGTTTCATGAGCAAGCGTATGAGAAGCAGGAGTTGCTGAATCAGATTCGTTCTTTGCAGACCGACGACTTGCATCAGCCTGTGCTCTTATAGCTGCCAAAGCTCCGGCAGCTGCAACCCTCGTTGAGTGGGGTGATAATGACATTCGTTCATTTAAGCCTGACTTGGGCTTGCTGACAGGGCATCCTTTAAGGGCATCCTCTTGTGGACCTTGGAATGTCATCCCTGATCTCTTAGCTTCATTGTGATCTCCTGACACTGGTGCAGTGTATGCCTCTCCATCAACTGGTCCTCCGGTACCCTTATTTGATCGTGTCTTTTGTGGACACCGACTTCCCAGCTCAGCAGCACTAGGCATGCCTGGAGATCCAAATCCGTTGAATCTGAATTTAAACAAACAACATCCGTTAGCAAGTCATCGAATCAATTCAAGAACAGCACCACCCATAAGTACTCGTATACGGATCGCACACAAGGCAGAGTTAAAATATTTCACCAATTCAAAAGGAGAACTACACTGACTTACGAGCTGTATACCTGACCACTACCACAAATCCACAATCAACCCTAAACCCTATCACTCAATAAGAGGTACGATGACAAGGCAAAGAAAGGCGCAAGTCTGAGGAGCAGATACTCCTGCACATGACTCTAATCTTGTAAGATTAGTCTCTCATTTACTTGTAAGATTTGTGATATTCAAGTTCGGACTTGGTTAAATAAGGTCTCAACTTCAAAAACAAAGATCAGCGTAGAAACAGTTTTAGCTCATTATGATTCCCTTTTTGAGTGATCCTATGTCGATATCGCTAAGATCCAGGACATTCATATGGCCTTCAATATACTGGACTCGACAAGTGAGTGTAACTCTTATTACCGTGGAGATGGCTGACCAGCAGCGCGAGACAGAACGAGGAGAGGATCTTCGGACGTTGATGTGGGTGACGTAGGCAAAGGACTCGGCTCCAGCATGAAACCCAATGAATCTGGCTTGACACTACGAGAAATACCAACTTGAGCCAAAGTTGCGCCTTCATCGGGAACCTTTTTGCCTTGGAGAAGCACTCGAACCCTCAAACCCCCACCTAGAAGATTCATCGCCGCATCCATCACAGCTCGCTGTTCACACATGAGAAGCTAATGGATAAGAAATAATATAGATATGAAATATTAAACACCATTTACAAGAGAAACAAATTGCTTATGCTCTAGAAAAAAGGTCTGCCGATCCGTAAAAGTAAACTGCTTTAGATGCACGCAAAGACTTCAAGCAACTGTATTGATGTTGTAAACAGTACGAAACAAGCTACTAGGCTGAGACCACAGTTTACAAAAACGCATCTCACCTTGAGGCTGGATACTGTTGCTGATTCGGGTAGATCGACAGATAATTCTGGAACTGTGAAAGATTTGATGGTGAGCTTGACTGCATGGCAAGGAGAACGAAATGTTTTTAGTACACGCTGTAGGCATATTGGCAAGGATTATAACCATGATATATCGAATAAGAAATCAGTTAGTATCGCACCATGAGGTTCATTTGACTTCTTCGATAACTTCGCCGAACCCTTGGCTGTTGGAGAAGTTGCAACACTCGCAGCTTTAGCTGCAAAACCAAAAAGTTTGTCTCTCAGTAAACACAGATTTCCTTTGGTAAAACTATCATAAATATCTGGCATAAGTTACTGCTTATGGGTTTATGTTTTGTAGCCAGGTTCGAATCAACATGTACCATGAGATTCACGTCGTCAAAAACGTTAGTTCCCACTGCCCACCTGTACATGCAGATTCCACAAAAGCATTCCGCGCCTGATCAATTCCTCCTACGTGCTCGCCTTTTCCATTGTGTTTATCTGGCCAAGTTTGCAACCGTGTTTGTATAAAGATAAAGCCGTGTAACGAGCACGGGTAACTTGAAGCTTCTATCAACCACAAGTTTTGGGACTTGTATCACATGAAATAAGAGAAACGAGACTCAGGTGCTGGATGAAGAGCTTATTTTGTTGATAATCGAGTTTTAGATATCCTCTCTATCCACATGGCTGCTTTCTGGGAGATTTGAACTAGGATCAAAAGACTAGGCATACATACAACGCAAAATAAGTACAATTCACTTCCTTCTCGCTTGGACAAGACTTACTGATTATCCTGCATTACACTCATCTCCCTTGATCAGATGTCCTCAAACAAAAAGCAAATACTCATTGTTGTTCTCTTTGCTTAACGAGGAATTTTCTCCAATCCTTGACACAAGTGGCGCAGGATATTTCAAGGCTTCATCCTCTCTCTCAACCCCCACCCCTACAAGCATGTAATGAGTCTTTATGAAGATAGATATCCATAGGAGTGCATGTTCTTGAGTATTGATGGACTCAACGAGATTGCAAATTCAAATAGCACTTTCTGGTAATCCACCGAACTATCAACTACACCGAGGGTCCACTTCCAAAAAGAAGAAGAAGCCAACTGATTTATCGTCTTTGACATTTCCTAACAGGGTGGAAGTATACAATACTTCCCGGTAGTGACAGATTGTGGTTACCAGTGACAGGATTAGAGATGCTGTTCTGATTTAATTGCGGATTCTGGTAAGCTATAATGGAATCTAACGACTTGGTGACTGAGGTTACGGTGCATCTCTTCAAAAGAGAAGAAACGGAACAAGGCATCTCGGGTAAGATAACGGATGATGAGTTTGCTCGCCTCTGTCAAAGTTAATTTATTAGTCCCACATCCCAAGTCTATGCGCAAATCTGGAAATATTTAAATTGTCTGCCACTCCCTAGCACCATTCATGCCTATGACGCTTCCATTGCATGCTACAATCACATGCACAAAGATTAGTTGTGCCATTGCCCCTCTCTAAAAGCTTCTCTTATTCAAGAGTCCACAACAAAACATCTACAGTTTCGAAGACTTAATAAATATGTGAATTTGGTCAAGTTGACTTCAAATTTAAAAAAAGTGCTTCTCTCACCACAAATAAGATAGAAGGACGAAAATAACAAAATATCTTATGCCTCATCGTCCAGCTAAACTCTTTTCCATTAGATGCATAAATGTAAACTTTTCTTCTTGTACTGTGGGAAGTACTTACCACTTCTTAATTTAGCTGCCGCTGCAGGTGGCTCCCCTTCCGCGCAATCAAAACCAAGCTCCATTAGATCACTGGTGTTCACATGCAACTCTGGAGAGCTTGACGGTGCACCATCAGCCATCCGCTTTCGTTTAGCTGGCAGTCCTCTGGATGTCCGTTGTCGAGTGTACGACAGACCTCTATAGTACGCCTTCTTCCCTTGCGCCTCGTCTGAAAATAAAAACAACAGAAAAGTTCTAGCAAATGTGCAAGAATCTCATAGGATCTCTCACGTGCAACAACAGACATGGTCATATCAGCAACTCTATAGTCCTAAACAAGTTTCCAGTGACGAACACGCAATGCTATCAACTGTCAGATATGTCAAACTGTGCTGCCTTACGATGAATGTTCTAGTACTTGTTCAGGTGGAAATACATTTCTATTTGCCCATTAAGGCTAGAACAACCGAGGCTTCAAACTCGAGTGAAAATCATCTGTTAAAAATTTGTGCAACGTTACGAATCAAAGGCGACTAAGACAAAAATTTCTTCCGAAACCCGAGACATTGCAGCTAGACAATTTGAGGAAGAATTTGCTCAAACCTGAATCTGCTGCAGCTTCCATCTCGGCGTGCTTTCTCTTGCTCCGGGAATTTGAAACACGGCTGCGCTTAACCATCTTTACAACTTTTCTTGCTCTCATACCCTTGGCGTAAGAGTCCTTCAGCTTCTGTGAGACATTCTCAGGCAGATTCCGCTTCGAAGAACAGTTATTGTTGTCTTTGGAGAGAATTCTCTCCCTGCTACTTTCCAAAATCTGCTCACTTACAAATCCACGTTCTACTCCAACTTTTTCAGCAACTAATCTACCTAGAATCACATCCGTGACTTTCAATGGTTTTCTGGTTTCAAAAATGCTCTTATCATCGACTTCGACACCTGATTCGCCCTCATCCTCTTTACCACAAGGATCTGTGCGTTTCCATGGTTTCTTGTCACCCGGACTCCTCGCGGTGTCGTCAATGATACGTTTCGAACTCCTAACCACGTCTCTAAGCAATGCGTCTTCCTCTCTGGAAGCCAAGCAACTATGTAGATGCGTGACTTCACCAGAAGAGGGTTCCGGTTTAGTCGCCTCCGATGCAGTACTCGACACAGGATCATGACCTTCGTAAAGCATGCTTCCTTCCATCACAGAAGCCTTAGGCAGATCAATTTCCATGTCAATAAGCTGTTCATTACCTCGAATGCTAAACTTACGCTCCTTCCGGTCATCCAAGTGGTCCCCATCTTCCAGGTCTTCAATCTTGGGAATTTGCAGCCGTTCAACAGGTTCTCTAGTTTCTAGATGCATTTCATCAGAATCTGAAGCATCTTTAATCGCCGAGGAGAGACTAGACTCGGGATCAGATTTGATTGTCTGGTTTTCGTCATTATCAGAAACAGATACGGCCATCTGTTTGTTACCTTCAGGAACCTTTTGCTCTGGAGTACTTACTGTTACGCAATCACTCCTTGCAGTGACTACCTTGTCGGACCCAAGCAGGGTCTGATTTCGTGTTTCTGGAGATGAGCAAGAAACGTACGATCTGTTGACTACCATGTGAGCTGATTCGGCGGATTCATCCTCTTCTTTTTCTAAACCGAAGTGCTTCCTCGCTTCCTCATCTCTAATGCCTGCTCGCAATGAGTTCAAGCATGAAGCTGCAATTGAGGATGGCTCACATAGCGTTTTCTTCGCAAGAGAGATCCTGGCATACGACTCTGAATCCTTTTCCTTCAGTTCTGAACACTTTAGCTTCACGCCAGATATATTTGACAAATCTTGCTCCTCCCCATTGCTATCATCCTGTAAAATTTGCCCTGCTACAGTGGCAAGTAGCTCAAAAAATCCAGCTCTCCCTCCGCACACAGTTGCCTTTCTAGCCGCTTCTCCACGTCCCTATTCAATTTCCAACATGAAACACGTCAATCACTTGCAGGAGGAAGAACACAAATATCAGTGAATATTGCTATGAAACTTTGTCGTATTGAGATTTAGAATTTTGAGATTGTTCTAGTTCAATACGTCCACCTGCGGGAAACATTTATGGCTCTTACGCTGGGTTCAAACCATCATGAAGCCTACAATTGACTGGGGCAATCTTAAGCTTCACTATTTTGCATCTTAACGTTGTTAGCCAATCCAATCAAGGTAATTCACTCCTCAATTGCCAACAGCCAAATCAAAGTGTCACAATCTTTCCACAAAGGGGTTATTATACAAGAAGAGGGAGACAGTGTGCTCGGTAATCAGGGGTTATCACTGTTCGCGATGTTACTGACAACAAAAAATCTAGAGGTATATATGAACTACAGAAGCAGTTGCACTTCCAATGTAAGTTTTTCTCCGAAACGATAGAAGGAACAAAGCCACGAGTTGTCTAAAGCGATGATCATCAACAGTCAACAGATACAAAATCTACACAGCAGGGTTCAACAACACAACCTGTACATGCGTTTGGCAAATTGCCCACAAGAGGATGAAGAATTGGCAGACACAGACAGAATATTCATACGAGAAGAACGAGCTCATACCCTGGAGGAGCGCATAGCACGAGGCAGGGCAGGGCCATTGTAACCTGGAAATCCACCCCCAACTCGTCGACTTCGAGCCTCCATCCTCCTACATTACCTTCTGGAGATTTCCAAAATTTCACGAATTCTGTAATCTAAATTTCAAACTCCGCGAAGAATCAAATCCGCAGTGTCCCTTTACTAAGAAGCTCCTTCACAAGTTCTCTCCTGATTCATGATGTACGTTCTTGAAGGCTCCAGGCGATTTGAGATTGTAACTGGATACAGCCTGTCCTGACCGGCGTCTCATCCAAATGTCGCCTACGCGACCAAAATACCTCTTGATCAATCCTTTAATCGACTGTTTACGGTGCCTCTCTACAATTCGCGTGCTTTTCCAGCGGGTATCAACTTAATCTGTGGATGGTGGTCAACTCCTGATTCGGCAGCTGAGCCCTGACAGGATGAACCACAAAACCTTGAGAATTAGAAGTGCGAGCACCTGACTTGATACACGACCCTTATAACTGTTCCAGACAGAACTGCAAGATTAATTTAGATCACGTGCATTGGCTTTTCACGAGAAAACCGTCGATGAGACTAGTTATTTGGCTCGTGCCTAGCTTGGTCAGGCCGATAACTGCTGCTGGCGAGTTTGCATCGTAGGCTAAGGTGACTACGTTGAGTACCCTGACCTCCGCATTAGTGTTTGACGCATATCATATGCGATCAAAGTTCCGAAAGCAGCATTCTTCAAGAAACAAATGTCGACGCATGGTCGTCGATCAGATCGCATCCCAGAAGAAAACTTTCAACAGCCTAATTTCAGCCTATCTTGCTCCACCGTCACTAGTCAAAGAACATCACAACTCCTAAGGGAATCATCAGAGAAGCAAACTGTCGATCGCAGCAACTTGTCCGCCAGATAGTGATTTCTAGCCACAAACCTATGGCCTTCCTTCAGAATTCGCCAAGCAGTTATACTCCATAGCTTCTCTGTTCTTATCGCTGCCATGTACGTCCATCTGGAACGTATACAGAGCCATGTTGCAAGAAGTCCGATTGGAGCTTTTTCAGTCCAACAGACTCTCGAGAGCACGAGGCTCTTTCATTGAGTCTCTCCTTGATCGAAGTATAACTCGCTTGCTCTTCCCATGCACTTTGACTCTTTGAAAGTGCACAACAGTCGCATCACAAGTCAGACAGGTTACAAATACGTGATTCAAAACGGGACAAAATAAACAGGAAGTACGCAAAGCCCGATCGAAAACTTCGCTGATCTGAACAACATGCAACAACCGCTGGCGAAATTACCACAATATTCACAGGTTCAAGTTCAAAGGCATTAAGTTGCACATTCCTCAACTTAGAACAAAGCAAGAGAAACCTTGTCCTAAAACCCCTTGATCAGTCACTGGCCCGGACACAGTACTTTCGGGACAGAGGCCATCTCAGTTTACGGACGACCATTCCTCCCAGTATGACAAGAGCTCGCTGTCGCCGGATCAAGTCACCGCGGCTTCACAGGTAGTTCTTGGCATTAGCTGGCCATACAGCACATGATTGACCCATATGATCAATTGGTTGTGACCCAACCAGTGCACGACGGACCACATCGACCATGTACACACTTCTTCGGGTTCTTTCCGAGTCGCATTGAGACGACGATGACTTTTACGGAGGTATAACAATTCGATGGCCACGCAGATTGCTACTCTGTTCCTCACTTCAGATTGGGAATGCCGCGAGATGAAACGGTCAAAAAACAGTTGGCGATGAAAAACGAGTGTCAACGACGAGAAATTGACCGCCTTCATCGTCACTAGAACTTCATAACACCCAATCCCCCGTATCTGGCCTCGGCGTCACCGAAAGTCGCATGCAGGCTGACCGAGTTAACTAGCGTATGGCCGAGAGGCTCCCTCCCCAAATGTTGTGAACTGTCATACAATATCAAACAGACTTGTTCCACGAACAATTGAGTACAGTTTCAAGAGCCTCGTTTGGGACGACGTGAAAGTGCAGGAGACCAGCATCAGAATACGTCATGTGTAACAGCATGCGCAGATGTACAAGCAGGCCACAATGATACTCTCGAATGAACGTCCAAAACCCCATGGCCTCACTTCTTACTTCTAAAACCCCAAGATCAGGTGGCAACTTACCAGCAGAAACCCATGTTCTACTCCGACATAGCAACCTGTTGTCCTAGACGTCTCAATTATCAACTGTGAGGCCATGGATCTTTGTCTGATAAACCCTCGACCTGTCATGACGCCACTAAACCCTCTCCAGTCTCATCACACACCCATTGATCTTGCGCATGCCAGCTTAAACCCTTCCCATGACACCGGGACGATCCTCGATCCGCCTTCTTTGCACGGCCAATTCGGCCCTTCCCATCAAATTGGACAGACGCCTCTCAATTGCGCTTTCCACCCACTCACCATGCAATCGCCTGACCTCTCTTCGCTTCTCTCTCTCTCTCTCTCTCTCTCTCTCTCTCTCTCTCTCTCTCTCTCTCTCTCTCTCTCTCTCGCTCGCTGGATGTCTGTCAGGGTCTCGACCCAACCCGCCCGGGGCCTCGTTCTTCCTCACCCCGAGCGCAATCGGCCCTTCCTGCTCCCTAACCAACAAGTTCCTACGGCAATTGAGCCCGATTGACCAGTCCGGCGCTAGTCAGTCAGGCCGGTGTGCACGAGAGATGCGCAGGCGGGCCTATTGCTGGCAATGTTGTGTTTCACTTTCCACCGAGCCCAGGAAAAGGGTCGGTCCTCTCTCGAGGGAGCGACCGAGGAGGGGAAGAGAGCCACGGCGACACGCACTCAGAACGAGGAGAGCCGGACGAGAGGGACGCGAGGCGGGCAGAGCAAGCAGGCCACGGCCAGAGAGGAGAGACAACGGGAGACGCGAGCGACAAGCAATGTACACGCTCACGCTCTCTCGGGCCCGGGCCCGGGCCCGGACCCGGACGCGGACGGGGAACCCGAAGGGAAAGCCAGCCAGCCAGACGGGACGGGACGGGACGGGCCGGGACGAAAGCGAAGCGGAGCGGAGCGGGGAGGACTGACTGGCTCCACTCCGCTGTGCGCCTGTGCTGGCTGTGCTGGCTGTCTGTCTGTGCGAAGGGGAAAACCGTGTCAGGGCGGAGGTAACCATGCCGCGACCGGCTCCTTCCGGTTGGCGTCCGGGAAACGGAACTGACAAGGTCCGCGCGCCGCGAGATGATGCGATCGGACGGGCGGCCACCGTTTTCGTCCTGCGCTGCAGCCGGTGGCCTGGAGGCCCCGGGAACAATGATAAGCCCTTCGTAACCACCAGGATGGCCCGGCCCCCACCTGGCACGCTGCGATTGGCGTAGGCCGCAATTTTCCCACCTTCAGCGTTTTCAAAATCGCGATCGCGAACACGAAAGCTAGCGCGGCGCGGCCTTCTCCGGGGTCCGTGGCCCCTGGGCCCCACGGGAATAATAGTTGAATAATTCGGCAGGCGATGATGCCACTGACCCACGGATTAAACAAAACGCAGCAGCGAGGTAAGAAGACCTCGAGCTGAAGTGAAATTCGTTCCGTGCCCCAAGTGAGTTGTGTACTCTACAACAAACAAGAACGCTCGGCAAAAGCTCCGGTGACATCACCGCGCACTGTTATGCTGGACGTGGGCCCAAAATGGACGGAGCTGTGTCTGCAAATAACCATGGCCAACACTCCAGCGGACGAAAGAACAGATATTAAACTCCTGTCCCGGTCGCCGCACACGTGTCCTTCGCCTTCAATTCGATACAGTTAGGCCGAGGACGTTATTCAGACCACTTCTATATTCGCCCGAACACCGCAATGAAACCCCCGACGACGGCCTGTTTCTTTGCCGGCTCCCGGCCGGCTTGTCGCGGCCACCGGCTCCTGCCGGTCCGCGCCACCGGCGCGGGCGTAACTCTAGTAAGCGTGAAAAAGCCAACATGATTGAGCGCGCCTGGCAGGCAGGCATGGCGTGGGCGTGTGTGTGGTCGGTGATAAATCGCGAAGCCGTGAGTTGACTAGCCCGCCGTGTGGCTGGCGACCACGAGTCAAAGCCGCGCACCGAGGATAATCGCAACTCCACCCTGCGAATCGCGACATTGTAACGATGGTTATCCTCACCACCACCACCTCCTCGCCACCTGGTGGTTGGAGGTACTTTCCCAGTCCAAGAAAGCTGCCACTCGAGAGCACCCCCAGAGCATATAATAGGGAAAGCGCCCCTCCATGGTTATTGTGACCACTACGGTAGTAGGTGGGTGTTGTTACTGGATCGCATGTGAGAATCGCATGGTCGATCGCGATCCGCCCCCTGCTCGTTCGTTCTGCTCTCCTCCCTTCCTAGCTGTAAATTTAGCCAGCCGGCACCCGCACCACGACAAAGCATCCCCCCCCCTCCTCCTCATCCCTGGCCTCGCCGTCTCGAGCAGCTGTGATCTCGAGGTCGACCCCGACCTCGAGCCCGGTCCGGGCCAGGCCAGGCCAGTCCAAGGCCTCGACTCGATCGCTCGATCGGTCGCAACGTGCTCCAACTTCGTGAGTTGTGAGCAGCTGACCAAACATGGACATGGCGCCTCCGAAGGGAGGGCGGAGAGCGGGGGCCGGTGCGCATCAATCACCGGGCATCTCCGGAGAATCTTCCTGCCAACGATCCGTCGGTTTTACTCTTGTTGGAGATCAGAGTCAACAATCCACCAACGATCGCCGAAGTCTACACGCGACATGAGGCTCGCAGCAAGGCACCTTCATCCCAACGACGACGATGATGATGATGATCGCACTCTACCCTGCCCTCGCGCACAGTAACCACTGGCTCTGAACTTTTCGCTCGAGTGTTCCGAGCCCCGACTTATCTCTCCGTAACCTCGTTGTGGCTCAATATTTCTGACCACGCAAGCGTCGTACCGGGTTCGTGACTGGCTGGGGAAATTCTCAGAAAGCGGAACTCCGCATTGTGTGGGAAATCTCCGCGCCGTCCGATCTGCATCTAACGAACGATCCGAGAAGTGCGCTCGGCTACATTCACGGAGAAACGATATCCGCGCAGTGTGCAGGTCCTCGGAGCCGTTCGATCCCCATCGCACCGCTCTCGTTTTTCACTTTCCTTATTCACCGGCGCAGGCCTGCAGTGGTAACTGGTTTTTGTACGGTCCCTTGTCTTGCTACCGTAGCCTTGCGCTGCACTTACTGTGCTTACCTCAGACACCAACATTCAATGTTCGGAGTGGAAATTTCTTACACTTCAGGAATAATTCCAAGAAAAAGAAAAGCCTTAGTCGCTGGGTCATTTATGTATTACTTCTATGAAAAAGTCATTTGTATATTACTTGTATGAAAAAGTCATCGAATCTTAAAGCGGAGACCATGAATACCTCGTTCAATCATTTGATGTAATACAAACTTGATTTTAATACAAGAGCCTGGATCAAGTAAGATTGGGGAGTAGTCAATTTCTTTCGAACAATTCGAAGCTCAGCATGTTTGTCCAATTTGTCCTCGAGTCTAGAGCTTTTCTTAAATATGAAGGTGATCATTTTAACTAAGGTATGAAATCGAATGAGAGATAACGCTAAATAAATCTATAATAGCTTGATAAAGAAGTAGCAAAAATGCAACAAATTTATGGATTATTGTAATCAAAATGATCATGTTTTTCATAATTTGAGCTCTCGACAGTAATAAGTGACTAGAAAGGTGAATACATGCAATAAAAGTAACGTACTAACAAACGACATAGTTCAATTTAGGAATGGAGCCAAAATTGCGAAATGATTACAACTCTAATGCATGCTACAGTTTCACTCTCAAATAACATTTGTCAATGTTATTTGCAAGAAGAATTTGAAAAGAATAATAACGAGAAAAAAAAGGAATCCCCATCAAGTTTATCATGGATGAAACCAAATGTGTGACATGAATCTAGGGATTGAGGTTTTATGTTCAGAGGACAGGGATTGATGTAGTCTTTGAAGTTCTATTTTTACTATAATTTTATATTGTAAGAGTGATATTTATAATGATATATCTAAATAAAAGATTTGTTGCTGAAATGTGAATCAATTCACATAGTTTTCTATTTCTTGCCATGTTATTCAGCTTGTGTGATGGATAATTCTGTAAAACCCCTTTTAGCCAATACCAATGGGAACATTAGATGAAAAATTGATCGTTTGTGTTGCATTCAAAGTAGGGAGATAGTTTATTAGTTGTGTTTGCATTTCTGATATATAAAACTAAAGGGTGAGGATCTTAAGGGACAGTGTGTGGCATGTGACTTGTTCAAGTACAAGTCTGAAATCATCCACATTAATTACTTGGGGGAAAAACCAATTCAAGTTTCTCCTAATAATCTTTCAAACATGTAATGATTTTCAGTTAACATTTGGAGATTATTACTCTCTTACATGTTTATATTCATATATGTATCACTAGATGAGATATTTCAATCTTACTCTTCATATTCATTAATTTCAAAAAATATTGCTTCACATCTTAAACATTATATTTTAAGCAGAGCAAAAAGCACATTTTGAACATCGTATATCATATCAACCTACGTCTATTGTTAAAGATTGTAACTATGATTGAAATGCTGAACTTAGAAAAAATATAGATTTTATTATGCAAATCTCAAACGGCATTGGCAGATCTCTCATAGGAAATTGTATCAAATTCAAAAGTACAATGTATTCAGGTTTAGTAGACTAAATTAACGTTCCATTCATCTTAGATTCGCTACCATGTTGCCATTTTATTTTATCTTTTGTGAATGCCTGTAGATATGGAAGGGATGTGAAGGTGAATATATATTTTTATGTCATATGAGATGACTTTTAACCTTGAGAATATAACGCAAGCTTTCATTCAATTTCATTTCATTTCATTTCATTGCAAGAAGATAATCTATACATGTTGTTCATCAGATGAACAACATGTATATATTATAACACAACAAAATTGAAAATCTCTAATTTCAAATATAAAATAATTTAATATCAATATTAAGTTTTTTCACATAAGCATGGTTGCTTGTGAATTCTGGTTCAATTATACATAATTAATCATTGCATTCGCATCAATTACATTGTAAAGAAACATGGTCTCTTACTTTCATCAATGCATATCTTTCTTGCTCAAGTTTGAGTAACATCTTATTTAAAGTAGGTGTTCATGCACTAACCTTGACGTGCCGATAATAAATATGAAAAAATTCATGACATTCAAATATCTAGATCAAATAGTTTACAAAAAAAATATAGGATCATCAACTACTGTCATTGCTTTGATTTTTTGTGTCAGTATATAACAATAAAAGTATGTTTCATGCAAATATTCGAAGAAGACTGCTTCAAAAAGGGTTAATAATTCCCAATTTGTATGATAGTATCTACCATACATAGAAGTGTAATGATCTACTTTGAACTTGTGTGTCATATATTATTGATAACCATCACGTTTGCAAGTAGTATTTGATACTCCTGATCAACTATAACATTAGTAACATTAGTGGATCGTAAGCCGGACCAACGCTTCAGTTATAGGAGGTACATATTCACAGGCTCCATCAAAACCAATACATCCATAATGCTGCTCTGGTATGCATTTTTGCATGCTAGAGTAAGATCACTCCTCATCGTCGAATGTTCTATATATATATATATATATGTAGATATAGAACATTAGAAAATATTTTTTCCATCCTCATAATATCGGGGGCTAGCCTCGCAGATTACCAATCTGACATTCGACGAGCTGATGAGAAATTCACCCTTTTATAATCCATTTAGTCTCCGCTTGACTTCTCACATCAAATCTAAGATACGGGACTAATTTCGTCAAACCTCCGACTTGCTACCCGGATTCAAGTCTCGGTCGTCGATTTGCTTCTCCACTACAGACAAAGTAGATATGTACTGTCAATGCATTCCCTTCTAAGGCGTAGACTTCATCCTCCAATACTGTAGACGTCAGAGAGAGCTCAGATCCGTTCAGGTCTAACTACACATTCGCCATGACAGCGTCATTCTACAGTATCCTAGGTCGCCGTGAGTAGCCTGAGCATTCTTTCTTCCTTCCTTCCTTCCTTCCTGTCTGTGTTTCTTTCTTCTTTTCTTTCTTTCTTTCTTTCAGCTATCCTTAGTCCTTCTTGATTTTGTCCGATTGCCTGCCCTGCCCTGCCCTGCCCTGTCCTGCCCGCCCGCCCGCGATGGGTGGGCTATAAACAACATGTGGATGGGTTTCGATCGAGGCATGAACATGATTGGCTTTGCGGGTCCGTCCAAGGAACTTAAAGCCACAGACGGGGAGCCGGAATGAGTGAATGGGAGTGACCTCGATTCACCTTTAGCAGATGGACGGACTGTCTGACAGCGGGACATGTGCTCGCAAGACTCGGAGCATCTCCGAAACACAGATGGGACACCCGCTGAAGTATATCCTTATCATGTCTGGGATCTGAGCCTCGACGGGCCATGGATGGATCGAGCGGCCGATGGAGAAGTTCAGATTGGCATGCAGTCATGCATGCATGCGGAGGGGCTATGGAATAAGGACTGCCGTAATAAATAGGCAGGCAGGCTCAGAGAGAGAGATCCACGGCTCGATGGGCCTGGCTCGCCTCTTACATCTCTCTGGTGCCAAGTGCCATGTCCGAGAGGAGTTTAAAGCCCGAAGCAGAACGAGTGGATTGATTGATGGATTGATTGATTGATTGTTTGATTGGTGGATTATTTACTCGGGTGATCTACTGGCCGATCGTTCTTGGGCTGAGGTGAGGTCCATCATGGGAGCTCACGCTGAGATTCTGAGCGAATGTCCCTCAAAACCTGGTAGCTTTAATTTTGTGGCTTTTACACAAATCACTAGAGAGCGCCTCCGCGCCTGTCTGTCCAATCGTGGCTTGTTATGGATTTTGCCTCAATGGGCGGCCCTTTAAGTTGGAAGTTAAGGCGCTCGTCGCATTGGAATTCATATGCGTCAGAGCTTCAGCTCATTGCCCGTGGTCGTGCTCGCCTTCCTGCCTGCCTGCCTGCATTTAGAATAAGCGTCATAATCCTCGCATTATGCAAATCTCACCTGATCAGAAGGAGGAGGAGGAGTGGGAGGATTGACCTCACTATGAACTAAGATTTTGGGTTTGGGCTGAGAATAGCAGATCACATTGCCAGGTCTGCAAAGAGACGTGGAGCTAGGAAAGATTCTAAAAACACTTGAGAGATAGAGGGTGCGGCCCGCAGGCTGGCGGGCGGGAGGGAGGGCAGGCAAAGATTGTCGAGAGCAGAACATCATGACAACTCGATCCCTTTGCCTCCGAACACCAAACAGCGTTCGGCAGCGCGCAATGAGCCTTCGAGGCGTGCATGCACCCGTGATAGCTGGAGGCTCGCTGCCTCCACAACGCTGTTTAAAAACTCGTCCACGGAGGGATGGGTCGAATTTTGAAAGAGTCAAAGACTTCTGTTCGTCCTCTCAACACCGAACACTTCGCAATTCGGGAGGTTGATGCATGTACTTCTCGATGGGCACAATATCTTGGTCGGAGAGAGTAGTAGTAGTAAGAGTAGTGGTTGGAATCGAGCGACTGTGGTAGGGCAGCTGGTGCCCGCGGGCACTAGACTGCAGTTGGACCTCAGCGAAGGCTGGACAATCACTCGGCTAATCTTGATCAGGATCGAAGAATCGATGACCTGCCTGCATTGAAGTATGTAAAAAGCTACGGAGGATGGGGCCAAGACTGGTTGCGATGAAACGTCCACTGTCAACTGCGACTTGTTCTTTGGGTATTGAACACGGGCGGTATGTCATGGATCGTCCCTCCATCGACCTGCACACGAGTAACCGATTCGACTCGCTCTTGAAGAATGCGGCCGATTTCCGAGCCAATCCCAGCAGTCTGAGAGCTATGAGAGAGGCATGGTCTCGTCCTCACGACGAGACAGGCGGACTGGAACAGAAGACTCAGAGAAACATCGATCCGCATCGTGGTCATGCATTGAGGGCTCTGGCGGTATCGGAGGAGCAAGTTTTGCCAACGAGCCCCCGCCGAATCTCCCGAAAACTGAACGTTCTGAGGGACCAATTGGCCAGTGCACCTGCATCTTTGCACGGGCACCTCCACTCGGCATGTTATGAAGCCCTGCTCAAGAGTGGAGATCTCACGAGTCATCGTCCTCGGCCGAAGCTTGATGCCCGAGCTCTGAGCATGAGGTCCGGAAGTGCTCCAAACTCTCCCAGGTCCGCACTGCTGATCCAGCACAGCAACACTGTCCATCATACTCCCGTGTGTGGCCGGGCTCCTCCTAGACCTAGATCCAGAGCCAGTAGAGCAGCAGCAGAAGCTGCGGTGGCGAGAGAAAAGCTACGATCTGCACCTGCCGCACTCTACTCACATGACGACCTTGGCCAATTTGGGACCAGTACCGTGCCCAGCACTTCGAGAACAAGAAGCTGTCTACACGGGAAGCTTCGTAATGGCTCACCTTTCAGGCAGCAGCGGCCTTACTCTGCATTGAAGAGGCCTTTGACCCTAGAGGAAGAGCAGCTCCGAGCTCGATGTCCTGGAACTCGCCGGGCCAAATCAGTGACGTTTGACTGCAAGCCCACATCTCCCTACAATTGCAAGATGAGCAACCGAGAAAACAAGAGTCAAAGCTTTAGAGGATTGAACTACACCGGGGTCACAGGGCGCAGTGGGACGCCGCTCGATGTCGAGTTCATGGAGCTCAAGGCCAAGAATTCCTTAAAGAGGGCCTCCGATGAGCCTGAGCCGCTCGTACGGAGATCCGATCTCCATCAAGATGCCTTGCACTTTGCCAGCACTCTGGATCTCTTATGCCAGGAAGTCGAGGCACAACAGAAACGCTGTGCTCGCTTGACTCGCAGCCTGCAACAGCAGAAGGACATGCTGCGACTCATCAAGAGGAACAAAGGCAGGCGTCCGTTCACTTGTGATAACATCAAGTGCGTAGTCTCCTCCCTCTCAGTTTGGGGGGATGGCCGTCCACCGAAATCGCCCGGTTGATCCTCCCTCCCTCCCTCCCTCCCTCCTTCCTTCCTTCCTTCCTTCCCTCCATCCTCAATTTCTTTCTTTATTCCTCCATCCCACCGACCCACGTACAACGCCAAGATCGGACATAGAAGCGTTCCAGACGTTTGTCTATTTGCAGCTCGAGGACCATGCGAACGAAGAAGGCACGACTGATCAACGCACGATCGGTCCGACACCCAGACGTGGAACGTCTGGATGTCGGCCATACAACTTGCATTGTTGCTAGAAGCACAACTTGTCAACCAAGTCATCTCTTAGCATATGCAAAGAACTGTGTCAAGAATCGACTTCTTGGTCATGCTGGATCGCCAGCTGCTTCGTGAACAACTGAAAACTCATCTCACGTGGGGCTCCATCTCAAGCTTGGGAATACGATGGTTGGAGAACTGGACTGGACCGCTCCTTCAGCCGATTGCTCCCATCCATCCATGCCCTTTGTTACTGTATGTACTTGCCCATCTCCACACCTCTAAGCATGGAGTTCTGGGTACATGGACGTGGCCCAACTTCCCATCTTCGTTTGCCTTCGCTTTATGAGACCACGGGCTGGGTGGATATCCATCTCTCTAAGCTTTGATCTCATCCTTAGACGATGCTGAGAGTCACATGGTGTGCAACTTGGTAGACATCACCGAACCCCTCACGTTCAAAGATGAGTTTCGTGGAGTCCAACACAAACGCATCTTGCTAGAGCCAGCATTCATTCATCCGCGCACGATCCGACACAATATGAGAGTTGAGTCTCAATTCTTGTCTAAACGTATCAAGCGCGAAAGTGAAGTGTGTCCAACCGGAACTCAGCACGTGCAGTCGAGCTTCTAGTCTCCGAAATAGGTGGCATGATGCCTCAGTGGAACAAATGCCTCAGCAGAACAAGCTGAGTAACTGTCATGCCCACAGACCGAAGGCTACAAAACCTCTCATCATTCGTCAGCATTGATATCCATATTTTGTTGCGAGTCAGTAGTGTGCTTCATGCATCATGAGCCAGGATGAGGCTTCAGCACAAATCTCCACTCTCTCGTGATGTAGATTGTGGATTGTAAACCCCGAATCAAGAACTTCACATTTCAAGTCACTGTAACAGACCCGTGCGACACTGGCCCACAGTGAAACATTGTGTGGAAAGTTTTGATCAATCAATGCATAAAGTTGTACTGTACATTATTGTTTGTGACTGCTTTCACTGCGTTACGAAAAACAAAAAAAAACAAACTACATTGTGCTATGTGATGCATGCCTTGAACAGATCGCTTGTGTGCATGCTCTCAGTTGTCTTGTAAATCATACGGAGCTCCAATAGAGTACCTCAACACTCCGTAGACTCACCACATGTTAGCTGCCCGAGACTAGTAAATGCACATCTGATGGTACCCATCTCTTGGGAGAACTGACCTTTAACTATACAGAAGTACCAAATGGTAATGGATGATGGATCCGTAGTGGAATCTGAACATAAAACCAGTTTGACGAGCAGTACAAGTGTCCTTGCCAGTGAAAAAGGTCAGAAGTCAATAGCTGTTCTCGTTTGAAGGTAACCAGTAGTGCTGGAACACGTGCTTCTATGATGCCATCCAGACCTCGCATGATAAGGTTCACTTTGGTCCTGTTCACCACTAGCTAAACGATGGGGGTCCTCTGTATGGTAGATGAATATGTGGGAATTTTCAGAAGCAATACACCGCCAATCAATGTGTGATACTAAAGACTAGGATGATCATGTGAAATGAACTCCGATCTTTACCCTCCTTTGAGACGGTGCCAAGCCCACCTGCATTTTGCAAAACTCGAGCGACGTAGTTTATCTGTGACAGAATTATTCATTGTTTTGCATCCGCACTGATGCCTTCACGGGGGCCCAAATGAAACACCCGATTTCTCAGGATGGATTGTTTCATATGGGTTCTTGCGAAGGGCCTTTCGAATGAGACGCATGGTCTCTTGGTGGTTTTGTAAAAATCTGAAACATCATCATCGCTTCGATTTCGGAGAAGGAGTTAAACACTTGGAGATAGAACTGTGTACATCGGTGGCCCAGGTTGTTGACGGGACAAGCTGTTTACGAACTGTTGTCCCCAGCTTCTGCAAGTCTCAGAATTACATGAGTCTACGTTCTCATGTAATCCTCGAGTTTCGGAGATGGCAAATCAACACGTAGCAGGAGCTCCAGCTTCCACATTATAGGAACGCTTCAAATCGTGTCAACAGCTCTGCCTCATTCGTATATTGGTCAAATCAACAGTCCGACTTAATCTGAGCTACCCTGCCTTTGCTTGTTGACAACAGCCCACATACTTGGAATCATCATCACTCACTCCGTTAGCAATTCCTAGTCCCTTACCCACGACGTTTGCGTCATGTTATTTCCTATGTCCATCTTCTAGTCTTCATTTCGTCATTTCTGCAAATCAACCGACAAAGACAAATGGGGCCCATACTGCGAGCAAATCTAGCTCTCCTTCTCATGAACGAGAACTTGTGGAGAACATTGCAGGATTCGGTCGCTTAGGCAAAGGTCCTGAGCTCTAAGAAGGTACAGATATGAGATCCAAACTCATCACCGCAAGATTGCGATGTGTCAGGAAATGCTTCCGCCGAAAGGCAAAAGCATCAAGGTAGTTCTTCTTTTATGGCGGCAATATAAATTCGCACGTGCTCGATGATCTCACTACTATCGCCTGGGATTTGGGCTGAATCTGTAACATCCATATATTGATGGACTTCTATCATCAGGGTTGATCTCAGCACCTGCGCAGGCCTCGGATGCAAAATAGAATGGGATCACAAGCACAGAGTTGCCTGTACGCATGACAGACTTGCATACTTTGTTCTCTGGTCCTTATCAATGTACTCTGTGGTGACAGTGAAGCTGAGCCATGTCATTCTCGATTCATGTGCCACTGTGCTGGAAACTTTTATCCCCTTCCATGAACATCGTAAGCACACAGACAGCGTAATCGCTATGCGCTGAAAGAGCCTGAAGGAGTACGAAGTCGTACAACTGAGCACTCAAAATTGACATCATAGACGAGAAAGAAAATCACATCAATAACCACGCTAGTTAGCTTGACACGCGTCCTTTTCTGTGTCTGTCTACAAGCGAGCGAGCGAACGAGCGTTGCGTGTTTTTTCGAAGTCTGGATGTTCAATAAATCAAGTCGACTTGAATTCTGTTGCTGCGGACACTGTGGGCCAATAGCACCATGTCGAGGCATGCTTATGAATGCACTCGGAGCGTTGTTGCTGTAATGCTGGCTCAGTATGATAAATTTTAACAAATTTCAATCTTGACATACGAGCCTCCAAATCATAGAAGCGACAAGGAGAAAATGGATTGGATCCCAAAACGTCAATCATACTTTGACAATCCTGGCACGTCCAGGTTTGTTTCCACAAGAGTCTTCCATCATTGTCTTGAGAGCTGGCAGGCCTCAGACTGGTACTGTCTTATTATTTCAGCTGAATGCGGCATGATTGGGATTCCTTCGTAGTTTCAACAAAATTACTGTGAGCTCTTTTGTCCGGCTTCCCTCTACTTTATTGTCGGTAGACAGATCAATTTGCTGTAACCAAACGCTTGACAAAGACAGCATATTATCGCCATCTCCAGACGACCACATTTCACAACGTCAGACGTTGAGGAGTAGGAATTCGAAGAAACGCCTTGAGATGCGCATTGTGCTTACCGAGTCAGTCACCTTCATTTTCACTCTACGGTGCAGGTACTTGAAGAAGGCTATCACTGGACAATATTGCACATTGGTGTTCTTCTTTCAGTGATTGTGGACTGGTTTCCATCGCGTACGGTATTCATTTAAGAAGTTGTGGAGAAAGTATGACAAAATCGACCCGTGACCTGAGATGAGTTCCTCCAAATCTAGTTGCCATGAAACAAGATTCTGAGGAAGTCTAAGGATCACCAGCTCTACTGTAACTAATCTAGAAAAGACTGGAACCTGGACTTTCGAATAATCACAACGATTTTGGGATGCCAGCATGAAGTCTAAAGTATTGGCACTGTCACGTTCCCAATTCCCATGATGCCTAAATTCACATACAGATTCCAAAAATTGCATGAATCTTGGCCAGGTCATCTCGTCCGGAAGTGGGAGGCGGCATAGAGATAACGTTTAAGACTGATGCAATCGAAGCATACGAAACAGGCTGAAAGATGTCTGGTAGAAGCACCCTGCCCATCTTTTAGCTACCCGAGACATGATCTTTGTCCAGGCGGACGGAGCCTGTTGTCGTTGCGGAATGGAAACAAAAAGAATGTCTCTATTCCAAAGATGAAGCTGGCTGGCCATTTGAGGATGACCATTGAATTGAACTCTTAGATTGTCAAATTTCGTCAGATGAAGGTAGTATGTTCAGCTTAAGGAGCAGTCCCCTCCCTTGGGCCACCTTAGAAGTTGCACCGTCCAAATCAACACTTGTGGCCAAGAATCCTTGTAGACAGAATGAAAGCATCAACAGAAACCGCCATGGAAATCTGGTCACGATGACATGCCAATGCCCGAACTGGTTGATACTATAATACTTACGAATAGCACCATCCACGCAAGCGCGTCCAGGTAGCTAATTCAAACTTCGTTGATCATGCCAAAAATACTGAAATATGTGACTCACTGAGAGATGGCAAAACAAGTTGCGGGAGATTTTTAGAATCCTTTGAGAATAAAAGATTTCTAATGACGCGGTTCGAATTCAGAATCTGCCGAAGGTTGTGGAAGACCCCTTGTCAGTCAGCGGATATGAGACATTGCGTCCCACATCAAACTTTCTTGAGCTCTGTGTTCCATATTGGACATCACAAAACAAAGTGGGCCTTTAAAAAGCATGAGGTAATGGAATACGCCGTCGAGCTCCACAAGGATTAGACCAACTTAGAAATAAAAGTTGGTCTTACATATCTAATCGATGAAATTAAATCATTCTATCATAAACAAAGTATTCAGAAAGTCATCATATAATCTATTTTATTCATGTGTTACTTGTTTAGTAACGAAAGACAATTCTCTAAAATCTGACATATCAGATATTCAAGAAACTACTACCACTCGTCTCTTGCATGGCACAATTTAAATTTCCAACATACAAATATTTATATTTATTTATTTTAAAATGAAAATTTTGAATATATATATATATATTGAATCATTGGCTTGTACATGTAACTATCATTTTTATAAAATAATTTATCTAAAATAATTACCCTAATCTAATATTTTTCTTTCAGCCAGTGTTATTCTCATTTGTGTGAAATTTCAAGTTTTACTATAAGCGAATGCATCATGGTTAACCTGATTAAAAAAAAACTTTTACATCCGCTTCAAGCACTAAAATAATTATAATCTAACATAAGATTTATCAACGAATATAGTGTTTACTCATGTGAAAATAATAACTTGTATATATTGAAATCGAATGAAATATTAATATTTATAATATATTATCACAAATATAATATTAATTAGTAGTATGCTATGTTATATTTTAGTAATATAATATAGCATCACCAACAATGGAAAAAACATGTTAGTTGTTTCATGTTTGGGAGATGTTATCGTCGAAGCCACGTGCGCATGTGAGAAAACAAGAAGCGTCGCCAGCTCCGTTCCAAGACTCAGCTCCACCTGCGCCTTGGAATTGTGCGTCGTTCGCCCTGTGATGATGCCACTGCGGCTGTGGTGGAAAAGAGGCTGAAACCCGTCAAAGTTCTTGCGCTCGATGAGGTCAGCGCGAGTGATCCACGACAAGCTTATGGAATGTATGGGCCCACGCTGCGAAGGATGCATCGCATCCATTCCACTCGGCTCACTGAAACAAAAACATGCACATGTGCAGAAAAGCCTGAAAGGACTTCATCATCATCGTGAGTCAGAAAGGAGCGACCCTGGCTGGCTGTGCTGAACGAGAATGCAGTATGTACGTGGGCCATCGCAGAGTAATAAAGAGCCAGGAGTAGTACTGGTCGTAGGTGATCAGTTTTTGAGCATTTCTGGTATTCATTAAAATTATTTGCGGAATCTGAAGGAGTTTCTGTGTCAGTGCTTCTTAAAGAGTGATTGTGCGCGTCCGTCAGCATACTTGAAGCAGAATCTCGAACAGCAAAATTATTCGAGTTTTCCGACAGTATATGCTGCAAAATAGTTTACCAAGCGAAGAGTCCAGAACACGACCTATTGTAATCAGGTGGAGGCGGAGGTAGACCTCTCGCAGCCAAACTTTCACACATCTCAAGCAACCATCGCTCATCCTTTACAGGAATGTCGGTGCTAATCGTTGCCCGCAGTCCTTCGTGTAGACTGTCCTGTCTGTCGAGCTAATTGTTCGAATTCATTTTCAAGTATTGGATCCGTCCTCGGCAGAGCTTGCTTCTTCAAGAGTCGGAACTTCTGGGACTCGATTCCCATCTGCAATTTTACACCAAACAAGTGTGTCCTTGTCTTGATCATGTCCCGCTCGAGGAGCTCCGGTCCATTCTCAACCAGGAAATCCCTCCCACTATTTCACCACTCACTGCGATGCTGTTGGCTACTACCAAAAGTCATACGCACGAGTAGCTCTCGTGCACATGGTTTTGGCTTTGGCTTAACTGTTTTCCTAGCTAGGGCAGAGACTTTTCCTCTTTGGGCCACGAGGAGGAGATCATTCTTCAGCGTGCAAGACCAGAAGACGTCTAGAAAAGATAGACTTTGAGTCCCTTACCCATGTGATCAGATTCGGTGACACTTACTCTCCAATACCTTAAGTCTGAGACGTAGATTACAGACCCACAGACAAGTGCTCTTCACCAGTTCGGCTCTATCATTATATGTGCAAGATTGTCAGGTGAAGCATACTTCCAGTGTGATTCTCCTCGCTATCATTGTCGAGCCGCTGAAGCGGGGCGGCAGAAAATCAGCGAGCTGCTTCTCAGTACTTCTTCGATGGATGCATTCGAAAGTACGTTCTCAAGGCCCTCCACACTTACTCATCAATGGGGAAACACGCACGTCCTACAGACAGAGCGCATCAACAGTAACCAAGTGCAATCGACTTTGCTTGGCTCTTCAAGAAGTCCTATACCATTGTCCGGTAGCCCCAGGAAAGGGTACTACGTTTGAGGAATCTATTCAGCCGAAAACTCTGTACGTTTTGATGGAAGAAGGGTGTCACAGCATATACGCCACCTGGCTGCGGAGGCATATACGAGTGAGGCCACCGTACTTTCGGTACTGTCCTCTGAGCATTACATGGAACCACAACAGGGGATAACAAAACGCCAGGATTTGAGGTAAGTCAGCACTTAGCTGACCATCCCCAACCCGGCTAACATGACATTCATTTCTTTTTCCAATTATGAAAATATATATAATGACATAAAGTTGAAACTTTTTTTCTGCAGCACTCTCTCTCTCTCTCACAAAACGAATACTATGAAGAGGATTCCGTAAGCATCTTCGTACATATTGTATCGAATTTCTGGAGACTGAGTCAGAAGTGAGCGAGGTCATTGAACGACCCTACCTCACAATATTGATCTCTAGTATCCATACAGTACTACGACCGAAACCCACCCCTACAATTTACATAAATTATACCCCGTCTCAGTGATTAAAGTCGGGAGTAGAAAAGTTTCAACAGTTGAATTTAATCACGTAGGTAAGAATAACCTGAAACATATGATTTAAGCATTTTCTTTACACAAGATAACGAAGATATCTATATGACTTAAGGAACGAGAGTGATTTATACTGTTCCAAGTGTTGCGAATCTTCAGAATTAGGCCGACTGAGTTTGTTTCAAAAGATAAGCTTGCAGATTGAAGATGAACATGAAAAATGTAGGTCCACAATCATGAAATCTTGTGTTCAAATTCAAGGCTACGAACTGATGTACCTTGGATGAGTAACTTCACGTAAACCTTGGGTAATACTATAGAACTATAAATAGTACAAGCCGATGAGTCTAAATCGCAGCTGAACATTTCCCGAGTGAGAAATGAAACGTTGAAAAAACTACTCAATCTCTAAGTGACGATTTTATTCATTCCCAAATTCGTAAAACTTTTTCTAAGTATAATAGTGATAAAATAATCAACACAGGTAACGCTCAGACAGGGCAGACTGAACTGTTTAGGTACCAACCAGGCGTTCCTTCACTTCCATTCAATACTCATCTTGTCAAAGTTGTTATTTCAACGCACGCATCAGCGAAGCAGATCTTGTCGTACAAAAGCACTGGTCCAGTGGTACGGGACACCGTACGTTGTAGTAGGTGAATGAGAAGAATTAAACTCATGCCTCTGGGGACCGGAGATGTCATCACCGGGCCTGATGTCAATGACTTCGTAAGACAGTTCGACATGGCCCCACTGTCGTCCAATGGATCTCGCGATTTCGTCATTTCCTCGTGCCAGGTCTGCAAAACTGTTACGGCCACCGTGACCCCGGACTCCGAAATCCAGACCTGCCAGCACAGATCTCAACTGTCTGCCACTCCAGTTGTCTGAAAAGCTCTTTCTGGGAAAGATTTGCCTACAGCCCCAAAACTCGGGGACCGGGAATTGGGATCCCCTTGGGCATTAGGACCCATCCAACTCTCTCGCTTATTTCTTTTCACCATCATTTTCTTCTTTCCAATCCATCCTCAGTACCTGTCCGTCTCACTTAATAATAACCACAAATGAAGCCTTTCGCTCTGGCTCTACATGTTGCCCACTCAAAAGTACACGTAAACTCAGATAAAGCGTATTTTGAGAATTAAAAGCTCGGATTTCGTTAGTGCAGTATTTGGAGCAAGGGTTGTTTAGACCGATAGGGACTGACACGGAGCCCAAGATCAAAGGTTTATTTTTCCTCGGGAACACATGGTGCTCGCTCTCCTGTTATAAATGGAAACTATATATTCCCATTGCGTCAAAGCCGTGATACGAGGTCGGATCTTCCGAGAAGCGGATGGCAGGGACGTGAACCTGAAAACCTTTGTAATGAGGTTTGAGGTTGGCAATAGCACTCAAGAACCTGGAATTTGTAGCTTTCGGATGACTCCATGAATATGATAGAGTTTTTTCGACCTCTTGTCTCTTGGATCATCTGAATTCATGATGTTGATGGTTTTTTTTTTGTGGAAGGAGAGAAGAACCCTTGGATAAAAAGAACGGTCGCGAAATTACTATAATAATGACTATGGAAAGATATCTCGATATAAACAAGTCACAAAACAAACTGAAATCATGGGTTACATATGATAGTATCATGGTGAAAAATATACACTACAAACATAAAATATCCAAACTATACAAATAAACGTCAGAAGCTTCGTTAGATGTGTTGTACTGATATGATGGCTTGCAATGATACATTAGGTGAGGGGATTGGGTTACTATGTATAGAGCTTGCCACGGGTACTTATGGAGACTAACATAAAATATCCAATCTTTCAGATAAAATGATACACCATGTCACCTAGTGACATACACCTTATGGAAAATGCAAGGTCACTAGCTGACCTTGCATATGATTCCATAAGAGGTTGTCTTCTTTTGTGAATCATCCTCTCACTTTGCAGATCATTCATGTACTCAAGATACCAAACCAAGGTTTGTTCATATAGGTTTCACATGATTGTGGTATGTATGTGTTGTTTGAATTTCATAAAGAGTTCAGTTCTCTCTTCATATCCTTTGGAAATGTTTTTGAAAATGTTAAGATTTAACCTTAATTTGAGTATATGTTGCACTTTCTTCATGATGGTAATGTGGAGGTTTAAAGAGTATAAACATGCACATGTTGGAATTTTTTTTAATTTCATTAATGAAGATGAAATTACAAGATAATTAGTTCTTATTTGAATGTAATCTACTCCTCTTATGTCAAATTTTGTGTATAAATCAACATTATACTCTGTTAGATAACTCAATTTCAAGATTGAAAACATTGTGTACATTTTTTAAATATTCAATGTTGATTTTGAGTTTTTAATAGATGATTTTTCAATTATGTGGATACATAAGTAAGTAATTTGATAAATATCATGTAGTGCCAAAATTGAAAATCATTTCACTGAAACAAAAAATAGCACGCAATGAATTGCCTGTTCGCGTTGATATACAAGAACAATGACGGCCGATAGTCGATAATTGATGTAAAATCTTAATTCTGAACACTGCCATCAGCCAACAGTGAATTGACCTAACAATCTTCCTTCTAACACATATCGGGTAACAACAACCTTCTTGGCCTATATAATTACTCTGCATAAATTCTTAGGAAAAAAACTGATCTAAAGATACTTCTTTAAACAACAATTAAGCAGAATTAAGCCATAGCCAAAATATGATAGAGTAAAATATATACATGTTACTAAAAATTACTAGTAAAATATACTTGTGATTCTTATGGAAAACTTGCATAATAGCATAAGTCTCCTAAAGCTTTCCAAAGAAATAACTTCGGTAAACACATCAACTAGATTGAACTTACCGTCACTCTTGATTAGCTCAATATTTTTATAAAAAATTGCATGTTTGATAAAGTGATAACTGATGTATATGTACTTCACTTTGTTGTCCATCACTTGATTTGCAACAAGATGTAATGTACTTTGGCTTTCACAATAAAGATTGACAAACTCTTATTTCAATCCCATATAAATGATAAACTTATCCAACCAGATAGCTCTTTTGTTGCTTATGCTATTGCTACATACTCAGTTTTTGTTGTAGATTGAACTATGCACTTCTACAACATAGACTCTAACTAATGCATCCATCATGAAATGTAAACACATACAAAGTACTAGAGTTTTTCTTGTTCATATCTTGTGAGTAATTTAACATCAATGTAAACTAACAAGGATTTATCATTGCCTAATAAATCACCAAAAAATAAATTATAGTATTTAGTAATCTTCAAATACATGAGTGAAATTTCAGAATTATCAAATGCATCTTCTATAGATGTGAGATGTAACTGCTTATCTTATCCATCGTTGAAGCAATTTTAATCCTTGGACAAATGACATATTCCGTTTCTCAATGACATTGGTGTACATTGAGCTGCAAAGAATTTTAGATGTGCTACCGAAGAAGTCCAAATTCTTTCAAATTTTATCATGTTAAACATGTCAAACACATATTGAATGTACTTGTTTTGATTCAATACGCCTATTCTTCATCAAATCTTTATGAATGTTTATCTCTAATATACGTTTGGACTTATTCAAATACTTCATTTTGAATGCAGACTTCAAGTGGTTTTGAAATTGTTTCTTTGCGAAGATGAACGTGTCATTCATGTAAAATACTAAAATAATAAGTATCTAGATATTATTCTTTAACTTTTTCATTATTTCATGTATAATCAAGATCATACACACTCTCTAAAAATCTTGTGTTTTCATGAATTCATCAAATCTCGCATTCTACTGTTTAGGAGCTTAAATGAATCCATGTAATGATTTTAGCAATCTACAAATCATCTTTTTTTAAACTTTATTCTCAAAGTCAACTGATTGTTTAATTTTTATTTTCAACTTTAAAGATCCAAAAAAATGTTGTAACTATGTCCATCTAATCCGTAATGAAACTAAATATTGCATCCAATGCACATATCAAATGTATTGTAGCATACTTTGCTATAGATGAGAAAACTTTGTTATGGTCCACACTTTTCTCTTGTGTGAAATCTAATATCACCAACCTGATTTTTAAAGTTTTTTTCACATCACCTATTGTATTGTATTTCAGCTTATACATCCACTTGGAATCAATGAAAGCTTAATTCTTAAGGAATTCAATTAGTTTCTAAGCATTGTTATTTATCAACGATTGCATGTTTGACTCATAGCACCATTTCACTCAAGCTTATTGAAAAAAACTTAAACTCATGAATAAAAAAGAGGTTCTATTCTTCCAAGATCAACGCAATCTTATTACCATCCTTTGTATCAATGTCAAGATCTTCTAAATTGTATGAATCCATCCATAATTCATATCATGTAGGAATTATATAAATCTAATGCGATGATATTCTAGTAGATTTATGGTCCAGTGCATATATTTAAATCTCATCATCGATAACTTGCTACTTTGATTACTTTTTCAATATTTTGTTTCATATATATCAAAACTTCTTCATGAGTCATATCATTAATCATATAATGATCATTCTTACTCTCAACAAAATCTGTGAGTGAAGATTTTTCTTTGACAGTATAGGCAGATTGATAACTCTTTCACTCTTTCAATGATATGAGTTTATTTAAAAAAAATTACTTTACATACTATTGGATACTAGAGTTTATAATCTTTCACATCACTAGCATATCTAAGAAAACGAAATTTCTTGAATATATAATACAACTTGATACTCTCCTTTTTAGATTCAAAAAAACATATTTAATAGAGTCCAACATACATTGATTCAAGTTATATTTATATTTTATACGAGAAATAATTTGATTTTTGTTGGAATGTAGGACTCAGAATGGCTTGAGTGGAGCTCAAAGAAAGAAGTGCTTGAGGTTAGAGTATGAGATAAGATTATCTTTTGAGGTCATACGCACAACTACATATACTTGCTAGAGTCTACCACCATATGCGGAGAAGCTAACTTTACTTGATCTAGAATTGAAATGCATCATGTGTGACATTCTACACTTAGTACACATGAGCAATGTATAAATGTCACTCCTAGATGAGTAAATGTTGACGAACATTGGTAAAGTTGATTTTTATTTTTGTGAATATTGTATCATAATAAACAAGACTTTGATGTTGAAACTCACGGTTACTTGAGTCTGTACATAATAACGTGTGAGTATCCTATTCTAAAGCCTTCATCTCTCACAAGTTTCACTATGTATCGTTTATTGATGATATATAATACTCAACCTTTGGTAGTTGTAGGGTTCAAAAGAGTTCAAGGCAAAAGATCTGGACAGTTTTAAGGTGAAGAGTTGCTAGACATCACTTCTCATTTGCCCCTCTACCTGTTGTCATTTGTGCTACCGCGACAGATCGATGCTCCCCTGTCACCATCTCCGAGCTTGCATCTAGTCTTCATAGCGCACACATTCTCTCTCTCGACTGCTGCTTTCACAACAGAGTTTCCCTTGTTACTCAATGCATGCGCATTTGTAATCCAAGTCCAATCCAAGACACTTTGATACCATTTCTCGCAAATGACAACATTTATGTGAAAAAAAAGATCACGTCCTTGTCGCGTTAATATATTAGTACGATGAAGGCCGACAATCTACATCCATCACAAAACACTAACTCTAACCAATGCCTATAGCGAGTTAAACTAATAGATTAGTTAAAAGAACCTGATTTATCATATGTATGTAAATTTGATATTTACTTTAATAATAATAACATCCCTATGAAACATATATATTTTCTCAATATACAAGAAACATATTATGAACTATTTGACAAATATATTATATAAGTGGATTTTTTGGTAAAAAAAAGTTCAAAGATTAAGAGCAAATTTTACATCAATTCATCCAATGAAATATAGCTGAGGAAATTATGAACTGATGCATCTTTGATACTCATTAAATCAAAAAAATAATTATTCATATATGTTCAAATTAAAAAATCAATATTTTTTATTTTCTTTCTCATTGTAAATCAATCTGGAAAATTAATAATGATCTCACTATAGTTACTTATCATCATATACCTTGTAAAAATATAATGGATTAGAGTGTATATCATCATGATAAAAAGCGTTTTATATTCATTCTTTCTATAATATAAAAAAGTTGTAATTTTTAAAAGTAATCAAATAGATTACTTGGTATAAAATTGTCACATAAAAATGACAAGTTTTTACATGAGTGAACAATAATTTAAACACTAAAATGCATCCAACTTCATTCGGTTTTTCTTGATACATAATTGATATGTGAACAAAATGATGTGTTCCTTCCTAAAAACCTACACGTTTATGAACGTTCGAGCGCTGCTGTCATCGAGATTCCGAGAGACTGGCATAGCACAGCAGTAAGGCGACAAGCAATGAATCCTGTTCAATGCTCTCGATCGTCCCCGCGCCCTTCGGCCGACATCTTCAAGTTGCCTCAAGAACATTGGAATCTGTAAGTAATCTCGTGCTCCAAGAACATGTCTGTTTTGTGTCTCGCTGACAGATCTAATCTAGATTCAAGATGTGATTTCTGACTGGTCCACTGAAGATCCTTGATCTTTTTTTCTTGAATCGTCTGTCATATTTAGGTTTTTAATGATGAATCACTTCAACCAGATTCGATGTCGGGCTGAGATTTCGACGTAAAATGTTGTGAAGATCTTAGGAGAGATACTGATGAGTATGTATTCCAGTCTGATGACATCCTGTGTGAAACCCGGCGGGCTGAAATTTGTTCTGATCTTTTTCTGTTCTGTACGTTCTATTATGTTCTTGCTATCCCCACTCGCTGTTGGACGCAATGTAGAGATTCTTTGTCGTGAAAGAATTGCTCAAATTCAGGTTTGCCTCCTGAATTTCCATCGGCATTTCAGGTGTGAGCGGTCGAATATGACACTTCAAGGCAGCTGATATATGATATGTTCTTACTTGCTAAAAAATATCAACATTTGCAGGTGGACTCTGGACGAATCGATTGAGGTGATTTCTTTATTCAGAAAGACTGGGAACAAGGGGACAGACAGAGGAGGTTTAAGCCTGTAAAGATGGCAGCCGGAGTGATACTTTTTCCAATTATCATGCAGCTGGCCATCAGTTCGGTCTCATTGTCAGTGGATGTAAGTTGATGACTTCAACAAAAGCTGCGCTTTCAATTAAGCATTTTGGAGAATAGTTTAGAAAACGCTAACCATTTTTGTCTGTCAATAGAGGTCACAAACAACAAGCCTTTCACGATATCTTTTCTTTATGGGGGTTGGGGTGGGGAGGGGAGAGAAGGCAGTTTTTTTGGAGACATTTTTTTCCTTGCACGGACGAGACTTGCATCGAACTTACACAAGAACACATTGTTCAGGGCCTAGCCGTAGCTTCCTTTGAAGAGGATGGCAACAAGCGACTTCCAATTGTCATAAGCACCTGGGCATTCGTGGACGCAGTGCGAGCTGCCTGGGAAGTCGTAGAGGGAGGAGGTTCCCCGATAGATGCTGTGGTGGCTGGCTGCAGTACTTGCGAAAGGCTTCGCTGCGACGGATCTGGTATACCATGAGCGAACCCTCAGTGACTTTTGAGAATTGATTCAAGCCGACTTTTAAGCCACGTTGGCCGAAATCATATCTTTGCCCTGAAGTAAGTTGAAACAGCATGCATGGATAATCGCATTAGAGCTGATCATTTACTCCTCGTCTTTCAGTCGGATATGGTGGTAGTCCTGACGAGAACGGAGAGACTACACTGGATGCTATGATCATGGATGGGGTACCTGTCGTTCTCAGTTATCCCTCTCACAGTTATTGCATAAATATGGCCTACATATAGCGCATGTCGTCGGGATGGAGGTCACGTATGGCAATGGTTTCTTGTGACATATTTATATTTGCACCCTCATATCTATTGTCAACATTTTGCTGCTGAAGTCTGCTGCACCTCTAATCAAAGTGTCGTAGTGTCCCATCGCTTTCGCTATGATTTAGTTGTTACCACATAGGACCAGGCTTCGTGAATCAATATTCGCTGCAAAGAATCTTCAGGTTTGGCAAGTATGATTATGTTGTGATCTTTTAATAAGTGAGCTCCATTACTCGTGTGACTTTCTCGAAGGGACGACCAGACAACAATGGATGTAGGGGCAGTGGGAGCTTTGCGTTCAGTGAGAGATGCTATTGGAGCCGCTCGTCTGGTGATGGATCACACCGAGCACACCTTGTTAGTTGGTGATCAGGCATCAGCTTTTGCGCTGTCATTGGGACTTTCTGGGCCAGCAAATTTGAGTACAGACGACTCCTTGGACTTGTGGTCGACATGGCGTGACAAGAAGTGTCAACCAAATTTTTGGCAGAATGTGATTCCTGATCCGAGGTTTTCCTGCGGTCCTTACCACACTTGGAGACAATCTAGTCGTCATTCTCGCATGGTGCAAGAATGTGGAGAGCGAACAGCAGCCAGAGGGTCCAGTCAAAAGGGCATCGGACCTGCAAATCATGACACTATTTCCATGGCCGTCATCGATAAAGTATAACTGCTTGACACGATTTCTTAACTTACATACTCATAAGGATTTAGGCAGTGAGAAGTGACCCGCAGTCGTTCACGCAGAAGGATTCCAGAACATGAAGGTCGTCTTTATTCATACCTGATGTCTGTCATGGCAGTCAGCCAAAATTGCTGTGGGGACATCTACGAATGGAGCTACTTACAAAATTCCTGGCAGGTAGTCTATGTACACAACACTGCTTGGCTGTAGCTCGACCTTCTTTAACAGTTACGAATATCTGTACTTAGTGAGTGAAGTAATATCTGACGGGCAACATCTCATTTCAATGCAGAGTCGGCGATGGCCCTATAGTAGGAGCGTCAGGTTATGCAGATGACGAAGTAGGCGCTTGTGGTGCTACCGGTGACGGAGATATCATGATGCGGTTTCTCCCTTGGTTTGTACCACCTTCGCTAATTGTAGTACCATGCTGAGGTGGTTTTGGTGATCTTGATGGATATGGACATTTATTTGTTTGAATTCGAGTTTTCTTGTGTAATCAAAAGCTCCATGGTTAATACTGTGCTCTTCATGATCAAGGGAGAAGGGCCCTCAACCCAAGATTTGTTTCGTGGATTGTGGGCGCAGTTATCAGGTTGTAGAGAGCATGAGATTGGGCAGGAGCCCGGAGCAAGCGGCGGAGGATGCTATTGCAAGGATTAAGAGGAAATTCCCACTTTTCGTTGGAGCATTGTTCGCAATTGATCGTCACGGCGTTCACGCTGGGGCTTGTAATGGATGGACCTTCCAGTATGCAGTTCAAGGCCACGGCATGGAGGATGTGGAAATTTACACTGTTAGACCTCAGTCGTGAACATACTATGGTACCTACCTGAACAAACGAAGTTTTCACCGCCACTAACATGGGTTTATGTTTTCGATGTGAACATTTCTTGTTCAGCTGTAAACGTTAAAATATATCCATTATTATATCCATTATATCCATGCTCCTCAATAAAATAAGATCTGTTTGATCGGAGTTCCTCATAGTTCTGGAACTTTATGTAGATCCTATCGGGTACATTCACTTTAAGCATTCCGTGTGATTCGCCAACTAGAAAGTATGTAGAACACAACTGTAAGGAATATGAAAAATAAGCTGAACAAAACTTGACCATGGCATGGCTCCAGAAAGCTGAGTTATTGTTCCAAGCACTGTATTTAATCCCATCTCCTTTGACCCTGTTTCAGTCATTCCTCTCAACATAACAAAAGTTAATGTGGAGGATGACATCAGGGGTTATCTTTGTGAGAATTTCACTGTTAGTAATGACTTCAGAATATTCATCTCCAAGAATCGAACTCATCCTGTGACAATAATGGACACTGGAAGAAACATCTCTAATATTCAACTACCATCTGACCGTCCAAAGAAGAATGTCGTGAAATATTCTTCGGAGCGCCGTAGAGAGTTACCCTTAAATGGGCTGCGAGGGAGAATATAGTTTAGGGGTTTCACAAGCCGCACACAATTTGCGCACCACCCAAAACATCGCAAGGGGTATGTGGAGAACAGAAAACGGCAGGATGATTTGGTTGGAAAATTGATTAGATTAGAATGGTAGAGAGCAACAAAGTCTATACCTTGATATACTCTGCCCTTGTTTCAATCTACCCAATCATTCTATGAGGAAGAATCGTGTATGCTACAATTTTCTGCTAATCTCGATCACAGATCTGCTCGTCCTGGATATCTTGGGAACGGAATTACATCTCTAATATTCTCAATACCAGTAGCAAACAGGATCATCCTTTCAAATCCTAGCCCAAATCCTGCGTGCTTAACAGTACCAAAGCGACGCAGGTCCAAATACCATTCGTATGGCTCCTTTGGCAGCTTCATCTCTTCCAATCTGACAAGGGGCCCAAACATGTAGCATCAGAAATTGCACCCAAAGTTTTTCCAGACAATTGAAGTACGACACTTCACAAGCACTGCCAGTGAAACTTATTTGCCTCCTTACCTCTGAATGAGAACATCAAGCCGCTCCTCTCTCTGACTTCCACCAACAAGCTCTCCGACCTTCAGATGAAAGCAGCAATCAACCGACGGTGAGTATCTCGAACAGCGCATGGATTCCATATATTAAAATTTAGAGACGAAAATAATTTTCAAGTAAAAAAACCAACCTTAGGAACCAGAACATCCATGGCAGCCACAGTTTTCCCATCATCGTTCAGGCGCATGTAGAAAGCCTTGATATCTTTAGGATAATTGTACACGATAACAGGCTTCTTGTATATTTCCTCAGTCAGGTATCTGCACCATGAAAAGTAGCAATACGGGATTGCGTGAGCAAAGTCGCATAGATTGCAGACAATTGTACAGGAAGACTCGGACGCAACCCTATCAGCGACTGCTCATCTGTAGCGTTTTTCCACCATACCAGCCACCATCGGCAACAACTACTTGGAACAACGAGCGACAGTCAGAGGGGAACAGGAGTACCTCTCGTGTTCCGACGCTAAGTCAATACCCCACTCCACCTTCTTCTCGAACTTCTTCTTCTTGACCTGCTCAACAGATGTGTTTCTGAACCATGTCAGCTTCCACAATCAGGCGATGATAAAACTATGTTTTAAAAATAGCCTGCCTGCTCCGTTGTCAAAGGACTAGGAGCCTGTCACGACTCACGACCACTGGCTGTGCTAGTGACAGTCAAGAAATGAAGCAAGGACAAAAAAGTGAGTCCGCATCTTCAAGGGCTACGAAAAGAACGACATCATTGACCTCACAACTCTCCAGAAACATTCCCTAAGATCGCGGCAGATAAGTGCTTGAAAACACAACTGAACCTAAGAAACATTGTCGTTTCCAGCGGCTAAACGGGCGAGTCGTGATCGCACTGCAGTCTGTGGAGGACTTTTTTCAGCTGATTGGTATGACTCCAATTTCATCCTCCTCATCACACAATAACCAGGTTAGTGTCTCTTTTTCTGAATGAAGAGATCAGCCGTCCGAGACTTAATGTTTGGCAGGATCCGGCTAGAAGGTCAGTGAGCACGTACTTTTTGGAGGGTTTCCACAGCTTCCGTGTATGTTATTCTCACGAAGGGCGTGGAAGCAACCATTCGTAGTCTTTCCACAGCTGTCTTGTCGTACATTTTAGCTAGGAATTCCATATCGTCTAAGCAGTGGTCAAGTAGCCACTGGCACAAAAATTTGATGTAGTCCTCGGCACAATTCATGTCATCCTGCACAGGGCAATCGTAAGCTGAGTGGTAGTCTGATATATAAAGAATTGTTCAATCAGATAAGCAGCTATCTATGGCAGCTTCATTTGTCAGAACTTCCGGAGAGCACTAAGGAACATCCTCCGAAGAAAAGAAACGTCAAGGCCTTGTTAAATTTGCCTTGGACAGTATTTTCGCGCACAATACCTTGAGATCTGCGAAAGCGATTTCAGGTTCGATCATCCAAAATTCGGCCAGATGTCTCGTAGTATGAGAATTTTCAGCCCGGAAAGTAGGTCCAAAGGTGTATACGCTGCCAAGGGCGCACGCATAGCCCTCCACTTGCAACTGACCAGACACTGTCAGAAAAGCTTGCCTTGCGAAAAAATCGGCTGTGTAATCAATCTTCCCATCTTCTCTGTGGGGGATACCCGCAATCAACTTGGGAGCTTTGGCTAAAGCTTCAGGCTGAGACTCTCCTGGCATCACCATCAGGGTAGGGGGGATTTCTTGCTTTCTCTTCTCTGCATCATTAAGCAGAGTTGTAACCTGAAACATCTCACCCGCGCCTTCACAATCGCTCGTCGTTAGGATCGGAGTGTGGACATACAGAAATTTGTTTTGATTGAAAAACGTATGGGAAGCAAAAGCAAGGGCGTTGCGAACTCTCGCGATGGCAGAGATCTGCACAACAGTACGACAACTTTGAGTCAGAACACTTCCTCACAGCTCGGGCTTCGCACAGTCTGTGACTTACAGGACTCCATATGTACAGTAACGTGTGCTTTAAAAAAAATGGCCTGACCGTATTGGTCCGTGGTCGAAGATGAAGGTACTCTCGAAGAGTCTCGAGTTTCAGCCTGGTCTTCGAAATTGGATAATTCTTCGAATCCACTGTTCCAATGTGGATGAACTTCACCACGGACAACTCCACTTTCTGCTTCAATTTCAACTCTTCAGTAGGAGGTTCTTTCAAAAAGCCCTCCACAAGTATGCTAGTTCCTGTCAAGGTGACATGGCTTGCACCTTCTATGTGAGGCTCAACAACGACCTGCCATAGGAACACAAGAGTCAGTCATTGGTCGTCCAATTTCATAGTGAAGGAACAGGAGGCTGCTGAGTCCCAGAACTCTTACTATACCAACTTCAGCCCCCAAAAACTGATCAACTGGGACATCCATCCTGTATACCGAAAACAAAGAAAGTTTTGAAGTCGAAACAAAATCGACGTGACACGATATCCAGACTGTAGAAAAGAGCCAAATTATCGACGCAAGGTAAATATAGCAGTCGCTAGGCCACGTTGCCGGCAGGAAAAAGCTGGGAGGAGAGTGCCGGAGGCCAATTTGGACAAACAGGTGTGGCTCAGTTACAGATCTCACAAACACAGTGGAACCGATCTGACGTATGCAGACATAACACGACCTAATCCACATTTTTTAGTAGAAACCAGTGCACATCCGTTCAAAAGCTCGAAGCTCGTGTTTCTCCTGCTTCTAAGTGAAACTCTCATCTGAAGCCTTCTACGGTAATCAGTTTCCTTCAGAACGTTATGCTTTGCTTAAAACCTCGATGTATGAAGCATGACTAACAATCCTTTCAGGACACATGAAGACGTAATTGCCATTCGCAATTCGCAAGGCAGCAACGTATTTCCCCTAAACCCCAACGACAAATGTCGTTGAATTTCGATAACCACGGCTCTGCCCAGAACAATGACCAACATTATTCAACCAGCTGCATCCACGATCCAGCCCAGGAAAATAATCCACATTACAGATTCCACCATACTCTGCAGTCTAGATCTATCGAGTGTACTAAGTGAGTTCGTATCTCCAATTCTCAGCTTCACTGGGAAAAAAGACCAAAGTGTCAAACACCAGGAGATGAACACGTGGTGCTCAAAAAGGCCAGAAAAGCAAAATCCCGGCTGTATGCTCATTCCTCGCTAGGGAACACTAACCTGAAGGTTGGCAGGGCAAGATCCATCGTTCAGCTCCACAAAAGAGACATTTGCCGAACTCCTGCCTGTCTTCACCCATCCACCGACAATAATTGTCTGCCCCAACAATCCAACTCCACCATCCTCCCTCCCGAGGATCGTCTTCACAAGAACTCGCTGCGAGTACTTCTCCATTGGGGCAGACGCGACTTTCTCAACTTCCAGGCCCTCCATTTTTGCAGCCACCGGTTCTACCTCCACATCAGCCATATCGATGTATGGCTTCGTGGCTTGATTTGCTCGGTTCTGAGCCAAACCCTCAAATTCTTGCCTTCAGTTCAACCTCTGCCGACTTCTGCACTCTGCTCTCTGAGCGATCAATTCGTCCTTTCGCTCGTTCCCCTTCGGTATGTTTGCTTCGAGAGTTAGGGCGTTCACATCTTGCGCTTGCGGTCCTCAGGGCCGGAAATAGTACACTTGCGGCAGAGAATGCGGTCACCAATTCCATCCGACAACTACGGGTTGGCTTTCGCGGCTGAAAGCCGGCCCGGGCCAATTGATGGACATACCAGGGATGCCCGGGCCGGGTTAATACACGCGTTTTCATGTGGAGAAGTTGGGGATATGATGCTGGTGACCTGCGAAAACAAGTCCACTCTCTTTTAGGACCGACCATCGAGAGTGGCATCGCCGGCACGGGACGTAGTTCTATCGCGTTGTTGTCCTAAGCGCATGCATCCTAAAAGTCACGACGCTTGTAGAGGCGAATTGATTGCAGTAGACCAATCACATCATGTGAAGAGTAAAGTAAGATCGGATGTATGGACTATAGTTACTCCATTATGCAGTACCAAGTTCTTGTGGACATAATGGTTAAATGTATCACAATAGAGTACGATTTTAATGGATTGAATGTTTTGGTATTTCACGTCGTGAAATGTAGCGGCATCAATAAAGAAAATGTTACGATCTAGATTATGAATATTAAACTTTTCGTTAGAGAATGAATTTATGGATTTAGACTTGTACATGATTGTGAGAGTTCTCGAAAAGAAGCTACCATATTATGTTCCATGTATTTAACTTTCTATAGCTTGTTTTGTGGCATATGTTAACTATCAATGTTCTACAAAGATCATTAGCCAGTATTGTACATACAAGAGAGCAATCATATAAATTTAGTTTTGTTGTCTAAGAGGCTGTTGTTCTCAAAAATTCACATAATTTAGTAGATGTAAAGTACAATATGAATATAGTACTTTGTTTACTTTTTCTGATGGAAAATTCTTATCTTTCGTTCTAATTTTCTTGAGTGTGAAATTAATTTTGATGTTGAGTAAGAGGGACTAAAAAGGTGACAATTGGAAAGATATTTTACAAAAAAAAATACCATTCATTTTTACTTGCATGACATGTTTGTACGTTTCTTTTTTCAGTTTCTTCAACATCTAACGACAATTTAGTATCAAATACATTTTGAAATATATATATATATATATATATATATATATATGTAAATATGTAGATATGTAAATATGTAAATATTCTGACTTTTTATTGAGATTTTATTATTATTGCTACCAAATTTTGATTCAATTAGAATCATCATTGATTATCATAATATCTTTATAACAATCAAATCTTATTATACACATTTATAAGATTTACATCATACACTGATATTATATAAATGAGTACATAAAACTTTTTCAAATGTATCTAATGCTTTGCCATGTTTTATGTCATGTCATGGCTGAAAAAACATGTACTCTTTCATAACAAATAAAAACAAAGTATGCAAAAAATCATTTTGATGATTGAATTTATTGCATAATTTATTTGTTTCAAATTTTAATTTGATAAACATGTTGTACATATATAAAACCAATAGTTTGAATAATTATTACACTGTTCAAACGTATCATTTTCTTAAAAAAATTTTATTGTCATATGAAAAGAAACGACTTTGAATATTTCATCAATATTTATCATAATCTAGTCATTTTTAATTAAAATTTAACGTTGATAGTTTTGAAACTCAAACAATTTCTTAGTTTAAATACATAAAGCATAATCAAAAAATAGCATAGAAATTTTGTTTTCACATGTTTTTAGCTGAAAAAATACAAAATTAAACTTTCAATCATGTCCAGAAATAGTTAATTATTGATATTTAAGCTAAAATTATCATCATTTTGAAAATCAACCTTATTTAAAGAAATCTATAAATATGATAATATCAAATATGTGGATTTTAATATTTTATCATAATTACCTTATTGATAGAAATAAGGTAATTGTCACCAGATAATAAGTGTTTTAATGATTATATCCTACTAAAAATGTAAGAAGGGCTATCATATGTATATCAATTCAATAGGTTAAATACATATGATATTTACCTTGATGATAGATAATTATAATGATTTTTATTTTAAATAAAAATAACTGTAAAAAATAAAATTATATATATATGTATTTGAATTAAATTTATTGTATGAACATGTTCATTACAAATATATTTTACATATATGAAAATATTGGTTATTGATGGTTATATAATAAATATGCATGACGTCCCTGGTTTCTACACAAAACGCTAGAATCCTTGGAATGACAGTGTTTCAACTTGATTTAAATGATTTACACCGTCAAGAGAATTCGAGGTTTTAGCTATGCATGCCAGCGGAATAGAATCTACACTCAGATTTAGTAATTCTGATAATTCAACCACTTCCATGTGTATTCCACAGTATTCATCATTTCTGATCACATTAGCCTTACTCTGAGTTTTTAAGTATCTAACTATTGTAATTTTGAATATTATAATCTACTGCCTCAAATATATATTGAATTATTTCTGAACTCCATGTTCATATTTCAGCTATCTATGTTCTATGATTTTTTTAATAGTGATTACTGTAAGAAAATAATAATGAATTGGATTTTAAACAAACTGGATTATAATAAGTATCAGATTATATATGTACAAAACGTATGTGCTCAAGCAATTGTCTTCAAAAAAATACTGATGACACTGAAGAAATAATTCTAGAGCACTGTGTTACAGGAATAAAAGCGGCCGAAAGACTAATCGGGTAACCTATAATGCAACAATAAAACAAATTGACTCGGTAAGTATTGGAAGTTGGACATTGGTAAAAAATTATCTTTCAGTCAATAATCTAATATGAATTTATCTTGAGATTTAAGAAATAATAAATAAGAGGTAAATTTTGGATTTATAAAAAATAAAATCTCAAGATTTTATTTCAAAATTAGAACTCAAATAATCTTAGGTTACAGTAAGTATATAAATTACATCATAGATAATGAAGTGGAAGTCTTCATATTTTTGAGAAAACATTTGTGAAGTCAAAAATAACAACTGAAAAGTCAATAAATTTCCTGTGTCAAAATCATGTGTTATTAAAATTTACTTGACATTCATCGCACCAATGTATATTTACACTACATATTAAGTACTTGAATAATTATTTATTTACATTGACTAACCACATTCTATAGATGGAATATATGTATCATGTTAGTCAAAGCTATATGAATCGAAAGTAGAACTGAATTAACTGCATTGAAGATCATATTATTGATAGTTAAAGTTGATATCACTTTATAGTTTGTACACGCACGCATGTATGGCACACAGATTGAAAGTTTTAAAAATCAGATATCTATGTTAGTTGTTTTATCCCAATAACATGAAATTCAAAATTTTGTAGGTATGAATTTTAAATGGATTAAATTCCGATTTTTTTTCAAATTGAAAAAAGATTTCATTACCCTGATACCTTTCCTATTCTAACACATGAAAAACTTGTTGGGTTCTATAAACATATCACATATCACATCTCACCTTAAATCTTCATCTCATTGGGGAAATCGTTTCATTGGGAGGCTTTGAGATCCATTTCCCACCCTCTATGTCTACAAGTTATTGATGGCATTCATTTGGACAAGAAAAAATGTCAAAGGGCCCTCATACAGTTCAGAGTGTCTAGACAATGAAAAAAAATCTTTCACATGCTTCTGTCACAACATAGAAACCTTGCCCAAAAACATTTGAAGAAAATAATGCACTGGTTGAAAATGCCTAAAACTACTTCGATTATACTCTTCATGATGAAATCATAATTATTTCCAGTATGAAGGACTAAAACCCGAAGTAATTTAGTCAGTTCTTCACCTTTTAATTTACTTTTTGTTTGTGTCCATTTGCAAGGTGACAAGATGAAAGGCCTAGGCTTTTTTAATGTGTGCTTAGAACCCTATCCTATCTTCTAGGGGCTCTTGCCTCGTGCCTACGGGCAAAACAAAAAGAGAAGAAAAGAGGAGGGAAGAGTTCGCGACCGTTAGCGACGATTTACGGATCAAGGGAACATCAGTCTATTGGAGCCTACGGCGCGGAAAGTGCAGCGTCTCTGGGCGACGGCCTGACGAGTTCGGACTCGAAAGGGCGCCAAGTTTAACTGCCAAGTTTGAATCTTTGAATCAAGAGAAGCTCTTATGGAGTGCTCGAACATCGTTCGGAAGCTGGAGAGGATCGATCGAAGGACCTCCGGCGGGGTCGCCTCTGTGCCATCCTTAGTCGACAGTGTCTGACTTCGGTTTTTCGGGTTGAGAATCTCTCGACCTGATCCGATCGGACACCGGAGCGGACTCGAATTTGGTAAAGATTCGTGGAAATGATTCAAAGAAGACCGGGCCTGCTCGAGCGGGCGATGAAGAGTTCGTGGCGCAGATTTGTGCCTTGTCTAATGGCGAGTTCGAATTCTTGAACCCTGTGCTCTGTAAATACTGTCGCAGGTCGGAGACTGAAGTCGGCCTGCGATTGCTTTACAGCGATAGGAGACTTCAGATCGTGCAAATCGCCGCAGCCGCGTCCGAAAGTGCGTCTGTGATCTGATATCGCGGTCGGTGCTGATCTGATCAGTGCGAAGGGCAGTGAGCTGCATCAGCACCAAGCGACGAATCTGTGCGAGTTGAGGTTGAGGAGTGACCACATACTTGGCGCGAACGGATCACAAAACAGCTCTCTTTTTACTGAGATTTTCCCGGACAAGACCCTTAATGTCAGTGTTGCGAGGATCATAGACATGTCGGTCTGCGCTTAGTCGTGGTGCGAAGGGATATTTAGCCATGGATCGATCGCCTGCTAGACCGAGGAAGTTAAGTGTTGCGTCGTCCACTGGAGCTAATAAGGGCAAGGGCAAGCGACCAAGCAGCTCCAGCTCCGCAATATCCAGGAGGCAAACCACTTATGAGGTGCCAAACCAAAAGAAGGGAAAGAAAAAAGCACCTCTCGATTCACAAGAAAAACCTGTTCCGATTTCTGCTTGGTCTGCAAGTTCACCGCCTCCTCTACCGTTTGACGAGTTTGATGAAGAATACAGTAATGCTCCACATTACAGACCCGCCAATTCTTCACATCCCACTCAGCTCTGCGAACATGTTCCACCGAAAACCATGGGAACTTGCAAGCCTGGCTCACGTGGATTGTCTACGGGCTCTAGGCCAGGGTCTTCAGCTCGGTGCCCCAGCCCCATAACTTTAGGCGCTCCCATTTTCCGGTCTGGTAGTCCAGTTTTTAACCCTCCGAAAGTTTTCCCCCCTTATCAAATGGAGTTTCCTCAAACTTTTGTCACAGACATGGACGACCACGAAGTAGGAGTTGTAGATGCTTTGGAAAAACCATGTGATCCCAGTGAATACATGGATTGGGCTTCTGAGTCCAGCTTCTCGACGATCGCGAGTCCTGTGCGGACTACCACCACTTTACATCACTTTGATCCTACCGACTGTGGAAGCTATCCGCCCAAAGCTGAGGATATGTTACCATTCCCTCCTTGCAATAAACGAAAGCGAAGGCTGGATGAGTTGGATATCGACGAGGATTTGCTTCATCAGCCAGAGACTGATGTGCAGCCCCTTGAGGATCACCCTGAACCATTCGATGTGCAGCCTCGAGCCATTGACAGACCTCGCAAGAAGGGGAAACCTACGAGGCTAACCCTCCCTCTTGAACTTTTTGATAACCCGGATATGGATCTCGTTCACCCGTCGCTTCTTATTGAGGAGGTGAGTCACCTCTTGGATTTGTATTTTCATGCGATAGAACTGGTGCATACCTTTAACGAACGTCACTTCGCCCTCTGTCAGTTTTCGTTCTGATTGCTGAAAACGACATCCGGAACTGAAGATGACCTAAATCAAAATAACAAGTAGCTCTAACTTTGATCAAATTTAATCTAAATTAATGAGAACTGCTTCATCCACAATCAAGGTTGTTTTTGACGTGAGCTTCACAATTGCCAAAGTTAAATCGTCGGCGTGTCTTTGACTTTCTTATTCGCTTTACATTCCATAGCTAAGTGACTGTGTCGTCTCTTAGTAATTTCCATCACTTAAAAAATCGCCTCCTTGTTCATTTAACAGCTGTGAGCACGATAAAGACTGTTGACAACCCGAATCCGTCAGTCTAACTCTCTGTGATCGTATTTACAAAGATTAGAGATGAAGTTTACCAGTCAAACAGGCTCAGAAACATACAGTATATCTTTCCGTCATGTAATGTCATTTGTAATCGCAAATAGGGCAAGCGGAAACGACGGACTGGCTGGTTGACAGATTGAAGAATACTCTGCTCTATAATAACGACGCTTGTCTTGAGCTAGAATGAAACTTATTAGTCCGTCTTAGGCACTGAAGGTTTGCTACAAAACACTGTATGCCGAACAGTTGAGAAGCTCGAAAGTCTCAATGTTAAGTGAAAGTGGAACGTTGTTGTTGGGAAGGCAATCAAAAGGGGCGAGCGCGGCTTGCGAGCCAGGACTAGATTCTATACGAATGATGGAAAGGCCTCTTGGAGGCCATGTGAAGTTTTCAGCTGGGACAAAAAAACTGACACTTACAAAATTGAGTGGCTCAGTCCAAGTGGCGGGCCCACGGGAAAGACTAAAATCATTGGGAGGCGAGTACTTCACTTGTCTAGACTGAACAGGCAACATATGTAGAGCAACATTTTCAGTTTCTGTACACAAATATCGAAGCATGTTTCTGTGATTGAAACCAAGGTACGAGATCAAGAGTCCTAAAGACGTATGTGCTGCTTACAAGAAGGAGAGTTTTATCAAAACTGACTTATCACAGCAACCAATTCCACCGTGCAGGCTAAATCTTCTTCTCGACTGTGAAAGTGAGGGGAACTTTGTTGCAAGACTTGTTGCAGCAAAAGAGCTTCGAAGAAGAGTGGAGACGCAAATGGTGATCAAATCATGACTTTTACTGGGAGGTTCATGACAAAACCTGGTTAATCTATTTAAAATTTTTTCTCGGTTAGTTGGGAAAAGTACTCAAACAGTTCATTTCGTATAGAAGTGTCACAATCATTGGTTGGGGGATGTGGTCACCAGAGAACATTATTCATTTATTATCATCGCATTCTTCAATATATCATCATTGTCTCCTGCTGAACGGCAAGATTAGACTGAAACTGCAGTCAAATTGCATTCATATGTTCCACTTGTCAAATGACAGCAGCAATGCTTATTCAGATTCTACTTATTTAGAAGTAGTCCGAGCAACAAAGTTGAGCTTTTTTTGGAGAGTTGCTATCACTGTAGTCATTTTGAAATCTCCGTTTGAGTGCAGAGGTATACAGAATTCCTCGAAACCATACCCTTCCTTAATCCTGAAGGGGTGGATGACAATCTGTTGCTACGGCTTATGGAGCGTGTTGGAAGAAATCTCAGCCTCAGGTATTCCGAAATCGTAACCAGCTTTATGGAGGAGTTGAAGGTTGATTACCATACGGCTGTAAACAAGGCAATTTTGGACTTTCGGTTTGCAGTAGCTGATGACGAAGAACGGGCCCACTTTTACGGTCTACAGATTTTTCCTGGACCTGAGTCAGTCAGGCCCATTCCCAGGTAGATGACTGCTTCTTTAAGTACTCTTGGTGATCAGTTTCTTCACTAGTATGAAAAACGTTCACATAGTTTTTGGATTGAGGGATGGGGCCCAAAAGATTATTCGCTGCTCTCTAGAAAAGCCTAACTCAAAATTGATAAAAAATGGATGTCGAAAGTCTACGGTAACTTTTTTTCCCAATAAGTACGTGGTATTTCGCTGTGTACAGGCAGGGGTGTTTGCCAGTACCTTACTCACCAGCTTCACCGTACATAGCACTACGGGAAAGCATTGTGCTGAACCTGGTCCTAGCAGAGGAATGCTTTTTGATGGTGTTGCAAACGTTTTATAAAGATATGGATGTGAGCAACACATTGCTAGTTAATCCACAAATATTTATTCTTCCAAGGCCCTTGGGAGTAGATGACTTCCGTATTATGCAAGATGAGTACACCAGAGATATAGCAGACAACTTCAGAGCCGTGTAAGACTCACAATACCCTTCTGTCTTCACTTTCTCTGGCCATAAATCATCGGCTTCCCCACGTAGTACTCGTCGACAGCAATAAAAGTATCTAGAAGTAGTACCTAGAAAGTTGCAACAAAAATGACCTTAAATTCTTAAAGATATACACCCACCTTGCACGCCGGTGAGTTACAGCTAAGCAAGGAAGGATAAAAGCTATATATCTGGGCACTTTTCGAACTTATGTAACTTACAGGAGGGAGAAGTATACTGGACATTCCATATTTTGGTTTTGCACTCAAGGGAGATTCGGAGCCTCCATTATAGCCACCAGTCTAGCTTATTATCAAGAACACCTTTGCATCTACAAATTGCAGAACAACGAAGCCCTCAGATTCTTAACCAGAAAATGTCTAAACTGCGTTTACTTGAAGCACATCTATACATGGCTTAGCTTTTAAACTTTCTGCTAGTTTGGAAGTTGTGCAGATGGATCATGCGGGTTCTAGGGCTCATTGATGAGGTCGTTCCCTCCGGCGCGAATCTTCTCGACGCACCGAAACAAAGGCTTTTGAGTGTTGTCTCCCGCTTGTCACTGTTAATGAGTGAGCAACTTCAGCACGTTGTCATGCAATCTGTTGAAGTCTTTAAGCGAATCTGGATGGACTATTTTGTGGCACGGGAGTCAAAAGATGAGGAAATAAAGCCTCTGCCAATAGGAGTGAGAAAGGATCCGCTTTTCAGGATCAAACTTCTACTGGACTATGACCATTTTGAGTTTCTACCGAAGCTAGAAGCTGTTGAGAACACAATCCAGAGTCTACTGGAAGGCATTGTTGAGTCAGTGAAAGGAATGGACGATCTCCAGACCAGGTTGACAGACATTTTTAAGCATTATCAGCCGAAGGAAATGACTACTATAAACATAGACGACAAGAAGGTCACTGGAACATGGAGTGTTATCCAGGTAACTATAGTGGTAAACTACCGGCAATTTAATAGATGGGGTCGGCAGTCTAGTTAAATACTTCACCTACATGTCAATTAGAGTGCTATGCTAGAGTATAAAGGATACAGAATATGACCATCTCATCAATATAGATAACGTTGTAATATATGAACTCAGGTTCCTGTGCACCTCATATTACATATTTCAACAAGCTGCGTGCTTGACATCAACTGGTTTTGAGTATTGTTGTTCTAGCTTTTAGTACTTCGATAAGGTTGGTGTCAATGCCATTTCCCAATGAAAGTGACTCGGAAGAAATTTTAGAGACGTAAACTGCAAGGTGTACTGGGTGAAAGATGAACAATGTGCGCTTGAAAGCTCCACAAACCTCCAGGAAGGTACAGGCATCTGTCAATAAAGTCCCTAATTGTCTGATTGAAGAAACCTCTAACGCTCTGAACTTCGAATGAATTTAACAGAGATCTTGTAAATTCCTGACTGCAGGACATTTTGCATCAGAGTTTTGTCCAGCCCAAATCCCTGCTTGATCGCTTTATGGCGTTTAAAGATCTGGCGGCCACTGATGTCCTGAGCAAGATTACGGACTGGAAAGCTGGAAATCATTCTCTTGAGCAGTATGAAGAAGAAGTAACTCGCTACCAAGAGGTCAGAAGTCCTTCAGTCACAAACCGTCTAAAGGAAAATGCACTTACTTGTCATGCCTACTATCAGTAATGTGAGATAGTACTCCGAAAGGTTCATAATTATCATACGCGTTCAACAAACTTGCAAAAGTTGCCACCAAGCAACAATATATATGGTAAATACATTTGAGCAGGAAAGTTCTCCAAACAGCCAATTTTTTCAATATCGAACTCTAGTCTGAGTATTGCTACACTTTCCACCAAAAACGTGGCAGTACCATGTGCTTCATGCTTTTGATGCGATGTTTGCATTTCAATAGCCGTTTAGCTGCTTAAGTTTGCCACCTCTTAACATTTCTACTTGTAGTTCCACCACCCTCGTATAATGAAAGGTATTTCACAGGTCGCAGATGCAGCTTTGAGAAGTTCTGAAAGAGAGACTAGCTTTGAACTGTTTGTAGTCAACTGCGAAACACTATGTAATGACCTTTCTGCCAAAGCGAGGAGCATTGCCGATCATCTTCTCACACAAATAATGGAGGCAACGACAGTAAAGAATGGAGAAACTCGCACAAAATATGAAGCCATAGAAACTGTGATGTTGGGGTATAAGATTCCCATCTACAATCTTGTATGATACACATGATTGGAGTGGGTTTGAAAGCTGAAGAATGGACTCTTCTAGATTGTAATATGGTGACCAGGCTGTACAATAGGATGGATGAAACAACGTTGGGACTATATCTACCTCTTTGTTGAACTTGAGATCGACCCTGATATGTCTGATGACCTGATTTCCAAGTGCTTGCAGTAAATCCGATTTAAAAGACTGTTCAAACCAGATCTCTCCATACATTATTACGTTTTCTTTTGGGAATGCAGTCCAATTGATAATGCGGAGCAGCTGGATAAAATGAGAGCATACATGCTGGAGAGCAAAGATCCTCTTTACAAGCTAAAGGATGAAGTCGAAAATACCAAGAAGGTCGGTCCAAGCAGAAGTCTGTTCTGACCAGTTACTTTATTTCTAGCAGAATTGAACCACTAGGCAATGAAAAGGTTTTCAAGTTGGACCTTCCAAAAATTTTGTATAACAATACCAGGAGATCGAAATATTTCTACTCTTGTAAATTGCTATCATGGGTCACATTGTTCAGATTCTGTTAAATCTACGAGTCTTGTTTTCCCAGCAAAAATTAATAAGTTATCGTCTTGAACTGATTATGATCAATTCACCCAGAGAAAATTTCTGTCATAGATTTAAATGCGTTTGACACCAGGTTTGGGCCATGCTTCAGCGAAAGTCATTTGATGTTCCAGATTATCACAGTGAGTTCTATTGGATTACAGTGGGATGGCCTCAACGAATTGCGTTAGCTATCAATGCTACCGAAACAAGACTTGCACAGCAAAGGGTAGAGAATGACCGCATTACCTTTGTGGATCTTTTATCTGTATATTACTGCCTAAAGAAGCTGCATTTCAGGCACATAATTGAATATTATAGAAACAAGATCTATCCTAAGCGGTACTGGAAGTTCGTCAATGCAGACTCAGACTTGCATCATTCCTAGGTGATTACATCCACTGGAAACGCGTCGGTGATTTAGGAAATGATCTACCTTTTATATCATAAGGAAACTTCATTCTCGAAAACAGTGGTGCATCTTCGTGGTTCTTCACATCTTGCATAATGTTTACGAAGTTACGACGCTATGCGTTGCCATTGACTTGTGAAGGTGCTCTTCATAAATGACCTCATGAGACAAACTAAAGAGCTTAAGGCAGACATCAAGGTTCTAGCTGTGGAGTGCCAAGATTTTATGAAGCTTGGGGACATCGAAGCGGTTGAGGAAAGGACCGTTTATCTCGGAGAAATTGAAGAAAAGCTGAAGCAATGTTTTGAAAAGCAAGAGCTCTTCAACAGTCGCGAAGCGGTTGGCAATTCCTATCTTACTTCAGTTTTTTGACACCGGCTCTTACATTACAAGGACTGCCTATGAGCTTCTGCACTCACACTACGCTTTCATCTAATAGTGGACTGTTTGTTTTCTAGCATACAATTCAATTGGTAAGATTATCGTCTGGACTACGGTCTTCTTAATCATCGTCGTACATAATATGTAGAAAATCATTTTTTATTTCATATATTTAACATATTGAAGGTTACAACTGAGCTTTGAACTGGCCCTTTCAACTGGTTATCTGCAGATATTCGATCTTATGATTACAGAATTCCCAGAATTGGATGCACTCAATGCTGAGTTTGAGAACTGCGCTTTGATCTGGCACACAGCTTGGGACTTCTTGAAAGTTCTTCCCGCATGGATGGATGGTCCTTTCTCCAACTTAGATGCGGAAGAAGTCCAAAACAATGTTGAAATGTGGTACAAGAACTCTGCCAAGTGTTGTAAGGTGTTGACGAACGAGTCGAAAATAGTAGCAGAAGAAACGAAGAGAAGAGTGGAAAAATTTCAGGTTAGATTCTTTACCCTCACATGCTATAGCACGCTCGCTACATTGCTGCTGTTTCTTGTGAAAGAAAATTTTATTTCACATGTTCTTACGTTTGCAGCTGATTCTGAATCAATTCACCGTTTATTGACTGCTATCATGAACAAGAAGAGTTCTCATTTTGAGGTTGGTCTTATGCATGGTAACCCATGATCTTGATTCATCAAACAGGAAAATGTGCCCATGATCTGTGCTCTTCGCAATCCTGGTATGAGAGATCGCCATTATAAGATGTTAAGTGAAAGGCTGGGTTTTGAAGTCCGATCAACACCATCCTTCACAGTCAATGCCGCTCGAGACTTGGAGCTTCAGAAGTACATGCCGATTCTTGATGAAGTCAGTAATTCTTCATCGCCAATTCTACTTTGAATGCATCTGGGAATGAGAGTTCGTGCTTTATAAATACATTGGACTAATTTCTGCCAATAATAGGTTAAGTTATTTGCATATGTATTTGCATATAATTTCTGCCAGGTAGGTTAAGGTTCTTGTATCATAACATGTGGTATCCTCATTCGTTTCGATTTTCAGGTTAGTGAGTTCTCAACTAAAGAGTATGGAGTCGAGCAGAATTTGGACAAAATGCAAGGTGCATGGACAGGTGTTAAATTCGAATATGCTGCGTGGAGAGGAACAGGGACACATATCTTGCGAGGTGTAGATGATTTGCAGATGATGCTAGAAGAGCACCTTGTCAAAACACAGTCAATGCAAACATCTCCGTATATCGGGCCGTTTGAAGATAGAGTAAAGTTGTGGCTTGTAAAGTTGAACCTCGTTCAAGAGGTGAGAACTTGTTGGTTGAGTGAAGGTTTCGAATAGAATGCAAAGTTATAAGATTCATCAGTGACAAGAGAACTTACAAGTGATGGCTAACCACTAAAATTGGAGTGAAGTCATCTTCTGGGCAGTGTAAAAGTACTACCAAATTGACAAAAACAACTATATATAATTTGACAAAGTAATCCAGATTCTTAGCGGTATTTGACTGAGTTCAAAAAACTGAAATCCATGCGTCTCATTAGCTGTAGTGATGAGCCCATCGCACATATACAATGCTTTTAGTTTCTTGATTTTCACTAGCCAGAAATTGATTTACTCCATTTGAGCTCTTGTTAGGAACATAGTGCAGTATCGAAATTTGAACACCACACCCTCGGCCAAAACTTGAAATTTTTGTCGCAAGTGATTAGCTTTTCATCGAAGATCTTCTTAACATACAAGCTTTTTACAGCTGTATTCCGAAAGTCCTGAAACCGCCTGTATTCAGTCCGAAATAGTCACTCTTGCCGAAGTGTACTCTTACGGTCAAGAAATTTGAGCAGATGTTCAACAAGAATATTCTAAGTCAACTTGCCTGTATTAACAATAAAAAATGTTTCAGATAGGTGTTAGGATAGTCAGCTAGGAACGTCAGTTTTGTGAGATACAACTTATCACGCTGGTTGTTCCCGTTGAGCTCTTTCTTCGGTGACCGTTCTCTAATGTCATCGTGAAGAACACAACACACCGTCAAAATTTATGTAATCCACTCTTATGCTCTGACGAAGTACCACCGCAGCTATAACTTTGGCGACTTGCTAATACTTTTCTTGCGTGCAGTGTCTGGATGAATGGTTGAAATGCCAGCAGGCTTGGATGTATCTTGAGCCCATCTTTACTTCAGAAGATATCATGCAGCAGATGCCCGTCGAAGGGCGACGATTTAAAGCAGTTGACGCATCATGGCGAAAAATTATGGAAAAGTTAATAAAGAATCCAGAAGTTCTTATTGCAGGAGCTGATGAAGAGCTGCTTAACACCTTCAAGGAAAACAACAAACAGCTTGACAATGTGAACAAGGGACTCAATGACTACCTCGAAACAAAGCGTCTCGCATTTCCCAGGTAAGTAAACTCTTTCATACTTGAAGGGCTGACGTGTTGCATCTGCTTTGGAAGCATCAGTATGTAACACGACTCAGTTCAAGAAGGAGGATGTTCTAATGCGCTTGCTATATACTGCAGATTCTATTTTCTGTCCAATGATGAGCTTTTGGAGATTCTGGCAGAAACAAAAGACCCGCTTAGAGTGCAGCCATTTTGTAGAAAAATATTTGAAGGCATTAACCGTCTTGTCTTCGAACCAAACCTTGACATCGTCGCTATGTTAAGTGAAGAAGGGGAGAGAGTGGATTTCATCTTTCATTTTAACCCAAAAACAGCTCAAGGCGCTGTCGAGAAATGGCTCATTGAGGTAAACATACAACATAACAAGAGAATCATTGGTTCTTAACATTTGTGGGCTGGTTTTGTCTCAAATATCGTTCAACTATATATCCACCACATGCACATAGTGCATATGTTGCTCTGACACATGATTGGTTTTAAAAAACACAACATCATCGTGTCCTTGAGTTTAGATTCGGTGTCTTAGCTCTGTATCGTATGGTGGTGTTTGAGCAGCATATGCCTTTTGCGCATTCAAAGTTATCATGATAGACCTCAGAGTATTCTCTTCGCAAACGTATAGGTGGTGATGCAAGTCACTTTCTCATGAATTGCATTTCTAATAGAACGAAGTACTCATAGTGTCTGGAGCAACGGTAAAAATGAACAATGTCATTCATAAGGATCACGGCTAAGTAAGAGCTCATGTATTGGAACCTTCGGCTGTTGGGTAGTCCCGGACTTTACGGATGATTCATTAGATAGCAGGTACATTATATGGAAGATAGCCTGTAACAGTCGTTGGCTACGCTGCTATCAGAAAATAAGCATTCGCTAATTTAGAGGTTTTCCTATTAATTTCTAGCGCACGTTTCGTAAATGGTAAAATGGTAAATGGGTTTAGGGCTCCGTAGCTCCGTAGCTCCACTGCAGCTGTGTTTGCTAAGAAGTGGTTGCCACACACCATTCAGGAAGATCTTCACTACAAGTATTTCATCTTGTAGGTTACAGAAATAGAATTTAAGCTTGAAGATGCCCAAAGATTTGCATAGTCACACGTGGCATACAAGTTGGATTGAAAATGTCAAAACTAATCAGCTACATATAATTTAAGGTTGAAGACGCGATGAGAACGAGCTTGCAAGATGTGTGTAGGAGGGCATTTGAAGCCTATGCTATATCAGACAGGATCCAGTGGATAATAGATTGGCCAGGTCAGATCGTTCTTTGTGTATCGCAAATGTATTGGACTCAAGAAGTGACTGAGAGCATACGTAAAGGAACTTTAGGAGTATACGAGCAGAAGTGCACAACTCAACTTCAGGCAGTTGTTAGCAAAGTGAGCATCATTGCTTCCCTGTCTCTTCTCTTGTGATTGATGAGAATTCTTGTTTGGAGAATTAGTGGGTTCCATGCCATAAAAAAAAACGCTCATCTGAAATTGAGCGTGCATTGGAGATATTATTTAACATGATTTTTTTTTTGTGCACCGTTCCAGCTGTGAATAGAAGATGTAGTGCATAAAGGAGATTTCTCGTTGGCCAAAAGCTGCGTTTATTCATGCAGGTCCGGGGACAACTTACGAGCCTTGAGAGGAAAACAATTTGCGCGCTGATTGTTATCGATGTGCATGCTCGTGATGTGGTGAAGGAGCTTGCAGATGCCAGTGTGTCTGATGAAACTGACTTTGACTGGATTTGTCAGCTTAGGTAGAGCTTTAGCACTTTTCAAAAGCTGCAATGATTGATATGACCGAGGAACTTTCAGCCAAATGGTGTTTATGTGAATTTTAAATCCCTGGACCGTTAATGCAAGTTTTGTAGACTTTTAACTGTTCGGAGGAATGTGCAAAAAAGAAGAAGGAAAGATATGGTATGGAACGGGGAACTTTGATGAAGCTAGAAAAAGTAAAATTCGGTTTTATGCCCGAAACGATTAGATGACAACCTCATACTTTTCCAGGTATGCGTATGAAGAGGGCATTGTAATGGTGCGGATGATCAATGCAGCGATTGCGTACTTCTATGAGTACCTGGGAAATAGTTCACGTCTTGTCATAACTCCTCTTACAGATCGCTGCTATCGAACGCTTATGGGAGCTCTCCATCTCAACCTTGGTGGAGCGCCTGAGGGTCCTGCGGGTAAGTCACATATACGCGTGGTTGCCCTTAATCTTGCACGAATAATAACATACTGAGGATAGTAGGGTATTTACATTCTCTACTAGATATTGTTATCTAGCTTGACTATTGTCAAAAATAACGCAAGTATTTTTTAACGTGATCGGTCCAGGAACCGGAAAAACAGAGACAACGAAGGACCTTGCAAAGGCCATAGCTATGCAGTGTGTGGTTTTCAACTGTTCAGATGGTTTAGACTACTTGGCTATGGGAAAGTTTTTCAAGGGACTGGCAAGCTCTGGTGCTTGGGCTTGTTTCGATGAATTCAATCGTATCGATCTCGAGGTACTGATCTATTTGTTGGGGAAATGACTATAGTAAAGAAAGTGCCAGAAACCAACTATAGTTATATTTTTCATGAAGAACTGAACAACTTAGCCAATTTTAAATCCTGAGGTGGGTATAACAGGTGCTCAGTGTCATTGCCCAGCAAATTTTGACCATACAGCGAGCAAAGGCAGCACACTTGAAGCAATTCGATTTCGAAGGGACGAAAATATCCCTTAAACCTACTTGTAGTGTTTTTATCACAATGAACCCTGGATATGCTGGGCGTTCTGAGTTGCCAGATAACTTGAAAGCTCTTTTCCGAAGTGTGGCGATGATGGTTCCAGATTACGCTTTGATTTCTGAGATTACTCTTTACTCATTTGGGTATCTTCAAGCCAGAGAACTGGCCAGAAAACTGGTGGCTACCTACCGTCTTTGCAGGTTAGTGGTTGCTGTTATTTGAGTAAAATCTTCAAATGAGTAAAAAATTCAATTACTTTCACAAATCGTCCCGCATATAAAGATAACATGCACCAGCAAGAATGGAATTTGAGAGACATCAGAGGTGAATAGGGACGTGATTTCAGTGTATGCTTATAAAGTGTCTACATAACCAGTGGTGGCCTTTGGCGTGATACAGTGAACAGTTGTCGAGCCAAAATCACTACGATTATGGTATGAGAGCAGTTATCTCAGTACTCAGAGCAGCCGGTGCTGTGAAGCAGAAGTATCCCAAGGAAAAAGAAGATGTGCTTATGCTTAAGTCGCTCAAAGATGTAAACTTGCCAAAGTTTCTTGCTCATGACATACCGCTTTTCGAAGGGATACTGATGGATCTATTTCCGGGAGTGAGTTTGCCACCCCCCGACTACGAGGTTATGGAAAAACATGTGCGCTTCAACTGCGAAAAGTTCAACCTGCAGCCAACGCCTGTATTTTTAGAAAAGGTAAACATATCTAGCCCCGGCGTCGTGCAATTCGTGAAGAGTTTGATTGTAATTCGTGTTAATGCCGATAGGCAGATAATTTCTCTTTCGGGAAATAACTCGCAGATCAGCTATTCTCCTGATATAGCTGTTCGAGCTTGTCGACCGCTCAAAACATGACGAGATGAAAGTCTGCAAGGCAGAAAAATAACTGAAAAATAGGAAGATGTTTAGTATACACTAGGGAAATAATTCGAAGTGCAAATTTTCTCAATGCCATAACATTCTATGGAGCTGGAAGAACTAAGTGTCATCCTAAGTAGCATCCTCCGTGCTTTGGGCTAGCTTTTCTCATCCAGGCAGATACTGATTTTTTTTCTTAGGAGATTTGAGCTGAGAGGTGATTGATGTCATGTTGTGCATGCAGATTTACCAGTTGTATGAGATGATTCTGGTCAGACACGGATTGATGCTCGTCGGTTATTCTTATGGGGCCAAGACGGAGTGCTACAGGGTTTTAGCTGCTGCACTGACAGATATGAAAGCTGCAAACGAAAATGAGCAGATAACAAAGTGCTACATCGTCAATCCGAAGTCAATATACATCGGGCAACTTTACGGACAATTCGATCCCGTCTCGCATGAGTGGACAGATGGTGTTCTAGCCAAACAGTTTCGAATTGCAGCAGTTGAGCAGACACCAGACCGAAAATGGATAATATTTGATGGCCCAGTTGATGCGGTAAGAAAAAGTTTCCAAAAGTGCCTTAGAAGGTATTTCCAAATGCGATCTATATGTATCACTTTTGAATGATGTCTCTACAACAGCAGGTAATGTATACTCTCTAGAACCTACGATTGCATACTAGAATTTGCACTCTCGTTTTAGCAGCAGTATTGAGGTCAAAACTCTATGATTAGGATTCCATACTTCTTGAGATAAAATCAACTCCAAATCAGCTCGAACGCTAACTCGACTTCCCACTTTTTAGTTCTCAGATGTGTAAATCATTAACTCAAGAAATGACAACTGGCATGGTGAACTTTTGACCGCTTGAAGGGTTTTGCAAGTATTACGTTTGCAACAAGTGTAGTCCTAACAAAAACCCCGAAACCTAAAATTAATAAATTAACTTTCTACCACCCACTATAATATCAAAATATCATATACAGTTACTGAATCACTGCTATGTTCTTAGTGTGAGACTAATTCACAAGATAAGGAAATAAGGTGCCCGGTGGAATTTCAATGCAATATCTTTTATGCTTCGATCCAGAGCCCTCACAGATTCAAGAGAAAACACAAAGCACGTAAACATGAGCGAGGAGAGAGTAGGTAAATACTGCTACAGTATCAAAGTGCTCTCCCACGATTTGTTCTGCCTTCGTCATTGCTATTCAATCAATTCTTAAACGGTCTACTCTGCATGTTTGGTTCTGAACTCTCTCTACTGACTCCAATATCTCCTTCGCTTTTCTGAATATATGTTATTTTATTTTCCGCAGTAATTTTTTCACTCTTGCGAGTAAGTTCTGTTGCTTATTTTCATGTCCACTGTATATCTTTTCTCATCCACAGATATGGGCCACGTACCTATAATTGAAACTAATATACGCAATAAGGTATTCACAGCGCCTGACTTTGTCCCAGTATCGCTAATGGTTATCTACCTTATATGGGGCTAATAACAACCTGCCTGTATTCTTCTGCTGTACTCAGCCAATTGTTAGAAGAATCTAGTCTCCTGTCTAGCTACCTCACGAATTCAGTCTCACTTTATTTGTTTCTCTATCCATATTGAGCTGTAGAGCAGATATATATTATATCTAAATATAGTAGACAGAAGAATTCATTTGACCTGTTGTGAATTAATCTCAGATCATAGTCATTTTGATATTAGGAATAAAATGCAAGTTGGTAATTATAGTTATAAATATCAAGAATTAATTTTCTTTTAGGTAAGGGGTTTTTTCCAGGTCACCTTGGTGACTACGGAGTCTTGAGCCACCATTTATTAGTGTTCGAATGAGTGTCCATTCCAAAAGTTGAGTCGGACTCTGAGCATATACATACTCAACTTGAACATGAAATATATATTGCTGGTAGTTAGTAGAAATACAAGGTCCAAATCACATCTTGCAAGTGATAATCCATGAGGTAATGATCACATCTCAAGGTGCTGGGTTGCTGTGAAGCGGAAGGCTAGTTTATATTTTAGATATTTTTGAATCAATTTAATTTCAAGTTGTGGAGAATGCTATTTAGATTATTCTGATTTCAAGTTTGTTGCTAATATTATAACTGAGGTGACAGTAGAGTGATAGTTTTGTAAATAGTAGGTTACAGAATTGCAGAATACTCAATACATATAGATTAAGTTTTTAAACTCAAGATGATCTTAAACTGTGTCCAAATTAGTCGATTATGGAAGAAATGCAAGAAACGCTTATGGAACTTTTTCATTTGTTTCGGGCAACAAGAGGTAAAAAAGAAGATACTAATATCCGAAAGCGACTGAAACGGCAGGTGTGGATTGAGAACATGAATACTGTACTAGATGACAACAAGAAGTTGTGCTTAATGAGTGGCGAAATTATTCAAATGTCTCCTCCTATGAATCTCATATTTGAAGTGCAAGATCTCGCAGTAGCATCTCCAGCAACAGTGAGTCGCTGTGGTATGGTCTATGTGGAGCCGAGCCAAATTGGCTGGAGACCTTTGAAAACATCCTGGTTGAGGATGATGAAAGAAACCTATAGTCAGATTGGTGATAATATGCCAATGGTCGATTCTATGACAGAATGGCTTGTGGATCCATGCATAGATGTTGTGAAAAAGTACTGTAAGGAACCTGTTCCCACGTCGCCTATTAATTTGGCAAAAAGTTTTATGAATCTATACGAGAGCTTACTCGACGAATTCAAAACTCCTGTTGTGAAAGTGAAACGAGGATCGCAAGTTTCATCAGCTGTCGAATATGAGGGCCTTCCTGCTCCTAAAGGCGATGATGCGGTTGTTTGGTTACAAGGCTTGTTCGTGATGGCACTTATCTGGTCCATTGGAGCTTCAATTGATGGGGATGGAAGGGCAAAGTTCAACCTTTTTCTACATAAACTTCTCGCAAAAGAAGATAACTTAGGCTTGGAACTAAGTGCTGGCATGGTAGTAAAGAAACCCGAGTTTCAGTTTGTGGCTCTTTTGCCTGAGATCGGCTCCTGTTACGATTTCACCTTTGTCAAGGCAGAAATGACGTGGAAGAACTGGTTAGAGGTCTCTGATAGACGAGGGCCCCTGCCTGACGCACAATATAACGAGATTGTGGTTACGACCATAGATGTTGCTCGATACTCAATTCTCCTGGTGTTGCTGGTTACACACCATAAACATGTCCTATTTGGTGGTCCTACTGGTACAGGTAAGCAAGTACTATGACTCCTGGTTCGATCGCTTCCCGATCATAATGATTTTACTGCCGAAGCCGCCCAAAATAATGTCGAAAGAGGGCAGGCTTGTCGAATATATTGAAGTTGTAAATGCTACTACTAGCTCTTACAACTGAAAACCTAGTAGTCTCACTATATTAGTTATTTCTGATTTTTGTACGATACTTGTGTTAGACCTTTTTGTGTTGCAATTAATTGCTGCTGTTTAGTGAAGAAGTTTGCCGTTGATATGGAGAGTTGCCACTACGTGTTTTCTGCATTTGAATCAGATACTAATTTTCGGAACTCTGTCTTTGCCTTGTAGGGAAGACTGTATATGTCAAACATCAGCTCACCCAGGGTCTTGACAAAAACTTGTTCAGAAACATAATGATGACTTTTTCTGCCCAGACAAATGCCAACCAAACCCAGGTCAATAATTCCTCGAAATAAAAGCAGAATGCTTTTGCATCTAATTTTTGCGCTGAATCTTGAGTCCAACATAAGATCAGGATCTTCCGGCAGTCTGTTTATTTCACTTACCTGGCGTTTGAGTTGGATGAGAGCAGATCAGCTTATTTTGTCTCCATTTCTATTGAAGTAACTCACTCTTCACACACGTGGATTGAAACGGTGAAATGAATCTAGGATTTTATTGCAGAAATTTATGTATCGATGTGTTTCTTCGTTTCGATCAAATCAGCAGTTTAAACGTACTGGATTTTATAGCATTTGAACGTCGTAACGACGCCGCTACATTTTGAGATGTGCATTAGCTATATATTCTACAGAAAATACTGAAGAAGTAAAATCCTTTCATCAGGATATTATCGACACCAAGCTCGACAAGAGGCGTAAGCAAGTCTATGGGCCTCCAGTGGGATCCAGATGTGTAGTTTTTGTAGATGACTTGAATATGCCATCTCTCGAAACTTACGGTGCTCAGCCCCCTATAGAGATACTTCGTCAGTGGATGGATCATGGTGGATGGTGAGTTCGACTCTCTTCTCCACCCCCTCCTGAAGCTCCTTTATCCTCCCAATAGCCAGCGTGAAGCTTGAAACTTAGCCAAGCGATAGAACTACAAATTAACTGCTCTAGATCGTTAATACGGAGTAATTTGTTTGGGCATCGTCTATCCAAGTACATATAGTTAGAGGCTTGTCAAAACTCATCTATGGGAGAACTCAAAATGAAAGAAATGCGTGTGGTTGTTCTGGTCATGAATCTTGTAAATGCAGGTCAAGGTGGAAGGAGGAAGAATTCAGTTTTCTACGCTAGAGCAACAGATAAATCATATACTATGGTATCAATCAGTATCTACAATACAGAATATTCAAACGGTAATAGATGAAATCTTTGCAGGTATGATCGAGAAGAAAACTGCTTCAGGCAGATTGTGGACATACAGTTTGTGACTGCTATGGGACCCCCAGGGGGTGGACGCAACCCTGTGACTCCTCGATATCTACGACATTTCAACTTATTATACATTATCGACTTTGATGATGCCAGTTTAACCACTGTCTTTGATACCATAATCGAATGGTGGGTTAGAAAATGTCGAATGCCGCACGAGGTGAGCTTCACAGTTCACGCAAGCTAATATTGTCTAAGCAAGAAAGGACTTCTGGCTAAGGTTAATTCAAGTCTTTCAGAACAACTCGATATCTAGCGCAGCTATTGTGTTGCACAATATTAATGATATCCATCACCTTCCGTATACCCAGATGAATGTAAATGGGAAGCTGCTGGTAGCAACAACGATTGACATTTACCGGGCGATTCAACGAGAGCTTCTTCCCACTCCTGCTAAATCTCATTACACATACAACATGCGAGATGTGTCGAAGGTATTCCAGGGTTTGTCACAGGTGAATGCAGTCCCCGACAAGAAAGCCTTGATTCGGCTCTGGTGTCATGAAGCCCTGCGCGTCTTCCATGACAGACTTGTCAATGATGAAGATCGAACTTGGTTCATGGAGTACATGCAAGGGAAAGTAGAGGAAAAGTTAACGGTGAAGTGTGACTACGTCTTCGGAGTTGAAGGAGGAGTCAAAGAAATCAATCAGGCTTTGAAGCTATTAGCTTATGGAGATATTATGGATCAAACTTCGGTCCCCAGAAAGTAACTCCCTCTAATCTTTCTTCGCTTCTTCTGAAGCTTAGACCCTTCTGAACGAACTCGCACTAAACCAAGGTCTTGTGCATATCTTCGTATACTCAGTGGATATATGACTGTGCGCATAACCTACCAGGGAACATATCTAACTTAGTGAGATTATCTTCACAAAGATTTTGTGTTTTAGCAATAGGATGATTAGCAACACAGAGTGTTATAACCTAGTCTAATAGCCCGACAGTTATTCAGTAACTTCACTTAACCCTCCATAGTACATAATAAGATCATCGGTTGCAACTTCCACTTTGACGATTTACGCATCATTGAGAACACGCGAAGATCTTTGTTTAAGCCCCATAATTCTCCCAGATCTGCTTGATCATAACAGAAATGTATGAGAATTTCATCTCTTAAGTTATGGTAAATGAGTAAATTGTTGCCGGTAGCTTGACGTCTGGGACCTTGAGTACAACGTTCCACACTTTGCAGGTACGAAGAAATACCAGATCAAGAAAAACTTTTAGCCGCAATGAACGAAGGATTGAAGGAGTTCAATGCGCAAACTCGAAATCCCATGGCACTGGTTTTGTTTACATATGCTGCCTCTCATGTGTTACGCATTGGTCGAATAATCAGGCAACCATTTGGAAATGCTTTGCTGGTAGGCTTTGGCGGAGTTGGTCGCCAGTCTCTAACGAAGCTAGCCACCTTCATGGCAGGATTTAACCTTTTCCAGGTGCAAATCAGCAAATTGTATGGGGCTGTTGAGTGGGAGGATGATCTCAAGGTAATACATAGCCCTCGACTGTCTTATCTTGGTTTGAAATGTCCTTTATGTGCAAGAAATATTGCAAAGTTGTTGCATACAAATTGTATGGGGCAACTTGATATATTGATGTTGTATACAACTTGAAGTATCATTTTGTTTGGGTTCAGTTAGTGTTGAAGAAGGCGGGTGCAGACAATGTTCCAACCGTTTTTTTGTTCAATGACACACAAATCAAGATGGAGAGATTTCTTGAAGACATCAATAACATTCTCAATACGGGCGAGGTATACCATTGTCCATACCTAGGATATTTCCGCAGTAACCATGTTGCTCTAGCTGGAGGTAAGATGTGGAACACACAATCTTAGTCACCTATATACAGAATGTAATGTTTCCTGGTGTCCTGATTCAATTCAAAAGCTCTTGAAGTTGTATAGACAATCAAGAAAAGGCATTCCCTTCATGCCAGTTGGTAACGATGATTCTAGTGTGTAAATCAAGTGGTTTTCAAATAAAATCAGCCAATAGAGTTTTACTCACAGATATAACAGTAGCTAGAAATCAATTGAGGCACACTCCCTCTGGAAGCTGCTTTTCGATAGAGAATCGAAAATTGAAGCCTTATATTCTTTACAATCTGAAGATATTCTGTTACATGCTTGTGCACCTACAGAGAGATGTTGAAGCCGAGGAGATTTTATAATCTAGTCTTTTCAAAGTGTTAGAACATAACAGTTAACTATTATCTACAAGGGTTACAGAAAGAAATTAATAATTTGCTTTAGAATTAAGGGTTTTTGTTAGGGTTACCCTTATGGCTAAGTCGTCATCAGCCACCATTGTTTAGGGTTTCGGATTTATGTGTCCAGTATCAACTTTATTGAATTGTAAAGGTTGATGTCCACTTAGTGAAACAATAGGAGTCAGAAGTTGAACTTATCAGTGAACATTCCCCGAGATTATGATCACATTTTTAAGAGCTGGGTTTTTTGAGAAATAAGAGCTGGATATAACATTCTAACCATTTTCGAGTTGGTTTGACTTCAAATCAGGTAAATGCTAGTTACATTGTTGTCACCTCAATATTGTAGCTAATCTTCCACTTTAGTGGAGAGTAGAGTCGTATAAGGGATGACAAGTTATAGAAAGTATACAGTAGCTAATTTTGTAGCAACATCGCAAGTGATCCATGTGGATCAAACTTTGACAATGATGTACAAGACGTTCAACTTAAATGGCTAGGACTTCATTAATTGGTGACTGCTGTACGTAGGTACCAAACCTGCACGCAAAGGATGAAATAATGGCCATATTTGAGGTGATTAGGCCTCGGGCAAAGAAAGCTGGCAGAGATGGATCTACTCTAGAGATGTATATGTTCTTTGTCGAACAGTGCAGGAAGAACTTGCACATGGTGATTGCGATGAGTCCATTTGGTGATGCTTTTCGAACCCGCTTACGTATGTTCCCGTCTCTTGTCAATTGTTGCACGATCGACTGGTTCAGTGAATGGCCGGCAGAAGCTCTCAAGTCCGTCGCCACCAACTTCATTGCCACTGTAAGTCAGCAAAAGTTTACTTTTCAAAGTCTTTTATTAACATCACATACTACTAGAGCATTGAAGGACAAAAGGTGGAAATGAGAGAAGAGTCGTGTATATGCTTGTCCCGTTTATGTTTTTCATGTTCACCAGTTGTTTTCGGGTAGTCCTCTTTAAGATATCTGGGCATCTAGTCAGGCAATTTATTGGTACCAGGAAAGCAGCGTACTGGTATATGGGTGTTCATAAACAAAAAAGGTCAGCAATACCTCTTGCGACCACTTAACGGCCTCCTCTTGCACATCGCATTCCGTTGTATGGGACAAAAACGCACACCACCAATTGCGACTGACAGGATCAACTGATGTATACGTGGTGCAGATAGATCTTGACTCCGAGACGACCCAAAAGTCCATCGTAGACATGTGCATGATGTTTCATCTGGATGCCCAGAATTTATCGCATCAGTTTTTTCAAGAAGCACAACGCCACTTTTATATAACCCCAACCTCATACCTGGAGCTTCTGGGGACATATAAAGACCTTCTCACTCGAAAAAGACATGAGATTGATACCATGAAGCACAGATATTCGGTAAGGTTTTAGCCTGAGAAGTCATACACAATTTTTGTGGCGCTCCAGTATTTTGAGCAACATCCCACTCGCGAAGTGTATGGGGTGCTCATTGGGTTCATTGTTCCTTCCGTCGACAGGGTGGATTGCAAAAGCTGTATGGAGCTGAAGAACAGGTTTCGGTAATGAAGCAAGAGCTAGAAGCGCTCCAGCCTGTTCTTCTGAAAACAGCAGAGGACACAAATGCTCTCTTGAAAAAGATAGCAGCCGATCGAAAAGAAGCTGAAACGACTCGGGCACTAGTGGAGAAGGAGGAAGCAGTGGCAAACGTTAAAGCTATTGAGGCGAAAGAAATCAAAGACGATTGTGAGTCCGAGTTAGCAGTGGTAAGTTTTAAGCTCCTGGCACCTTTTGGTGCGTGTTGTGATCACGTCTCCTTTCTCCTTGTAAAGGCTGTATAAAACAGTCGTGTTGACGTTGTTTCATTTTCTAACCATTGATAATGATGGCAGGCCATGCCTATGCTCGAGTCTGCTCTAGCGGCTTTAGACACACTCACCAAAGCAGATATTACAGAAGTTAAAGCAATGAAGAATCCTCCAAAGCCAGTGAAGATTGTGATGGAGGCCTGTTGCATTATGAAGGAGGTCATCCCATTACCCGACATCTCAACAGGGATAGTGTAGACATGTATCATGGAGCTATATCAACCTTGATCCATAGTGTCTTTACCGTCCTACTGCACGTAGCTATTATAACATGGTCTGAAAATACGCGCAAAAGACATCATAAATATTCCGTTGGAACCAGACAGTGTGAATGATGTTGGATGCTGATTATTCTGAATACTTTCAATGAAGGTGAAATCCAAAAGGATCCCTGATCCCAATAAACCAGGGGCGAAGATTGAGGACTTCTGGGGGCCTGCCCAACAAATGCTTGCGGACACCCAATTTTTGCCTTCTCTAAAAGATTTCGATAAGGACAACATCAATCCGAAGATTATTGAAAAAATTCGCCCTTATCTTCTGCTTCCCGAATTCGTTCCGGAGGTGGTGCAGAAAGCATCGAAAGCAGCTTATGGACTGTGCTGTTGGGTGAGGGCAATGGAAAGTTATGATCGGGTCGCAAAGGTTGGTGTCTGTTCAAACACTGATTCAGAAATAGATATAAAATGCGACTTGTTATTGGTTGAATTTGACGGACTAAGAATCAGAACTCCCAGACCATATTCGACCATTTATTTGAATAACTCATTGATTCATACATAGAAGTGACACACTCGTTCCACATCTGCGGCTAAAACATATGAAGTTGTATAATATGCACAATCTTCAGCGCTCTCAATGTCCTCAAACTTTTGTTCATACAATTCAGGTCGTGGCACCCAAGAAGGCTAAACTAGCTGCGGCAGAAGCTGAATTCAAGGAACTGCAGACAGCACTTGCCGCTAAGAAGGCAATGCTGCAAGAAGTACAGGCCAAGCTACAAAAGCTGCAAGAGAAACTGGACATTATGGAAGGAAAAAAAGCTCTGTTGGAAGCGGAAGTAAACAATTGTCAGAAGGTACATGTGCAAACTTTTTTGTGAAGGCGGCAAAAAAAATTGGTTTATACTTCGTGTGAGAAGTTCGTTGAGGTCTTTTGGACAGTTTTCTACATTTACTCCTGCGATGACCAGTGATTGTCACCTTTGTATGAAGCTGAGGCAAAGCCCAGATATTCCAGTTTTTCTCGAATATTGTCCAGGAGGTTGGAAGACGACTTGAATATGCAAGTAGGAATGCATGTAGAAGTCTTGCGAATCTTGCGAGCAATTAAATGTAGAACTCAAAGATCTAATGTCGAGCTCCATTGTACCAATCGTTTATGTACCTTGAGTTTTTCCTGTGCATTGAATCATATGTATGCAAACGCATAAAACATTTCAGTATTTTTACTCTTCATGTGCAGAAACTGGGTCGTGCAGAGAAACTCATTGGAGGCTTGGGTGGAGAGAAAGTACGCTGGAATTCTGTAGGTGACGAACTGGGAAAGGTCTATATCAATTTGACCGGAGACGTCCTTCTGGCATCGGGATATATTGCTTACCTGGGACCAGTAACTCTATCCTACAGGGAGCACTTGCTCAAGAAATGGGGTGCAACTTGTAACGAGAGAAATATTCCAAGTTCTCCAACATTCAAATTAGCCACGGTTCTTGGCAGCCCAGTCACAATTCGAGATTGGGTGATTGATGGTCTCCCTAATGACAGCTTCTCCATCGACAATGGCATCATTATACACAATTCTAGACGCTGGCCGCTACTGATTGATCCACAAGGTCAAGCAAATAAGTGGATCAAGGTAATTCAGCTACAATTGTCTGTAAACCTCATTGAAGGAAACATCACTCAAAAACTGGAATTTAGAATGGAGAGCTGCCATAAGTCTAATTCAAGTTATGTTGCGATATGGTCTACTTTTTACAGGTTAGGCTACCCACACTAATCTGAAAATAGTTGATTATGTGCGCTTATGGTCCATATGTATTCTTTCTTGAAGGAGAAAAGATTCAGTTAAGACGCACGAGTCGGTCAGTACCTTGTATGTGTGCTCATAGATAATCAATACGGATTAAGATTACGCTGGCTCGATCAAGTCAACACTGGATTTTCCTGATTCGTGCTGATGGGCTCTTCGAGTTGTATCTTTCCTGCAGCGACTACTGATGGTCCACCTTGAATTACAATTTCCAACTTAAGATGCTCACCCGGGCACTTAACACTCCCTACAGTCAAGAAAAAAAACAACAATCCTTATGATAATCAACGTACTTTATATTTAATCTTCGCCTCGAGAAAATGCAACAAGAGATCTACAATATACAAAGGCCAATGATTCTCTGGTGCAAAGAAGTTTTGCATTGAAAAAAGATGCAGATCCAGCAGACTGTCTCAGTTAACCAGGATGATGGTTGGGTTATGACAGACAATGCAGAAGAAGAATAATTTGCAGGTTATGAAACTCTCTGACGGAGATTTCGTTCGAAAGCTTGAGAATTGCATCACTTTTGGCTATCCTCTACTCCTCGAAAATGTCATGGAGGAACTCGATCCAACTTTGGAGCCGTTACTCGCTAGAGCTGTTTTCAAAAGTGCCGGATCACTTCAGATTCGTCTCGGTGATAGTGTGATTGAGTACAATGACAAGTTTCGTTTCTACATTACGACTAAAATGAGAAATCCTCACTATGCTCCTGAGGTATGTCCGATGCAACTAGGTCGTCATTACAGTGACTCGCGTTTCTGAGCCGTTTTCTCCCCCATTTTGCACTTTTTCAAGAAGTTCCTTCACAACGACCAGTTTAAACATATGGGGGACAAACTCGTAAGCCTCATCTTACTAGATGATTGCTACTTAAGTCTTTTGAAAAATTGTCACTGCCTAGAAATCGTTTCTTCCTTGTCCTTGGTAAACAGTACAATGTAAATCTGTCTCTCCAATTTCAAGTTTTCAATACATTTCTGATGAGCTGAATTCATCTTCTAATCACATAGAACGTATCGAGGTTTCAACTCTTACATATTATTTTTTCGACAAATTATATCCAGGATTAGCGCATAGTCCCCATAATTCGTCATAGAATCCACTGCCCTTGCTTACGTAGACACTCATACAAGTACTAATTCGATTCTTTGGACACACAGATATCGGTCAAAATTAGCCTTCTGAATTTCATGATAACGCCCGAAGGTTTAGAAGATCAATTATTGGGTATGGCAGTAAAGAATGAAAGGCCAGATCTCGAGGAGGAAAAGACGCAGCTTGTAGTTCAAGGTGCAGAGAATCAGCGCCAGCTTAAGGATATCGAAGATCGAATCATTCAGGTGATAGACTGCCCCTGATCTTGCTCCACAAAATGCAAATGAGCTGCAGTGATTGTCAGATTACGCGAGTACGATCAACGTAGCTTGCTTCTCCATCCTATATGGGACTAAGACTACTCCTTCACCCTCTTGTTTCACAGAATTATGTAACACACACCATGTAAAGCACAGCTTTTTACACCTTTATTAGTCAAACGAAAATATAAATAATAACGTCATTCTGAGGGATTATAATATGCATACGACGGGTCACGAGCTCTGGGAAAGTTTTCGTGGAGACTTTGAATGGAATTTTATCTGCTTGTGATAGATCTTGTCAAGCTCAGAAGGGAATATATTAGAAGACGAAACAGCTATCGAGATCATTTCCTCATCGAAGGTCCTCTCAGTTGAAATAGCAGAAAAACAGAAAGTTGCTGTCAAAACAGAAGCTCGTATCGATGAAGCACGAAAGGGATATATTCCAGTCGCAGTACACGTTGCATCCTTATTTTTTACCACTGCGGATCTTTGTTGCATAGACCCTATGTATCAATATTCTCTCACCTGGTATGTCTGAACAAACCATTTGTTGAAAGCTAAGTCAATAAATAGACCACACTTACTTCACCCAGCAACTTATTTGAAGTATAATTTGATGTTTTAAAGTTCAGATATCTAATGCACGTAGTGATGGATCCGATGAGATTGAATACCAGAACACAATACATAAATCATCACTTATCTGAAAACCAAATAAAAATCCTTGAAATTTTCATTCTATGCTATGTAACAAAGCCAATTGAACTGACGGCGTTCTTATGGTCAACCCTTTGACTCTACAAACCATTATCTTTTTGAGCTTAGCTTTGCCATTCACTGTACATCGCCAATACTGGTTCGTGCATGTCTTGGTGTGCTCCTTATGATCGTCGTGAACATAGATAATGCATACCTCTACCAGTCTTGACGGGGAAGATTGTCAGACTGGACTGTATCGGACTGAAATTTTGATACCATAATAACATGTTTTTTCGACATTTGTTTTCTCCGTTGATAGTCCTTGTGATGTTCATGCAGGTACATGGGTCTCTTTTTCAATGCAATGAGGGACTCAGAGAAGTCAACAACTCTGGCTACGCGACTGGAAACATTGAACACGTTTTTTACTTATTTACTCTACTGCAATATATCTCGCAGTCTTTTTGAAAAAGATAAAATGTTACTCTCTTTTTTGATCTGTGCCACCATATGGCTGAAGCAGGGGAAAATACTTCATGAAGAATTTAGTTTCTTCGTGATAGGTGGACTGACTCTCTCTGGCGAGCAGGCAAAGAATCCTGTGAACTGGCTCGCTGATAAGCTGTGGACAGAGATGATAATTCTTTCGAGCCTTCCCAACTTCGGGGTGAGTAGCTACTTCTCGACACCATTAAGGTCACTTAGTGTGGTGCAGGCTACTGCAGAAGATAAATGTAAGAGTCCTGACCAACAATTAGCGCGAAATTCATTTATGAATTGCGATATTTGTATGATAATGACGTGTTCACACGTATTAACATCATCGGGTGCCTGATATAGTGGAATGCATTAAGTAAAGAAGATCTTATAATTAGGAAAAATGAGCAATTAAAAGGTCCTCCCTGATTTTGGTTGTGTTTCGTATAGACTATCTAAGTGAGTAGAAATTTTCGCTGACTTCACGAGGTTAACCCTATCCAAGATGAGGAACATACTGAATGTTTTCACATAGATACTCTTACCCTGACTTTTCTACAAAATCCCCAGATACTAAATTGGTGTGGTCCAATATAACTTAAGTCAAGATTAATCAGAAGTGTAAAATCAGGTTCTCGCTTCAAATTTTTGCTTAGTCATTAAGGCATAATAAAGTGAAATCATGTATGTTGGAATCATTATATTTGGATAAATCAAAATCAAAGTCAAAGTCAAAGTCCTCTCAAAAGCTTGTAAGATTTCTTTGGAAAAAAGCAAGACTATTGAAGATAATTTTCTGGTTGTTCACATGATGATAAGTACCACAATTGCAATTTGATTTGATGTCAATAATAACTCGTATCCATGCACAGACCCATCCATATCTATTTGTAAACCTTATATACTTCTGTATCTGCGAGAGTGGAGATAATACGATTACTGTAGCGTGGTAGTATAACATATGAAGCAAGGTCGTCTTCCAGCGGTATCACAACAAAGAGTTCGGAGCCCGTCTGCTCTAGGCTTTAGTGTCCCAAGAACGTCCACTCAATCGAAGGGAACAAGCTCCAAAGATGTCCGTAGTAGTGTAGAAATCGTACTAATTCGATTAGCCTGTAAATGTTGAGATATTGTAAGAACCTAGATCTCGCTCATTGTCCACAATCTAGTAGAATAGTGGATATTGAGTGATGTTGGCTGTAGACCAGTGCATCAGTGTGTCAGCCATAGTTAACATCGCTATTTTAACTATGGCTGACACACTGATGCTACGGAGAAGACGTTACGTTATAAGGCGTACTAACTCTTATGAAAAGGTTGAGGCACCACCCTTTCGCAAACGAGAGAAGCAATATTTTGATTGGTTTCTGCTGTATGTGCTTGTGAATGGTGTTTCTTTTCATTTTAGGTTTACTTGCCAGCCATCAGTGAGCTGGAAACTGGGTCTGGTTAGCTCTCCATGCAGAGCTGACACAAACCCAGTCGAGAGGACAAAAGAACAGCGCCGAAGAACTCGGTGAATAGTTGCGGTGTCCTATGCTTACAACATTCCAGTAGTTCAAAGTTCCTGATGACTGTGCTCATCATCAGTTTGGCATATGACGCAAGCAGCTGCACTCTGTTTTGTTTCTATGATGACATTTTTGCTACTCGCATGAACCTGCCAATGTTTTTTCTCTCCGATTCACTTCAGTTCTGTGGTCGGTGCATGGCATATGCTTCCACTCTTGTCATAACGCTCGGTGCACTTCAAAGCTTATTTTTACTCTCCATTTTCCGTCTTGCATGCGCTTACCTTGTGATTTACGATTATTGACGATAGGACTTCTAGCGCTAGTTTTTGACTGCCGCTTCCTTATCTTTGATTGTCACCTCCCAAGCCTCCAAATGATTTGTATCACACCTTGTTCCGATCAATATATGATTGGTCCTAGTATCGGAGATGAGTGTTTACTTTTTGTTTCCATCTTTGAAACACTCTCATCGTGTTTCTGTTCCTCGTAGCAGCAACAATACATGTTACTTTTTATTCTACTCTTGCCTCCAGTTCTTTGAGGAGCATCGACAGTACATCACTTTTTTCTACTCTTACCCTCAGATCTTTAAAAATGAAGTATGTTCAGCAATCAAACATCTTTGGATAGAGAGAGATACTCTCGAACATGAGTACACCGGATTGCAGACACGATATTCACTTTGAATTTGACCGTTGACTCTACAAATTCGTGGTCAACAGCATGAAACCAATAAGCATGAGTAAAGCGCCGAGAAATGTAATGAGCTATCACCTGCTATGACTTGTCTAACGACGCTAAAAGCTTGAAAGTCCATTTTCTCATGCAGGGCTTTTCTGATGATTTCTCTAAGAACCCAAATCAGTGGAAACCATTGTATGAAAGTCCTACACCGTACAGAGCAAATTTTCCTGGAAAATGGGAAAAGCTAAACATTTTCCAGAAGCTGCTGGTGGTAAAAATTTTCCGCCCAGAGAAGGTTGTGGAAAGCGTGAACGATTTTGTCTTCGCAGCTATGGGTCAAAAGTACATGGATCCACCTCAGTTTGACTTATCTTTGGCGTACCCCGACTCCAGCAATATCACTCCTTTGGTTTTTGTCCTTTCTGCGGGTTCAGATCCTATGGCAACACTGCTAAAGTTTGCGGAAGGCATGAAACAAAATGTATTATCCTTTACGACTCAGCGTGCTTTTTTGCAGTTCATGTGCGACATATGTACGTGATATTAATATCACGTACATATGTCCAGCGTTTTAAGTCACTAAACAACCTTGTTTTAGCCTATAAGACAATTATTTTGGAAGTTCCAAAGACCACTTATGCTACATCTGTGTCTTCAATTGATGTATCAGAAGTTATAGAGAAGATTTCATTATTCGGAAAAGGAGATGTGCAGGTTAATACAGTTTCACTTGGTCAAGGACAAGGACCGAAAGCCGCCGAAATGATCGATAAGGGAACACGAACTGGCGACTGGGTCGTATTGCAGAACTGTCACCTGGCTGCTTCATGGATGCAGCATCTGGAGAGAATTGCAGAAAACATAAATCCGGAACATGCAAACATCACTTTTCGACTGTGGTTAACTAGCTACCCGTCTGATCAATTTCCAGTTTCCATTCTTCAAAACAGCGTCAAAATGACCAATGAATCACCCAAGGGCTTGCGTGCTAACATGCTGCTGGTTATTTTCTCTCCTCTGAAATTTCTCCGCTCTGCAATTTCCAGCTGTAAAAACGAGATTCTGAGAGTAATAATTTTTTACTAAGCACCACTCTTGGATCAGAAAACGATGTAATTCTACGCATTGAGAGAACTAATCACTTGTAAGTACGCGCTTAAAGATTGTGAAGTTCCATGACCGATGTTACACTGCAGAGCTACCAAAGTTACCCTCTCAGTGATCCAAAATTCTTCGGCCAAGTGACTGGAGACAAGGGTGCTGTATGGAGAAAGATGGTCTTTGGCTTAGCTTTCTTCCATGCCTCTGTCCAAGAGCGCCTCAAGTACGGACCTTTAGGGTGGAACATACCTTACCAGTTCAGCGATCCTGACCTGAAAATCAGCATTCGGCAGCTGCAGTCTTTTCTCATAGAGTATCCAGACAGTATTCAGTTCAAGGTGAGTGCTCCTGCAGTACTTCCTGTTCTCTTTCGGCCAGAGTGCAGACGATCGTATGCCTCGATGAATGACCAATCTCATTTTCTGTGGGTCCAGGCTCTTATATATTTGACCGGAGAGTGCAACTATGGAGGTAAGGTTACCGATGCACACGATCGCAGAACGCTGATGAGCATTCTGCACGTATTCTACTGTCCTTCCATTCTTGACGACGACTACAGGTTTTCCCCATCGGGCACGTACTACGCACCACCCGATGGCAAGTTCCAAGACTACATTGACTTCATCAAGGAGTTTCCTCTGCAGGCAAAGCCGGAATGTTTCGGACTGCATGAAAATGCAGACATCACTAAAGATCAGCAAGAAAGCAACCTCTTGCTTCATTCTGTCCAAGCCACCATGGTTCTTTTCTCCCCCCGCCAGAAGAATAACTGGAGTCCATCGCAGAAAAATATTTAGTCACTTCCTAGTATGCAGCTCTCTCATGGAACCAGAAACTGTATTCCTGGATAGTTTGGACGTCCATCAGTTCTTAAGAAATTAAGCAATTGCTTGCTCTACGTACATCTTCTTAGTGTACACAAAGATTGAAGGTAAGAATATTTTCTGTTGTGACTAAATCAACAGACGACGGGTTGGTCAGAAGCTCGAGAAGAAGTGCTTGCTGTTCAGTTGGTTTGGACGCCCCACGAATTGCATCACTTCGATCCTCTTGTAAGAAACTTTGGCGAACTGCTGTGTGCAGGCAAATACAGGCAGCTCCGGTGGGCGTAGTCGAGATGAAGTGATCTTAGAAGTGGCTGCTGATATAGCTGCCAAGCTGCCTGGACAGTTTGATGTGGATATGGCTAGACTAAAATACCCAGTCAAGTATGAAGAGAGCATGAACTCAGTCCTCCACCAAGAAATGATTCGATACAACAAGCTTACAGACGTTCGTCCTCTCTCCATCATCTGCCTTTACGTTCCTTGCATCTATGAGAACGTTGACATGGGCTTGCTCTATCTTCAAAAGCTGCATTCATTATACTCAGATATTGACAACTTCTCTTTAACATCGTTATCGAACCTTGAAAAAGGAAAGCAGAAACCTTGTCAATTTTTGGGGCTCCAGGCGAGGCTGGACCAAGCGTAGCAACTTTGTTGAGTACAGTCAACGGGATACTTGACGCAATCAGCATATAACTGTGGCGTCCATGGCTTACAGGTGATTCGAAGCAGCTTGGTTGTGGTACAAAAGACATTAAAGGGATTGGTAGTCATGTCGTCAGAAATCGAGAAGTTGGCAACAAGCATGTTTCTCGGAAGAATGCCGGCCATGTGGGCCCCGTTCTCATACCCGACGATGAAGCCGCTGCTGAGCTATGCAGCTGAGTTGTATGAGAGGCTAAAAATGCTTCGAGACTGGATGACGAACGGAGCTCCACCGAAGTTTTGGATCAGTGGGTTCTTCTTCACCCACGCGTTTTTGACAGGAGTGCTCCAGAATTATGCTCGGAAGCACCGCATTCCAATCGACACGGTGGGCTGGAACTTCAAGTGCATGCCCAAGGGAGGTAACTATGACAAGAAGCCTGAAGACGGGTGCTACATCTATGGCATGTCTCTGGAGGGGGCAAGGTGGGACGACAACGATATGTCCCTGGCAGAGTCCGATCCCAAGGTGCTCTTCTCACCTGCGCCACTCATCTGGTTACAGCCGTGCGTCGTCGCAGACAAAAAGAAGTTCCCCTGCTACTCCTGCCCGCTGTACCGGACTACCGAAAGGCGAGGCGTGCTGGCCACAACCGGACACTCCTCAAATTTCGTCATCAACATAGATCTGCCCTCGGAAAAGTCTCAGGATCATTGGATCCGTCGCGGTGTTGCCATGCTGCTCACTCTGAGCGACTGACCAACCGACTAACTACCTGCTCCGGAGCTGGCCCATGCCCTCGCCCGGCGTCCGACCGCAGAAACGCATCAACAGTTGCACCGAAACATGTCTTTGCGTACTCATCCCGATTCAGTGCCACCGCGAGCCTCACGCATCTCCCCTGCCAAACCATCCGGTGCCAAGTAGAGTGAACCATTCCTCCGCCCCCACATCCTTGCACACAAGCCCAATTCGGCATAAAAATAGCAACCGCCATTCTTCTCCTCAACCCCAGCACTCATTTGTTCTTTCTTCAGTCTCCTCGAGCTCGCTTCTCCTCCTCCATAGAGCCGAAGCGAGACTACACAAACTCTCCTCGGACTGTAAAGCGAGACCGGTGCACGAAAGTACTCGTGCCCCGACCATGTCCGTGGGCCCCGGCCTCCAGATGAAGTCCGACGGTCAAGCCTTTGAATTGCGACGTGACCAGTCTCTGCTGCACTAGATTCCCGATACCCCTACGTAAACCCTTTCATCTACCCAGTTCATGAGTGGGCGATTGCAATGTGCAGCTGCCTCGGTCGCTTGAGTTCGATCCACTGCAGGTCCGGTGGCAAAGACAGAGAGAGAGAGAGAGTGCGAGAGAGAGAGAGAGAGAGGGTATGATCTGTGGGGAGTTCAGGGCCAGATCGGCGATGCATGCAATGTCCCATACCTCGAGGCTGGATCCCCACGGCTCCGCCACGGGAATCCCGGCGTCTTTCGGCCATTGAGCCAATGTCGAGCTCATGCGCTGGCGCGGTGACAGGGGCCAGGCCAGCTGGGCGCGAGTGTGCGTGCTCTGCTATTTTCCGCTTCACGTCTCGCTCTCGCCTCTTAGGCTTCTCCGCTGCTCCGCCAGGCTCCAAATCGGGAGCCCACTTTGTGTGGAATTTGACTTGTCGAAGTGTTCAAAGGGTTGTGGAATCATCGCCAGCCCATCAGCTCTTGCATCTGAAAAGGATCAGTCGCCGTGTAAAACGACCGCCATGATCTCATCCAATCTGCACATCTCCTCCTTCAGCAACTCACATTCACGTGAGCGTGTGATTCCACGTGACCCCGGAGCATCATGACACGGCGGATTACTCCTCCACGACTCCAAGTGATTTAGCGTAAGGTAGGCTCCGCTTTCTTTTTACAGTGACTTGTTTCGTTAAAAGCCAGCTGAGAATCGGAAACATTTTTGAGAAACACTTGCAGTCTGCTGTACGAGCAACTTGACAGCTTCTGGGAGCTCAATTTTGACAACTGACAATTAAATTAGCAATGAGTGTGGTACTCCGAGCATTTTCAAGCTATCCATGAACACAGTTCAAGCAGGTAACTGCCAAATACAAAGCACTACAACTAAAGTGTTTGTTTCCGCCACGTCGTAAACTGATAACTATGTCCGACATTCGGGCTATCTTTACTTTAGTTCCCCCGCTCTATATACCTTGATGCAGGAGGAAAATATGTTTTTCAACAAACTTCATCTGTAGAGTTTAAGAACTTTTTATTATGCACCATAAGCTTCGGTCTGCAAATGTTATCGAAACTCTCATCCACAAAAATTTGCTAGCCAAAGTTTGATATCTGGAATGGAATGAAATCTTGCTGACTTGATCGGTGATCGGGTCCTCCGTGGACCGCCCAGATCCCACGAGTGAGTGGCAGTTAAATCTCTATTTCATCTCACCTAAATCGCCCCATCTTATACTCTTTCAAATTGAAAGAAGAGATCATGTTGTGCATCTACTGTTTTTATTTTGGAGTGAAAACGTCGTTAACCAAAGATATTGGCATAAGCTTCTTGCCAATAAATTCGGCATTTCTTTTATATTTTTAAATAAAATAACAATATCAGCATGTTGCTCACTGTTCTATAATTTTCATCACCTTGCATGAAAAAACAATGTTTAAAAGTTCTTCTTGTAATTATTATTGTCATATAGGATTTTTATTGCAATGAATCTACAAAAAGATATAACATATTCAGTTTTTCAATTAAGAAAACTTTACCAATTCTACATCTGAATCAAAATCTTTGTTTCTAACGTTATTGATAATCTACATTAAAATCCATGAATCTCTCATTTAATACTGAATAATAACCATTGAATTTATGTTTTTGAAAAAACAAATGATTGAGTTTCAAAGAATAGAATTATCGTAGTTTTTGGAAAGAAAGAACCTCATATTTTGAATAATATATAAGATTTTCTTATCGGTTATTTTTTATAAATTTTTTCAGCTTTCCCTTTCTCTAAGAATTTTACACATCTGCCCGTTTTTACACTTGTAAATTTCAGTTAAATTTCATTTATCGAAAATAACTAGATATTAAAAGTTTCAGGAGGTTTTTTTTTCTATTTTGGACTGGAGCTTTGTTTATTACAATTATCATGAACATAGGAAATGCGTAAAGAAATTGAAAAAAGACTTTATCTTCACACAGTATACTCTTGCAAGAAACATCAATAACCTTTCAAGAAAGAATTGTAAACATTTGATTATTTTGCAGTAAATAATTGGTCACTTTGCTGAATGATTAGTATCTAATTCCATTTTTAATTTTTAAGATTTATTTCAGAATATTTTTTAAATATTTATTTTTTAAAGTTCAAAACTTTTAAAAAGAGATTGAAGATTTTAATTTCTATAAAAAAATAAAAAAATATTTATTCTCCAGTATTAATTTCGAATTGAATTTCTACTTAAATCAGTAGAATACATTTCAGTAAGTCATCAAATTTCATTAAAAAAATTTTGAAATATGAATTAAAATTAATTTATGTTCATATTTCACTCATATACACTTATAAATGAAAATCACAAGAATTTTATTCCTTTTCAAGTTTTTATCAAATAACAAGAATTTTAAAAAAATTATTTAGCAACACTTCAATGAATCAAAATTTAATATAAATGCTTAATTTATGTGCAAAATATTAACCATGAGTTGTAAAAATACAAACAAATTATTATATAAATAAATCATTCTATCGAATAATTATTCAAATTCATAAAAAACCCTATTTTGCATCATTTGATTGAAAGAAAAATATTGAAATTATTAAATAAAATAAAAATTATTAAAAAACTCAATCTAAAAAACTGTATTTGCAACATGAAAATATTAAACACTTTTTTGAAGATGATTTCCAAGAGAAAAATCAGTACATATATTTGAGTGATACAATAGAATTTAATTAATTTTTCAATATGTATATTATTATTATATCTTCTAATATGGCATTGAACAAAAAATTAATAATCATTTTTGCATATGTAAAGGAGAAATTTTTTTTATATAAATTCTTCATAGGTTTACTCTTTCTAACAATAGTAATATTTATTATCAATACAAGTAATTCTTTATTTCATTTCACACAAGATTTCATTATAATTTTAAATTTATTTTTTTAATTTATATAAATTTTGTAAAGTTAAGCTATACATTCATTATCATTTTTAAATGTTCACGCGGAAGATTACATGAATTTATTCCAAAAATCTGTCTACAAAATGTAACTAATTATCCAAATCTTATATTTTGTCTCCGACAAATAATGATTAAAAACTTATGTATCCTTATTAATAAATCTATCTAATTGTGGTTTGAAAAAATTTAGCTTAGCAAGAACTATGATAGTTTTTTACAAAATTATCTACTCATGTCTTGAACCTATCCAGTTTAATATTTATAGAAATTCTTCAGCAAATAATGTACAAGTAGATATTATTGTTGAGGTTAACTCCAGATAAGGTATTCTAGCTATCTATAGCTAGGTTCGTCGCTGGTGTTGGGTATATATGTACCCCAAACTTTCTAATGTGTATGAGTTGTATTTAGTTGTGAGTAAACTCTCTCGCATGTTTCAACCGTGTACGTAGCCTTCAAGGTTGAACCATGTTATACAATGTATCTCTCGTGTTTATACTTGGCTTGATTGTTTAACTAAGTTTTTTGATTTTACGTTTATGAATTATCCAAAATCCTGTTTAAATTCTTTTTAATTATAAAAAAGATGAAATAAAAATAAAATTTTCATTGTATCATAAAAAAAACCTTATTGCAAATCAATATTATATATAATCAAATGCAAAATATTAATTATGGCTAAATATTATTATCATTTTGTTTGAAATTTTGCTTTGATAAAAAATATCAACAGTACTCAACACAACATATTTTTTGCTTAGTCGCATAGAAATATATATATATATATATATATATATATATATATATATCCAATTTTATCTATTCATGAGGATAACACAATCTGCATTATCAATCATTGATTTAATATTATATTATTTGCATCAAACAAAAGACTCAAAAAAAATAAAAATTTCTTTAAAATTACTTCACAATTTTCCAATATTTGTAACTTTTAATAAAAAAAATTTGTGAATTTTGCTCATAGAATAAGAAATTTGATTTCAAATATAAATCAAAAGATACATGAAGCTTATTAGTCTATTGTTGTAGAATTTTCTTACATCAAACTTAATCCACATCAACAATACAGCAAAAAATCCATGAAAACTTGAATTAAAAGATTACTTCTAAATAACAACTTGAAAGATAAAAAGATAATGCAAAACTTATAGATGATTTCTGTCCTGATTGTTGTTTTTATTTCTAGTATCTAAAAAATAGCTAAATTGGAATTAGATACTTAGATCTTGAATATTAATTCAAACCTTTCACATTAAATCTTACAAAGATTTTTTTTACATAGTTCTCTTATATTAATCATAGCTTTACATGTCATGGATATTTATGAAATCGTAACAACAAGGACAAAAATCTCATTCTTCATATTTTATGCATTTACAACTTTCAATCAATTCAATTTAGATGTTTAAAATTTTATGAAATCATCACATTGACTTTTTTACAATAAAATTTTATTAGGAGTGAAATGAATGATGAGATTGAAACTTTATTTTTTTACATTTATTGAAAGTATCTATTTTAGAAAGAAAAGAACCAATTTATGTAATTCTGATATTTAGAATTTGTGTTTCGTATTATTGTTTTGTCTACAAGCAAGCTACTTTAATGTCTAATAGAATTTCAATCTCCAATTTGTTAAACATTCAACTTCATTTTATGAAGTAATGTAATTTTTGAATGTACATTATGACCTATTGAGATGCAAAATGTATCATTTGAACGATAGAAGCAATAATATCATTCATACTTTTAAACTTTGGCTATGAAAAGACTTCATGGAAAGACAAAAAATGTTGTATCATTCACATTCTACTTGGAATGTTTCATGGATTTGAAGAATGAAACACTTGTTCAAGTTTGATTTAAAAATTTCACAGAGTTTAATACAATATACAAACATAACGGAAAGTGAAAAAAATTTCATATGAAAATTTATGATGAAAGTTAAAAAAAAATTGATACTATATTCATCTTTTGTGATTTTTCATCAAAGTGAAGTTAGGTCAGCCCACATGATATGAAGATATCGTTGAGATCTTGCATCATGTGACCATATCTAAAGAGATGAATCAAAATATGGCAGTAGTCTTCATGAGGAAAATTTGAACTTACTTGTTGGT